CAACTACTTGTCCCAGTTAAATCTAAAAAATACCCGTTGGACCCACAGTGTTGGATAATATCCCATATAGATGGATGACTTTCTGATTTACAGTTGAAGGCGCTTCCTACAACCCCACGTCAATAAAGATAAATTTAAAAAAAGATCCAACCTTCTAGTTAAATGAAGATTTCCTGATATGAAATACGGGGTACCCCAGGGCGCAATCCTTGGTCCTCTGCATCTTCAAACATTTTGCCCTTTATCATGAAAGTAACATCAGCTTTTGTTTCTTTACTGACGGGGTTTTCTATCGATCTGTGAAGACATAGGTGTCATTTCTTATTCCCACAAATTATTGATCCATATGAGGTTCCTCAGGGCGCAATCCTCGGTCCTCTTGCATCTTCAAACATTTTGCCCTTTGTCGTGGAAGTAACATCAGCTTCTGTATCCTTAGTGATGGGTTTTTATTGCCCTCTATAAAAACCTAGGAGTCATTTTGGGATGGCAGTAGCTGAGGAGGTAGAGAGGTTATCCAATAACTGGAAGGTTGGTGGTTCGATTCCTCCCCATCCCTAGTCTGTCCATTGTGTTCTTGGGCAAGACAGATCAAGTGATGGGGTTTCCTTGCCGTCTATAAAGACCTAGGTGTCATTTCTTATTCCCATAAATTATTGATCCTTATGGGGTACCCCAGGGCGTAACCCTCGGTCCTCTGCATCTTTAAACATTTTCCCCGTCGGCCAAAACATACCAAGGCATTAAAGCAATGTGACCTTTTACGCTGATGATATCAAGCTTTCGGCGTCTTTATTGACAGATTTTCTCAGAGACTGATGTCATTTCCTGTTTCTACATTTAATCAAAATAAAACAGGTTGAAATAAACACACCAGTTTTTGATTTGATATCCTTTTAAAGCATCTACAACAACTCTGAAATCACGTCTTCCTGTCTTTGCCAGATATAAAATGGTGACAGCACACCTTTGCATTATCCAGACTCAGAATAATGTCATAATCTGATCACACAAAAACACTTGTAACCAGTTTTGCCTTCGCTCTACTGTCGCCATGCTTTTACAATAACAGTTTTTAAACCGTGTATCTCACGTGGAGAACTCTGCTCTCGTTAAATGGAGCTCCTGTGCAGCTTCAGAGTAAAATAAGGAACCAGCAGGCTGCAGCTCCTGATCTTGTTGTGGTTCTTTCTTCTAGAATAACCTCCCTGCTGGTCTCACACAATCAGGCCTTTTAGTATTAACTTTAAACTCATCTGCTGCTCTGACATTCAATTAGTGTTTAATCTGAACCGCTCATGCTTCACACATGTTGTCGATGATCTCAGAGAAGGTGGTCTTTGCCTCACCATCTCCACACCCCGTCATTACTAATCTGCGGACCATGACTACGCAGGTCTCTAACACTCTGTTTGTTTTTGTTTCCTACAAGTCTTCAAGCTCTGCACGGTCCCCCTCCAGTTTTTCCTCCTTGTCCTTTTCACTCAGGCTCCCCTGTGCTGAAAGAAGTCCTGGGACCTTTCTCTGTCCCCGCTGCCTGCTGGTGCCTCATCCTGATGCTGATCTGGAACCTGGTCCCCAAGGACAGACATTCAGCCTCTCTAGTGTTTGCACAGCCCTTTTCTTTAACAGGTGTCGTGGTGAAGAGGGGGTGTTGTGCATCTTAAATCCTCACTATAAACCCTCACGGGTCCTCAATCTCTGTCTGTCTTTCAATGTACAAAAATCTGTCTTCTGTGCTCTTTTATTTGTGTACTTAGTGATTTTTTACAGCGTTGGATTTATCCTGGGAGTGGTATCCTTTCTATTCTTGAGGTTTCTTTCCCCATTTAAAGGCACTTAAGGGATTTTTTTCTAATCCAGGGAGAAAGCTCGAGGATAAAAGATGCTGCTACTGTAGAGCTATAATAAAACCCCGGGAAGTGAAATTTGATTTGAGGCTGAACAATGAAAATAACTGTAAAACCCCTCTAGTAAGATTTCAGAGAGTAACCTCCACCAATAAAAGCCCTTACACTCAATATAAATTGGATTTTTTTAACCAATGTAAAGCTAAATGCAGGCACACACATAGTCTATAATGACCGGCTCATCTAATATTCATGCTGCTGTTGTCGGAATACATCGGTCTACATTAGAAACTCCCCGACTCCCACTCGGGTTAATGAAATCCAATCTCTGGGTTGACCGTAAGTGCAACGTGGAGCTTTACGGAGGAAAATTAACCCCTGCGGACCCTTTTTCTCTCCTTCCCGATCCATTTGGCCTCCCTCTCGTTTGTATCAATTAGGCAGCAAACAGGATTACTCGGACTGCTGGTGCAGCCAACGCTGAAAAGCGTTTGCACATCAGGGATGCAGAAAGCAGCTGGGCCTCGGGGCTCCGAGGTCCCTCATGTGGCTCGGATTTACATTCTGCAGACTGGCAACAAACAAAATAAGAGGCTCAACAACCGACAGCATGACTTATTGTGATTTGCTCATTTTTAATTAACTACCGCAAGAACTGAAAGCCTCAAACACATCAGATTTTAAGATCTACACGTTAAATATAAATGTTGAAGTTAAGTTGAAGCTTACATGCCAACAACAGGCTGAAAAGCTCAGCAGCCTTTTCATCGAGAAAATCAATTACAAGTCTGTCTGTTTCACATAATTGGAAATACTGAGTTCAGTATCAAGTTGGAGCCAATTAATCCTCGAAAACTCTCCTCTGTGCCGTTAAGCAGCGTGTTAACCTCTGGGATGTTATTGTATGGCCACACATGTCCACATACATTTATTCTGCTGCTTTAGGGCTTGAGGCAAACCAATTACCGGGAGCTAGTGAGACTTTTTCAGCCAACTTTCAATTAAAAAAAAAGACATTTGCTGTGAGGTACGCTCCGTGTACGACCTGGTTTACAAGAAGTTTGGACATTGTGTGAAAAGTTGATAAGAACTGATTTTGAGGGTTTACAAATAACTCAAACTCACATGCCGAACCACTTACTGCACATACTCCAACAGCATCTACAGGTGGAGAGTTTTCTAACTGGTCTGTGGTTAGCTAATCATGACACTAAAATGCCACAAAGGAGATCCTGAACTGCTGAGTAGCTGAACTCCAATATTGCTTAAAGGTGTTGTAGTCAGGATCTGAGGAAGTTCAAGTTTTTAGGAGAAATCTTGAATGTAAACTCTACCCCTCCCAACCAGTTTTCCCCTCAGCCCCTCCTCTCTGCTCCAGCAAGCCCCGCCCACAAACAGACGCTCCTGCTCGCTCGTATCGTTCCAATTAAATTCAGATAAAATGCAGATAAATACTTCAGATCATTACAAATGGGGCCCAGTCAAGGTGAAAGTCAAAAGCATTGGTGCTACTGTAGATGCCAACAGACTACCAGCAAACACAATGTTTGCAGGACTTCTACAACTAGGATAAAGTGACATAGTCCAGGACCCGAGGGAGGACAGTTTAGCGATGGCGCTACAACACGCTACAGCAGGTCCGTTTGACAAGAAACACTTCTGTTACAGACACTTGTCTTACTTTGTTAAAGCGGTTTACCTGTCCAGCAGAAAGGTTACAGGGTCACCAAGATCCCCAAGCGTCCCCCATCGTTTATGTTGACCCGGCTTTTTAGCTCTTGTCCGGTCTACCTCCGTTTTAAGCGCCCGTTATTCCTCCAGAGTCTCCGGTATTTACTTTGTTTTCTTGCTTGTGTCGGCAGTCGTGGTCAAAGGAGGATTCAGACAATTTTCCGAACTTTCTGGTTGGTTTCTACTGTCTGATATTGTAGCACGCTAACTTTGTTTGGGCTCGTGAATGACACGGGGGAGCCTCACAACCAATCAGGTTAGAGGAGGTGGAGAACGGCTTTGTTTACAGTCAGAAAGAGCGGACCGCTCAAAAATGTTCAAATGTTGACGACACAGACATACCAAAACACAATGATATCATTATATTACCAAATGTCATCAATAACTAACAACTATTGACTGATATTAAAAGCTTTTTTCTATTTACACCACAAAAAAAGATGCCTCTTTAACAGATTCCTGCCGACCTCACCTTTAAATTGTGGTTTCAATGCCGTGTTGTTGAGTATCTAAGAGGGGGAGGTTCAGTCTGACCTTGTTGTGTTTTCGAGCTCCGGTAAGTTTTTTTGAAGCTCATTAGGGTTTGACAAAGAGGACAACATAACTGAGGAAGTCATTAAAGCTTGTTATATAACCTACTGTATAACACTGATGTGACTGCCATCATTTAAGGGGGATAATTAGACGGACACTGTGTGGAATATATGAGGCCTACCTGGTGTCAGTTATATCATAATGTCGGTAATAAACTCACCATCGAGTGTGACCCCCACGGCTGGACATCTGCTCATCAGGGACTGTAATGAACATGATCTCAAGGGTAATATGTAAAGTCATGTGTAAGCTCATGTTTCAAGGTCATCTCTGCCTCTGAGATGTGAATCCATCTGACTTCATTTCAACGTCCTTTAAACTAATTTTCCAAAGTTCGATTCCCAAAATTTAAACATCAATCCTTTTTCTGTGGTTCAATATCTAAAAATGTTAATAATTTCTGACACTAAAACAGTTTTGTCATCTGCAAATAATGTGCAACTTTGAGACCAAACATTTATCATCAATGTGAACTGCAAAGGTCCAAGTATTGAACCCTGTGGCACTCCGCTCGTAACCTTCAAAGTGGTTTTAACTCGTGTTGTTACTAGGACTGGGTGATTATATGATCGTAATTAATGATTGTGATAAATTTCAGTTCGATCACGGTGATCAGCTGTGAACATATTTACTCGATCAAACATCAGCGGGAATGTGCGTGACAACAGCCAATCAGAGTCGAGCTTTTCTTGCTCACTTCTGTAAGTTGCTGCAGAAGTAAACGGGAGGAAAACAAATGACTGAATGTGGAGTTATCTGATGTAATTTGCTGATGATGAGCAGGTGAATTTGCCTGTTAAGGTCCCAACCAAAGACTCTCTGCAGGTCGTGCTGACCTGCATAAGTGATATCAAGACATGGATGGATCACACTGATACTTGTCCTCGTACAACTAGTCAACAAAAACAGAAAAAGAAATTGATAAAGTCCTTTATTGTGAAAATCAAACAGAAGAAAAACTGCTAAAATGAAAACGCTTGTTGGTTTGAAGTCAAATAAAAATCTGTCTCTTATTATCAGAGTTAACAACAGTTCAGCTGTAGGACGACGTCTCCATCTCTGATACGTTTTATTGTTCTAACTTTCTCGTCAACTTGATACTTGAGAATGAAAATAAAGAATCGGTAAACTGACAGTTAATTCATTTTTTTGTCGTAGCCCAGAGAGAAAGTGCGGGAACAAAGCTAACATTTTCAGGTAGTCACACATCATCATCGACTTCATTCTCTCGGAGTCTCCAGTAGAGAATTAGCTCAACAGTGATAGCACATTAGCATCTATGAGAGGGGAGAAAAAATGGTGTTTTATCATTTAAAAAGAGATTAAACATTTTTATACATATGTGCAGACATCAACATGTGCAACAAATCCACACAAAAATGACACATAAGGCTCAACACTTTCTCTCTTATAGCGATTTCCACTGATGAATACCAGCGTTCAATTTGATAAAACCGAGAATGACGTCAAACCGCCACAGAAACACCGAAGACACTCAACAGTACAGAAGCTTTAGAGTCAATCTACAGTACATGTTGGTCTTTACACTGAAGCAGATGAATGGGGAATCCTTAATGAATATAGTACCTACAGCCTGTCATTAAAGTTATATTTTTATATTATATACATATTACATTATGTTACACGCAGCCTGTCTTCAATTAAACTAAACTACCTAAAGTAAAGTGTAAGTCTACTAAAAAGCATGCTGTTGAATATTAAAAAAACTACTCAAATAAACCCAACCTTTAATTTAGTAAAATATTAAACAATAAAAACGCATAAAAAAAGATTCAGATCCAAAAAAATAAACGTTTTAAAGACAGAGAAAAAAAAAAGATATCCGACGCCTCTGACATAATCACACAATCGTATTTAAATCAAGTCTTTGTTGATCGACTTGAAATTTTTTCCATTTCGGTTTTGGGGTTGAGCATCAGAGATTTCTGAGATTATTGTTTTGTGCTTTTTGCTCAGTCGTTTAAAATCCTGGTGAAACTGACGCGAAATATGCAGAAAATAAATAACATGAACTGGAAACATAACTCTCATATCAATAGAAGTTACAGAAGTCTGGTGTATTTAAAGCACAGCTGCATACAAAGGATTAAAACTAGAGTAAAGCACAGAAATGTCGAGATAGAGAGACGACGTATGGGTGTGATTTTCTTAGATTTGTTAATTAATGCCGAGGGTTTTAAGACTTTTCTGTGCAGGATGAGATTTGAGATATTCTCTTCAGTATTTTGGTTCAGTCAGATTATCAGGCGTCCTCAAAGAGTTTATAATAATGAGGCACAAACACGCAGACATATTTCCCCCTAACACTGGTCTGACACCTGATATAACGACTCTCTTTCACATATCAGGGTCTGGGTTCTCATAATAAGATCTCTGTAACAAAGATCATGTAACTCTACTGTTCCCTTTTATAAATGGATTTACACTGTGCACACTGTAATTTTGCTGCAGTACTGGTTGAATAACTGGTTTACACACCATGAAAGTAAAATAACAGAAATAAAACCAGTTTTCTGTGACAGGATCCGAGACGATCCTTCAAAGACTGTAAAGTCTCTAAAATATTGAGCTTGTTAGCCGTGCTTGGATGAACACAGATGCTACAAAGTGCCCGCTTTGTGCGGCGGCCTACGAGACGAGAGCGTGAGATTGATTGTGAGAGAACAAGCCGCAAAGGAAAGTTTGGTTGTAATCTTAAGCGCTTGGTGATGATCGGCAGCAGGACTAATTAAGCAAGTCTGGAAAAAACAATTCGCTCCAGTAAACCCGGAAGCATTTGGATGCCCAACCCTTCGTCTTTGTTCGACATATACTCATAACAGTTTGTTTTTCAGCTACAGTTTCTCAGTTGTAAGTTTGTGTGATGTTTTCTATGTCAAAGTAGTGCGCCGTGTCACTGAGTAAGGCAAAAATCAAAGTGCAACAAAAAGTGACTTTTTCGTTTTCTAAGCTCTACAGGAGAAGCCGTTTGGGATAAAGGCTACAAGTCAACACTACTTCAGCAACAGCGTTTAATTTGGACTTTGAAAATCCAAATCAATACCAGTTTGTGAGGTAGTTTGATTTTCTCACCAACGTATTAAACACATGACTGTACGCAGGCTGTCGGATGATAAATAACCTCTAAAAATCCTTCTGAAAATCCGACGAAAGACCCTCCCACCTGTAGGAATGACGTTTTCATCTTGACTGTATTTTCATTACATTGCACTAAATAACTGGACTTAAAAACATGTGCTAGATTAATCCTGAAATGGCCACAACATCCAACAGCAGCGAATTAAAGAAAGGAATTAAAAAATGTGCCCTAAAAATGGTTTCTAAATGGCGTGGAGGCGTCAACGAAACACCTGCCAACAGTCATTTCTCCCCATCACTGCACCAGGTACGAAGAGAACGTCTCCTCTGACAGTTTGATTGTGTTCCGGTGGATGATCTGCTCGATGGCGATGTAGGTCCCCGTGAGGAACCCGATCAACCCAAAGACACTGATGATGACGTTCTTGGCGGTCACCACCGGCGAGAGGCCCTCCGAGTGAAACGTTACAATCTGAAGCAACGGGGGGAAGATCAGCGCCAGGAAACTGCTGCTGACCGAGCCGACCAATGAGATGACCAAATCCAGCTCCGGTATCAGGATGGCGAGAGCGCCTGGAGGAGGACAAGACAGAGATTCAAAATCAGGAAAGGATAATAGGCTGAGTAAAATAAGAGTGCCGCCTCTGTGCTGTCACAGATTTTCCAGACTGTAAACATGTTTGTTTCTGCTCCAAAGTCAGACATGTCCTTAATCTGACCGAAAAGGAATCTAACAGCTGGTGCAGCCTGCCTCTAGTGGACTCTAGAGGAACTGCAGTCCTTTTACACCTTAGAACAGATCTGAGGAAACATCACATACACTGTTAATGTCATGGACCAGTGCATCCATCCATCCAAACTTCTATCCATGCATCATCCATCCATCCTTCTATCATTCCATCAATCCATCCACCCATCCATGCATTCATCCATCCATCCATATGGGCATACATCCATCCCTCTATGCATCTTTCCATTCCTCCATCCATCCTTCCTTCCACGCATCTGTCCTCATTTGCATCCTTCCACCCATCCATCGATCTACCCATGCATCCATCCATCTAGTCCTTCATCTATGCATCCATCCATCCATTAATCATCCATCCTTTTGTGCATCCTTCCACCCATTCATCGATCTATTCATCCATCCATCCATGTAGTCCTTCATCCATGCATCCATCCTTTTTAAACACACCCATTCATTTGTGAATCCATCCATTCATTTCTTAGGCCATTCATTCACTCTTACATTTATCTGTCAATCCTCCATCCAATCTTCCATCCATCCATTTATTCATCCACTCATCCATCAGTTCCATTTTACACCCATCTTGCCACCTGTCCCATGATCCTTTTCTCTATTTCTCTATTATCCAATCATTTCTTTCTCTATCACCTATTTTTTTTTTCCATTGGTTAAATCCATCCATTCATTCCTTCACTCATCTGTTCATTTCTTTATGCGTCAATTTAATCTTCCATCTGTTCATTTCTCTAGCGGTTCAATTACTCACAAGTCCATTTATTCCTTTATTTATCCATCCAGTAATTCCTCCATGCATAAATCCATCCTTTCCACCAATCATCCATCCATCTTTACTGCTCAGTGTCAGTTGTTGTACTTTATTCTTTCAGGGTCAGAGTTGACTCTAATCAGTCCACATGTGCCTCTTAGAGATCATTTCTAAGAGCTTCAGATGAACATCTGCTGTTGACCAGACTTTCCAATCAGACTAATTCATAAAAACTGAATCCATGTCTCTTTTAATTGAACGCAGATATTTATACTGATGACGAGTTTCAGTCACAGGACATCTGGATCTTTAATTATCACAGAATCAAACTGAGATGAAGTCGGCTTCTGCTTGGCTTGCAGCCCTGAATCTTAGCCGAGGAGACGGTTATTTGTAACGTGAGACAACGACACTTCTTATGGGTATTAATCACACTTCCTGTTTGTTTCGAATAGATAAGACTTTAAATGAGTAAAACACTGTGAGCGATGACCACAGATGTTAATCTGAATCGTCACCCGAGTCTTAGAGAAACGGATTGTTAAAATGAGAGTATGTTTGTCATTATTATCCTTTTCTTTCCCATTTCCTCAACTTCTTTTAAATCACAGGTTGTCTGTCCTGCAGAATTACAGCTGCAGTTGTTCAACAACTCATTAAAGAGTCATTACAAAGTTGCATATTCCTATTAAGAGCAACTTTTTCAATAACCAAGCGTCGCCAGACTATTCATAATCTGGTTGGTCGGTCTGGAGACACCATATCCTGCTATTCCTCCAAGCGTTTTGCACAAATTCTACAACAGAGAAGGTTCTGCCACTTCAGTACAACTTCATCATATCAATCAATGATATTTCAGCATACCAGCTAGGGCCAAAAATAAAATCCCAATTTTTTTCTCTCTCGATTTTTAATTCAGTGACAACTTCACCAAACTTCACTTTAATAAAAAGTTTTTAATCATCTCTCAAAACGAACCACTGAAAATGATGTAGTGCATATGCCAAGCCAGTAAGTGGCGCTGTAACGCTGCACAAGAAATGAACAAAAGACAGAAGAAGAGTACAGAGCATGTATATGAAGGTTGTTTTGGCTGGACACGCTCAGGCGCCATAAAAGAGTTATGCTGTTTGTCACATGATCGTTTCCAGAGATGCAGATAGACATCCACACGGAGATGAAATGGTCGTCGTTTACAGATTTATTCACTCTCTGACCCGTTTTCAAAAGGTGCCGTTTCCAGTCAACCAAAACACCGTTTCCATGTGGATGAAACGCAGATACGAGTAAAAACTTGAGTGTTTACTCCTGAATTCATTTCCGTGTGGACGGGTTGACTTTGCAGACTTTACAGCGGGGAGTGGTTTGCTCTTTATCTGAAACTGTGAAGCCGTACCAATTCCACACAACTGACTTGCTCTTGTCCTGGAGAAGACTGCATATTAACATTTGTGGGTCAAGTTCGAAGTAGATTTTTTGAAAAACTGACAGCCCCAATGAGTACCCATCTCAATGTTAAATCAGTGATAAACCAAGTGTGGATATTGGTACATCCAGAGAGAAATGGCACACTGTGACATCGATTCCACATAGTCACATGATTAATGTGAAGGTGTAGCTGTGTGATGAAGGCAGAGCTTTTTTACAGCGCTTCCGTAGACTTGCAACTGCAAAAGGAGAATCAACGTCAATCTTAAAACATACAGTCACTCAAATACAAAACTCAAGGCTACAATAGACTCTCAAAAAGTGGGTAGGAGTATAATATAGACAACTCAACAGCCTTCATTCTCAAAGCCTGACGCCCAAACCCGGCGGAGTTGATGAAAAGGACTAACATAACAATGCTGTGATCATAAAAGGCATTTTTAAACGTTTTAAATGGTTTTTAATGAGAATTTCTGCAACCTCCAAGTTGTCGAGGCTTCTTTCTTTCTCAACCGTTCGGGGTTTCTCTGCGAGCTCTTATTTTTTTAAGGTAACGCGTTGTATAAAAAAAAATCATACAAACTCTTACATTGTGTTTTGTGATGCAAATTTAATACCATCTCTGTGACAAAAAGCATCTCTTCCAATTTAACCCGCCCAACCCCCCCGTCACACAAGAATGATCACGTGTAATAGAAGAGCTAGATGAGGAAATTACTTTGTTGTTGACAAGATAAAAGTGATGGTTTCCTCATTTTCATCTGCTCCGCGGCACAGATCTGGAAAAAAAATCAGACCAAAGGTACAACAGAGCGGAGGAGGTTATGTGGATGAGGGTGAAAGGGGGATGGATGAGAAATGAGGTGATTCGTAGGAGGTAATAAAGGGAGAATGCAGGTAGGGGGAGTAAAAGAAGATGGATGAAAAGGTGGGGGGAAGAAGAAAAATTGAATAAAAAGCAGAGGGCTTTCAGGGCCTAAATAAAGCTGTGATTGTCGGGACTGTTTTTCACGTGTGGGCCGGAACGGTCACCACGCTGCTGAGGCCACCGGGGGACCTGAGTCACCTTTATCCGTTGCCGTGGGGACAGGCATAAACACTGATGTGCAGCCGTGCTCGGACAAAACAAGCGCCCGCTCTGATGCCATGGCACATTGTCACGACAGAGGTGTGTGTTTTGGTTCCTGCTGACAAACTCCGGGGCTGAGCTTAAACCCTGAAGCGAGCACATGGGCGATTGTTACACGCACGGACACACCGGAAAAGAGACCTGCCGGCTTTGCTGCACAAACACACACACCCTGAGCTCTGTCTGTCTGTCTGTTAGCATCTTCTCCAAAGTGAGAGGAGAGGACAAGTCGGCTGTTCTTGTTCCATCAGTACGTCGGACAGTGATTACCAGCAGCTGATAAAAGACCCTTTGAACCATAATCAATTGCACACTGCTGCATCTTCACAAAGTCTGTCAAATTAACCTGAGGGGGCGACGGCAAGGTCGGACTTTCATGTGATAAGTAACGGCCGAAGCATTTCTCCGCCACTCACTCGCTGGGAGGAAACCTGTCACTTCTGAGGAAAGACCCACGCCGTCGAAGGTTTCGCTTCAAACTGCATGTGAAGTTTTCGAAACCGTCAAACAAAGCGAGCGTGACGGTGAGGGATGACAGTCGGAGAAGAGGAAGGGGATACCTAAAGATTGCGTCGAGACTTCAGAGCAAATAAACTGTAAAGCTGTAGCTAAAGAGGCTGGTTACTGTTCCCCGGAGAGACAGGCAGAACGTGGATCATCAAGCTGCTTCAAAGGCCTGAGGATCGAACGCTCCCAGCACATTAATTTGGCCGGCCAACCTCCGATCTCACAAGAAACAAAGAGAAAACACGACTTTCTTCCCCCCTCAGCCTGCCGGGGCTTTGGTATGCTGGGGAGCGCTCCACACGGAGAGAGGCGCCCCTGTGGAGAAAAACCAACCCGGAGGAGGAGGAGGAGAAATGTGATCATGGTGGTGTTATGATGTAAGGTAGAGAAAAGCGCGTTTGATGGAGGCAAGGTGAATGAGTGACCTTTCCAACCACGAGCCTTTAAAGCTGAACGAGAGTTTGCTGAGTTTCAAGTCTCTGAGAAGGCAAGACAGACTTTGTCTTAATGTTGAATCTGGTGTTTTCAAATCAGAGGTCAAGGTTTTTTACGTTCAGTTGGGCGTAGAGTCACCAAAAGCTTTGGTATTGCTTACGTGGAGTCACGAATCAAGACAACCGCAAAATTTGACTTTTTTGACAAAAGTAGAGAGTCTACCTAGAGCTCTCCTGGCTCAGCAATGTTTGCTGGTGTTAAAGTGAGAACTTGACGAACTCTTGGCGAAATCTGTGTATATTGTCCTTTTCCCTCATTGTCTTCATGCAAATCTTGCACACAGCCTTGTTAAGACTTGCTGGCTTTCCCTTGTCAGTTAGGTGATCTAGTTGCCTTGAAACTCTCTGCAGGCAGTTTCTAAACTGAGCCCACAACTTTACAATCCGCTGGGAGAGGCAGCATGTCAGCCAGGTAGAGTCAATTACCTCCAGAGGCAGAAGAGCTCGCCCTGAGATTGGATCGAGGATTGATGGGGAAGGTCTCGGTTACCTGTTTCTCCACAGTCAACCTGAGTGTCAGGAATGCCGTTTCACTGTCTCATTTCTTCACCTCCTCGCCACCAGCTGGACCGACTGCCTCAAGTAGGACTTTTCATCTGGTAAGACGCAGAGTCGGCTGCTCAACGGACTGAAGCTCATTAAAAAAAGGGAGGGGGGGCCGGTCTCCTCAGCAGATTTTCAGGCTATTTTCACAGGGACCAGCAAGTGAACAGTCAAGGTCTGTATATGCTAATGATTATCAGCCAGGAGTCACTCTGCTCAACATGACGCCAGCAGCAGCAGCAGCTAGATTAAAACTTTGCTGACAGTACAATACAGAGGACTTCATTCGCATGTAAGTGTACGCCCTGCCTGTTTCCTTTCAATGTCTTCATCAAAGGTGACCATGAGTTTGAGCAACATTACAAACTTTCCCCCAAGTAAAGTAGATCTGGAGGTAACAAAAGGTAAAGGAAGGTTTGTTTTTTTTCCCAAAGAATTATCAAAAGACATGATGAAATAGTTCAGTACATGGTTGACAACCTAAACTATAACTATGCTTTTCTATACATGTCATTTTTTTGCCTGGAACTGCACTTCTGCTCAGTCTCTGTCCATTAATTCAAATCAGTGTAAAAAAAGAACAAAGTGACCCACCTCTGAGATAAACAAGCTCTGATTTCCACCTTATTTCAAAAGATACTTCCTTAAAACTGATGATGGGTCACCTCTTTCATGGTTAGTCATGACCCTTTCTATTATGATTATCATTATCTGAGGGTTTTATATTTCTCAAATCATTCATAGCAGGTGCCATCAGTTGGTCAGGTGTGCAGGTCCTAAAGGTCCCATAATTAATACTGTATTTGTTTTTTGCATATGCATATAAACTTAGACGTGAATGTGAAAGCTTCTGTAGTCCATCTGCTGGGAGAAGATCTCCTGTGGTGATGTCACAACAGGAATGAAAAATCACTCTCACTTCCTGATCAGTTACACGTCTTCCTCCACTGTCGTTGGTTTGTGTTGCAGAGTTAAGAGTCAGACACATTGATTGCTCTGTTGTTCAAACAGCAGTTACATTTTATTTTTTTAACAATATGCTGGCTAAAGTTGGTGGTACTTTGCTTGTTTGTACAACTCCAACAACCGTCAGCATACAGGTGAGTTTGACACTTTGTGATGGTACCTAAAGTTTATTAACAGAAGTATTTGGCTTGGTGCTGGCGCATTGTTTTTCTGGAGTGCTCTCCATTTCCGTTCTGGTGTTTTTCCACCTCTGCACTGGTCTGTACCCTACCCCCTCTGACAACCACCCATTCAGGTCAACGCATCGACCCATTTGAGTTAATGTCATATATTTTATTTTATTTTTCTCTCTTGATATTGAGCCACTGTTTTGCAGATGTGATAATTCCATCTTGCATAAACTCTGTAATCCTCCACTGTACTGCGGTCCATCCTGTCAGCTGCTGCTAGATTCGTTGCTGCTGTCTATTGAGTGCTCTACTGTACGAAGAAGTAATAGCGGTTCACACTGAGAAAATTGACAAGACTCCTTGAACTTTTAATGCTGTCTGCAGAAAACATCTCTAAAATCACTGGAAGGTGCTTGTAAATCCGCTGTCAATGACAAATCTATAAACCACAATGTTGCAAAGAGAAAGACAAAGTTGTAAAACTCTGACACAAGCTGATATACGATTCTTCTGATGTGTTCTTGTCATTGCCGGCGGAGTTTATGGCTTGTCCAAACAGCCATGATCCCTAACGATCATTACCTTGGCATCAAACACACCTCCTCTGCTATTTTCCCTCGCCTTTGCCCTCCACTTCTCCATCAAGCTAACCTTTGGCTCCCCTCAAACTCTCCCACTACTTCATTATGCTGTTGAGTCAGCAATCAGCTTTCCTCCTTGCCTCATGAGCTGACAGTCCGGATTCTCGATTACTCACTTTGGACTGCTGCTTTAAGAATCGATGTCTCAGATGTACTGAGTTTTTTTTCACTGCCACAAAATGAGAAAGGAATGATGGAGCTGCAACTGTTTTACTGTCAGCGTAAGGTCAATGATATGGACTCGAGACATCCGGACAACTGCAAGAACTGAGTTACTGTTGGTATTGAGTGATCTACAGAGCTCATTCTGCCTGTTAAAGGGATTTAACTTGACTATTGTACCTTTCCCAGATTACAAGTAGCTGGAGAGAGGAGCCCAACAAAAGTATGTCTGCCTCTGCTTCGGCGGGTGGCAGAGCATCATCTTTCAGCTCGTTTCTTCTGCGCTGTTTCCTAGTTAAGCTTTTATGTCACATGCAAAAACAATCAACAACTGCGTTAGCAAGAGACTTTCTTTGTGGACATATGGGTCTGGAATTTCTGCAATTTTAAGAGGTTTTCCTTGGACGCAGGTAAACCAGACCAATCACAATCCTGTACTCAAGAAGACGACACGGAAGCTCTGTTTTAGGGTATTACCTCCTATGACGGTCAGTTTAAAGACACTGGTTGACTATTTTCCTGAGAATAAAACCTGGAACAAAAGCTTCTTCAACTTTTAATGGTGTGAAAGGTACATTTCTTTCTTTGGCAATCTTCTGTCAACTTTCCAAGCTGTTGGACAAACTTTGGTTCAACTTTGCTGTTAGGACGGTGGAATGTTACACAGTGTACCTTGTTTTTCCCCCTATGCTACGCGAGTCATCATGACTCCAGGACAAAATAAAGAGGATTTTCTTACAACAAAGAAATCTTACATGTTGGTCTGATGAGCAAATATGTCGAGAAGCAGAAACACTTTCTCACTCTTCAATTACCAACTCTTGTTGGATGCTCCTGCTGTCCTCGCTCAACTATTCATCCTAGACCCTCTACAAATGGCAACCAATTCCCCTGAAATTAAATACATTATTTCCACCCTTGGGATACCATGGGAGAGCAGTTCCACCAAATGGAAATAGGATGCGCTAATCAAAGTTACCAATTCAATTTATCATGGCTGATGGTTGTTTGAAATTATGAATCTAGCAGGCGATGGAGACCGGTATGACGACTTTTTCCAGTCAGTGGATACGGATTCATTTAATCAGGAGGTGAACGCCTGCTGCAGGGTGATAATCAAAACTGACTGTGTTGATTTTTGATTGAATTTTCATTTCACCTTTTTAGAACCAGAGCTACCGCGATCACTTCAAAGTTTTCTTTGTACATGGAGTTAAGGACTGTAGATAGAAAAACTATCAGACTGATGGTTGAAGTGGTGTGATAGCTTTGATCGTTGCAGAAAGTTAGCGGCAGTAGAAGTTTCTTCTTCCTCTAAAACGGTTGATTCAGGGTGTGTGAGGACTTTAACTGGAGCCATATGAGGAACTACAGACTGAATCAGCGTTCGTTTACAATGACCTCCAAGCATCTTGGACATCTCCAACCAGAGAGTTCGGCTCTCACCCTTTTTCTTTAACTGCGAGAGTTGGAAAAAGAACCAAGGTTTAAGTCACATCCTTGAGTTGCTCTTTCATGATCATTTGAGGACTTCAAAACTTTATTTGAATGTATGTCTGTAGCCTACAATGAAAGCCGAGCACAGGTTTGTCTGCCCTTCACCGAACGTATTTAGAAAGAAAATGCACTCTATAGAGACAGTAAACAAAAACATCTGCTCTGAATACTTTAAAAAAGTGTTGTTTTATTCTCATTAAGCCTTTTCTTGCTGTCTCTGAGATTATTTTCTACTGCTGTGATGCAGTGGAATTACTTTTCACCTGTTAAAGGTAAAGAAAATATGGATGTTGGTGCAAAGTAGATGAGCTAGTAGACTCTGAAGGGGAACTAAATGGTCTGAAGTATCCTGAAGTATCCTCGATGAACTTTGCCATTCATTAAGAAGTATTACACAGATTGCTTGCTGAAAAGAAACACTACTTCATACTAAGCGCACTAATGAGACTGCAAACCAAGACCTTCTCGTCAGACCACTATTGAAATGCAAATGTAAACATAAATATACAAACATGTACAACAAAAGGCTCACTTTAAATGTCAAATGAAAGCAATTTCACCAGTCTGGGGAATATGTAAACACACCACTAAGTGTTGATCCTAAGCAGGAGAGATTTAGCCTTGAAAAGCCGCCTGGACTTTATGTGTGAGTGGAGTAATAGGCACCAACGCTGAGAGTACAGTGTGTGGTGTGAGTGTCTGTTTATGAGTAAGGCTTCAAGGTGGAATTACTACAAATGCAGATGACTGTTTCCCTTCCGCAGCAAAGACGACATTTGTGGAGAATGATTGCTCTAAATTGTATGGCTGTGAGCGACTGTATGATAAATAAGTACGTTTGCTGCTTGTTCAGAGCCCTGTTTCATGAATAAATCCATATCAATCCCTCCTGAAACTGTAATTTTGAAATAACCGACGTAAATCTTGAGCCAAATGGAAAACAGGACACAGGGTGTGCAATCATGTTTCATGGATGAAGAAGAAAGTTTGTTTCAGATTATGAGGAGGAACCGGTCACATTCATGAGCAGGTAAAAGTGGCCTAAAGTCCAGGAAAGAGGATTAAATGATAAGAGATAAAAAGTTTATTACTGTTGGAAAGAAAGACCTGATGAGTCTGAGACTGCAAGAGGAAAGCTGAGCTGCTGATCTTTTTCACCACCAAATCTTATCAGTAGACCTTTAAGATGCATGACAAATACATGGAGAAAATTTCATGCAACTCTGGGTATCTGATGTTGAGGTTAGTTCCTTCAAACGGTTGGTAAGTAGGTCCACTGGGTGCAGGTCAGAGGATCACTGACACTAAAGCGTCTTCATGCTGCGAGTGAGTTTAATGAAGTTGTGACGTTTTGAGGTTTATCAGCAACATCGACAAGTGAAGGTTGTGCCGTCAGAGCAGACACTTTAAAAGCCAAAGACCTTTTCTCCTCTCACAACAAACAAAAGCTGTTAGCACCTTTCGGGAATTCTTCACAGAAAAATAATGACAAACAGAGTCCAGCACTACAGACTCCCAGTGGACACCTTACTTTATCTCCTCAGCAAACAAGTCAGAGGATAAGTGAGCAGCAGGATCAGAGAGACTGTTGTCCTTCTGTGGCTTGACTTTACAGTGACCTGTCTGTATTTAAGAGCCCTCGGGTGATACTCCAGGTTTTTGAGGCAGCCTGAAAGTGCAAGATAGGCTTAACACAGGCTCTTTGACGGAGCGCTGACCTGTTTGTCCTGCAGTAGAAACAGAACTTTTTGCCCTGTCATGGGTCCAAAACACACTCCAAAACTAAGAGCGGAAGTCGAGGAGGTTGATTCTCCTCCGTATGAGTCCTTCTCACCTTTCCTTAACGGCGATAAAGAAAAAACTTTGGGTTCACAGAGGGACGACTGTCCTGTTTGACATTCTGCTGACTCTCCTGTGTATAAAAGCTTGACTGCGGTCCTTCAGCAGTTACCTTCCTACTGTGAAAGTGCAAACTCTAAAAACTTAAAATTCCACAGTCTCATCTTGTCAGGACGCTAAGCTTCACCCAGCAAGATCCTATTTCCCAACTCAGCCGCTTTGTGAGGCAAAGATCAAATGTTGATGACTTTGGTTTTTCTCTACCTGGACAGGAAAGTTACTTTTTTGATACAGGAGAATGAAAATTTCTTCTTTAAGTTTCAGTTTCATCAACCTTGTATTGGCACCAGTGACCACAGTGACACCGAGCTTTAGGGGCTCAAATCAAGACCAGCTTGAGCTGAATAAATGCCCGGCAGTGGGATAGTTTTCATCAAAAAGTCGATATATTGGGGGCTTCTGCTTGTTAAGTCTAAAAATGGATGAGTCACTCAAAGGCCAGCAATTCATGCACTATGGGTAGTTAAAGCAGTGCAGGTGAAACCATGTGATGACCAAGTGTCACTGTACATGATCCTAACTTTAAATATTGGCCAACACATTTTTAAAGTCATACAACATCTAGATTTTGTTGCGTTACTCGAGCAAAATTCACGTTTCATTCCCTGATATTCTGCAACAGCAAACCAGCGCAGCAGGAACCTTCACACAGCACACAGCAGCTACACACCAAGAAGACTCATTGTGCCGTTATGTTCAAGCGTTTCCTCTTTTATGTCCTTTCTTCCTACATCTTTATTTGCTCAAATGGAAAGAAAATGCACAGATCAACAGATCATATTTTAGTTTTGTCAGAAATTTTTTAGGACCTTCAGTTATGTCAAAAGTCGGAGCATGTTTAGTACCTGATCCGAACACAGAGATTAAGAAAACCTGGGCGGGCAGAAAGCAGAAAAAAAAAAAAGCAGAAATGTGGAGAGATAAAGTTGCAGGTCAGAGGTTGACCTTTCCCAACCAGCAGGAGAAACAGACAGAAACCTTCAGCTGCCGAACAGTCTGATAACTCTGACTGTGCTTCTTTTACCTCGGCTGACACTCACACAGAGCTTTAGTGTCAATGTTTGCTGAGGAGAGACTGAGCGTCGAATAGGAAGGCGAGTTTGAAAAGTGTTCCTCACAGATTCAGACTGAGCTCAGATTAGGTGCAGTGATCCACATAAAGAGGCTATTATTTGCGACATACAGGTTTAAAGTCATACTGGTCAGCTGCTGAAGTAAACCAAACTTTGGAAAATGTCTAAGCTCCTGAAACTGAGTTCGATTTTCTTCTGTCTTGATTCATTTGCTGCTATTTAAGCAACAACTCATTAACAATTGTCCAGCCACTGATAAGAGCCTGCATGCTTGGGGGACAAAGCCTAAAACAAGAGTGTGCTCTGAACTTTGGATTTACAGTTTGTCTCTGGCATAAAAAAAAATGTTTTTTCCATGTTCAGAACTTGACTGTCTCGAGCCTGAACTCCATCCAACACCTTTGGGAAGACCTGGAACAAGCCAGACCTTACTGCTCAACAGCCAAGTTTGAAAAACAGTAATGGTCTTGTGGCTGAATGGCAGCAAATCCCTGCAGTCAGGTTTAACATTTGGTGGAAAGCCTGTAACCAGTAGAGCGGAGGCTGGAGCAGCAGGATATTAAAGCCACGGGTTTGAGTGACTTTTAAAACACTCACGTAAAAAGAAGGATCAGCTCCACTCCTGTCTTTGAGGGAGGTTTTGCACCTGTGTTTTCAGGTTTTAAGGATTTAAGCAACAGAAAAACACAATTTTGCAATCCGCATACCACTCTATTAACGTGATTTATCGTGGCTTTAAACTCTCAAAGGCAGAGCCTCTCTTTAACAGCTTTCAAAAACAGAGATTTAGATTTATATAAAGTTTATCACACAAGCAGCTATCTGATCTTTGACTTTGACTTCTCCTAACAGACTCGAGGTAATTCAGATGAGCCCACACAGCTGCACAAAAGCAAAGGCCAAACAACAGAGGTGAATTAGCTCCACAAGACTTAAAGGTGAATGTGTGCAAGCATCATGTTCCTGAAAGGGTAAAAATATGACAGCACCACACTCCAACTACAAGCAGCATGCATTCCCGGCGGCACGCCACCTTTGTGCCACAGTGCTCCGGGATGAAGTTGAAAAAAATAAGAGAGGAAGAGGAGGCTCACGCGACATCCTCACGTCCTCTCTCGTTCCCGTCAACAGCTTAACAACACACGCTAGCTGCTCTGCTCGAGCCTGTGGCTAAGTGACTCAGACAAAGGCAGGACTTTCAAAGCAGAAATGGAAAGACCGCCGGTTTGGTTTCATGACTCCTCTTCGGGAAGTGTGGGTAAATGTGACTCTTGTTTTCCAGCCAAAATGAGCCAGTGAAGGAAGAAGAGCACGACGTCAGTCAGGGTTTCCTTTCAGTGTCGTAATTATGTGGAGAACTTTGAGTGATCGCAGCATCTTTATAATCATTCTGATATGATGATTTATGATTTATATCATGGATGGAGCAGTTTTTGTGTTTGTGTCCTCAGCTCAGACTTGAGGCCTGGATCGGTTTCTGCTGCAGAGTCATTTCCGAATTTTAAAGCCTTGAGTTTAAATAAACAGAAACTTAATAGTAATGCACGACTGTTGCTGGTCAGTTCTCACTTTGCAAGCTCTCTAGAAATTTCCTCCACTGTTGCACGGTCACAGACCATGATTCTCTATTTGAAATGAGGAATCTGAGGCCACTTTTACACGTACTCTGTTATTTTTAAAAACGGAGACATTAACCGCCCTTCATTTAGACACAAACGGAGAATTCGCCCCTGAAAACGATGCTTTTTAAAAACTAAGGCCGAAGTGAAGATTTCAGAAAACTCTGCATGTTTGCATGTAAACCGAGAAAAACAGAGATTTAGGTAGCCGACGGCATATTGTGCGCAGGAGAGAAGAAAGTGACGTTGTTGTTGTTGTTGCTGCTGGTTTGTGGGATTCTGATTGGCTAACGAGGGTTTGAGCTTCTCGCTACACTGCCACCTACAGGTTTGGCATGCTCTTGACGGCATATATACACGGGTTAGTGTAAACAAAAACTTTTCTGAAAACATACTGGTGTGCACGCAGTTTTTTTCGTAAACAGAGAGTGAAATGTCTGTTTATGAGAATAGCCGGGCACGTGTAAGCGAAGTCTGAAATATGACCCTGATTCTGATCCAAGAAGTTTGGAAAGGAAAAACGAAAACCTGAGACGACAGAGATCAGAGCCGGACGTGTCTGTCTGGGAAGTGTGGTGTTTATTGTGCAAATCTCTTCTTCTTCGCATGACTCCTGCTCACTTTTATCTCACAATTTAAAACTTAGTTTTTAATTTCACAAACACATAATTCCACCTTTGGAGCTTACATAAGTCAGCATCAACCTACGTGTTTAGTGTACAGCAAAGTCAATTCAACAGGCTGTTAAACTCAGCGGCCGTCTGGAGCTAATTCTGTCAATTACAGCCGCTGTGTTTTACACACTCTTGTAACCGAGGTGAAAACCATTTATTATGTAACCAGCCGCTGCAGCGCATCCTGTATCTCAACCCTCTGCCTCAGGTAAGACCTTCATTTGGCTGCTGAATGCTTATGGCATTTTTTTTTTAATTATCTGTGACTCAAAAGGTTAATGCTGTACATCAAGGCTGAGGCTGCAGAAATCTACTCTCCGCCAACAGTTCAGTCGGTTTTATTTATGTACTGTTGTGAGTTTTCATACAAGGTTGTATCTGGAAAGAACTGCGAGGCCAGAGGAAATGAACACAAACAAACAAAATATTATGACTTGACAGGAAAGTTCATGTTATCTTCTCGTAAGAAAAGTTATCTCATGGCCGTCATCATATAAAGGAAGTCTTGACCATACCCTTTCCATCATCATTGACCTCGCTGTACAGGCTCACTTAATGCAGCTCCACTATACAGCCCAGCATTAAGAATTTAAGTGCCCATTTGGGGTTTTATAGGCTGATCAAATGGCAATCAAAAGACCTGACCCTTTGGCAAACCTCGTTGAGCCTTATAATGTAACAGTATCAACTCATGAGAAAAAGCCATGTGGCATTCCTGAAGCTTCCACTCAGAGACTCTCTGATCCGAATCACCTGCAACAGAATGAGTAAGCTCCTCCGCCTATCTCTGCTAAATTAGAAAAGAGTGCTCACTTCAGAGGAAATCTCCCTGCATTGAGATGAACTGACCTTTACAGCTGGAGCATGAGTCAGAGCTCAGCTCACAGAGAAAGAGAAAGAGAGAGAGAGAGAGTTTGCTCAGGGTCCTTCTCCCTTAACTCTTATCTGACTGCTATAACTCGAGCTGACACCACTGACGGGAAAGGGGGTTGTTGCTGCGGAGGCGAGCTAGTGGAAACACTGAGTAACGTCATGGTTGATTTTACAGTTCTGCAACCTGAAAGCTCTCCTGAGTAAAATCATTATTCTATACTCCCCATACGGCCATATTTTCCAGCACTTTGGCAGCCTGTGTCCACACAAAGAGGTTTATCAGCTGATTGATCTCCTATTAGGCAGAGACGTTTTCTAAATGTTAAAGAACATATCACATAAATGAGATTAAGAATCGTTAAGTGGATATTCAGGGAGAGGAGCAGGAGGCGGCAGGTGTGTTTATCCATGAATGTCTGAAAAGCAAAGGGACGGACTGAGCTCAGCGAGAGAGGCTGAAGTCATCACGAAGACTGATGAGCTGATGACAAAGAGTGAGGGACATCATTCAGATTTATGAAAGCATAGAAGCTCAAGTCTTCAGAGGACATTTTATATGTATTATATATTTATTTGTGATGAGATCCAATCCTAGACCGCGTGGGCGAGGACTGGTCGAAAACTACACAAGTCAGACAGAGAAGACCATCTAGGGTTGTTGTTTTTGTAAATCAAGAGTAAAACCATATAACTGTCATTATCATCATTCGCAGTATTATTTTATGTGTTTGTGAATGAAACTTAATGATCACTTATCTATTTCACGACTCCAAATACTCTTTGAAAATGAGATAAATTATGTTAAAGGGGGAAAATAATGTTTTTCTCTGACCCGGAGTCTCAGGCGTTTCAAAATAACACCCTTTACAGCTGCTGTACTGTGACACCCTGAAGCTGTGTTGTGTTCGCCTGAGGTTATCACACTGTCAGAATCTCACACCAGCAGCTCATGCCTGTTTCCTACAGTGAAATGTTTATTTTCCATTCTAATACCTGTTCTTGACGATAAGCTGTAGGGGACAGGTGAGAACACGTCACATTCTGGGTAAATAGGAGGCCGGGTTTGGCGTACGGGGGGTTAAAATCCTGTAATATCTGATCTGGATGACTGAGACACAATTATGTGACCACATTTTCTTCATAAGATTTTTTTTCACTCTTCTCACCCCCAGCTAAGCTGTATAGACATATTGTCGTATTTGTCTTTTAATAACTTCCAGGAGCAATCATTGTGTAAATGCCAGCCGTGCCGAAAACCAGACACACACACACACACACGCTGTAAAAATAAGAGTTATTGTTTTTATTTCTTATTTTTGAAAAAAAAAAAAAAAGATGTAAAACTGTTGAAGAGGGAGGCACCTGCTCTGGGTAAAGCCCTTCAGTTCTCTGTCTTTGCTGCACATACTCAGATAACCTTGCAACACAAACAGCAGCACATCACCAGGCACAGCCGCAGAAGTGAAGACAAAAGCTTCTCCCTCCGGACAGCCAAGAACTGACTTCTGTTCTTGATTCAAAGACTCTCAGAAGCATCCTCTCCGAGATTTACTCAACACATACGCAGACGACAGCGCGCTGCTTCAATCTCATCTCCTATTCCGATTCAAAACTTAAAGCAATCTCCTTCTCGCAGACGCGCATGTTAGAGCAACAACCTCCTCAGGTCCCCGTCCCTCGCCTCCTTCCTTTATTCAAGCACGCATCAGTGAGATCCCACTGGAAGCTAGTCTTTTCTTGTTGCTGCGCAGTCTCCGCATTTCACTACACACGCTCCACTCAGCGCCAATGAAAGCCGGCTCTGCCTTGCAAATGACCTGGAGTCGTGAAGTGGCACATGTATGCATTTATTCCCTTTTATTAGCTTATCAACATGCATGTGCAGAAACCTATACAGTGTGGAAAATGCCATCTGCATAATTCTCTGCAGGCTCCAATCACAGCTAATAAAGGAAATGAGGATCCCGGGGCTAACAAGCGCTGCGGTTCTCTAACTGAATACGTCTGCCGTGACTTGAGGTTTTATTCAACGTGAAGTGCAATGAGGGGGGAATGGTAATGAACTGAGGCTGCTGGACATTTCTTGTTGGGAAAAACTTTCACATTCGCAAAGTATGAGCATTAATCTGTCGGAGTCTGATTGCTGCACAACCATAAACCTGGTATTGAACTGCACTGGGGACATCTCAGAAGAACAGTTAAATAAGCTGCATATGAAGAACATCCCTACGTCTATAGTTCATCTGATTCTCTGCTCTGTTTCCCTCGTGCGCTGCTTCTTCTGCATAATATGAATACCTTAAGAACTCCTTTGTGCCAAGAAAGCAGCATCTGTATCAAGCTCAGCTTGAGATGGACACATTCTTCTGCAACACTGCGAACCCTTCACATCTCTCGACGGAGTGGTGTGATTTAGCATCTTAACATTCATCATTTAATTGAGGCTTTTATGCAAAGCCGCACATGCTCAAGTGTGCAGGATACATAATACCTCTTAAGACAGCTAAACCTACATTATACCGTTGACTTTAAGTGCTACATGTTGCATAAGACTTGGAAACAGACAGGAAAAATAACCAAATTAATCCAAGTTGGATAATAAAGTCCTTACAGTTAGAGTTTGATGTGTGGAGCAGTGAGTCCAAACCTTTTTGACGTCAATAATGCACTAATCTTGATGCCATTAAGGTCTGAAATTCGCATTTTTAAGTGTGTGTAATGTAGGGCTGGGCGATTAACCGAAAATTTATGACATTAGCCGATGCCCTTTTGCCCATATCGATATATTAGGTGTCAAAAAAATAAATAAATCAAAGTTAGTTTTGGATGTTTGTAGGTAGGCTACGGTCTCATGTCCCTTTAAGACGCTGTTCTACATCTGAGACGTGACTCCACCCCATCCAGTCCGTAACAAAGAGGGAAAGACAGGTGAGGAGATGGAGGACGGTTCAAGAGTCGTAGCAGCTGAAGTAGACGAAGTTAATGTGGGAGGGGCCGAGCAGCTTGTGGAGTAGTTATCGTCCATTTATCATTATTGAGGTGAACTGATCAATGTATCGTGATATTGATTTGAGGCCATATCGCCCAGCCCTAGCGCAATGTAGTTTCGCATCTAGTCCTGCTTCAGCCATGATGGAAAATACCGCTGGGCTTTTATTTCAAACCTTTCATTTAAAAAAACTACACGATAGCTCAGTCAGCAAGTCAAAAGTGATCTACACTCCAATGGAAGTAAAATATCACAGACGTTTTTTGAGTTAGAGCTTCCACCAAGAAAGAAAGATAGCATACAGACGCAGCTAGATCGCAGACGCAACAGAGTGAGAGTAAAGTTAGAAGGTGTGTGTCTGCAAAGGGCAGAAGAAGACGAGACGAGAGAAACTGCCCTCTTCACATGAGGTAATGAAAAATGTGGTGCATTGATCTCTACAAATAAAGTAATTATACAGAAGTTGTTAAAAACCCCTCTGACTCCCACATGCTCTGTGCAGGTCGAGTTATTAGTGGGCAGAGATAACAGGATACACGGTGAAACTACAATATTCTGACATGTTTTCAGGATCATTTTCAGAAAAGCACATCTCGAAGTAAATAACAAAGAGATCAAACCACAACACTTCTGGCCCGATACCAAGCCTGCTCTGAAACTCTGACGTGAGTTACCAGCCTCCTCATTACTTGCAGATTGCTCATCGATTCCAGTGTGCCTGCTGCAAACTCAATTACTTCTTCAGTTCCTTGTTTTTGACAAACTAAGCTGTTTATAAGACCCTGTTAAGTCTTTCTGTTTTCCTTTTAACAGCAGCGAGAACAACAGTGAGGCCGCTTTCCTATTAGAGCCAGACACGGGTTAATATCGTGACAGTTTGCCGTGTGCAGCCCTCCCGTCCAAAACTGAATTAGAGCCATCCATCACGTTTTACAGAAAGCAATCAAAATCAGGCTAACTGGAAGAATCGATCGAGAAACTGGTTTTAAAAACCGCGTTGAGAAGGCGGACTTGATTAAACCATTTAGTGGCTGCTTTTATTGGAAGCACTTTGAATACTCATTGGTTTTCCATCCCTTTGGCAGCTCGGTTTCACTCGTCTGTCTTTCTCCCACCCAGGACTCCCTCTGTTGGAGACGTTTCCGGGCACTGAAGGATGCAAATGCCCTTGACTGTGTTTTTCGTTCTGGTCTGAGGTTTACCACCGACTGAAACATCCAAAATACCCACAAGATGATGGACCGCTGGATCTTCTACACAATGTGCAACAGTGATGGGAACTATCAGGTAGAGAGGAGAGCAGGAAGAGGAGCAGGAGGATGTTTTTGTCTATCAATTTTAGTTTTTTTTAATTAAGTACACTTACCAATGTTATGTGTTGTACTCTTTATTTGTCAGGGATAAATGCAGGGGATATTGCTTCATTGTGTGTACAAAGTAGGAGAAATACATACAGATCCCCCGTTTACTGACCTGCATGAACGTTAAGTCCAGATTCATCAGTTAGTGGATATACAGTGTCAAAAATTTTGTGAAGATTTTGAAGCTCTTAATATTTGAATTGATGTATGTATTTTTTATTTTCTAGGCCAAGGTCAAAATGTTTTTAAGCCGTCACGACCTTGAGATAGCCACCAATGCTCTGATCAGTTACAGATTAGACCATTGTCATGCACTTTATGTTGGCATCTCCCGATCATCTCTTAGTCGCCTTCACCTTGTCCAAAATGCTGCTGCCCGTCTTTTAACCAACACTAACAGACGTGAGCACATCATTCCTGTTCTTCGCTCCCTTCGCTGGCTTTTCCTGTTTCTTTTAGAACTGATTTTAAACTTTTATTTTTTATTTTTAAAGCTCTTAACGGCCTCACTTCCATCTATTTCACTGAACTTTTGACCGTTCAGGAGCCGGGTAGAGCTCTGAGGTCGTCAAATCAACTTCTGCTGGAGGTGTCAAAACACAAACACTGGGGTGACCCAGACCTTTCAGTTGTTGGTCCCAGGCTCTGGAATAAGATCACCACTGAAATGAGACTAATTTCCGACCCGGGCCTTTTGAAATCCCGATTGTAAACATACTTGTTTATTCTGGCTTTTAATACCCAGTCGCGTGGTGACACTTTATTTCATTGCATTGTATTTTACTCTTTTTTATTGCTTTCATTTATTCATTTTTATCTTCTATTGTAAAGCACTTTGGTTCACCGAAAGGTTGTTGTAAAGGGCTGTATAAATAAAGAACATTTACATTTAGGGTTTCCACTGGACAAAATCTGCCTCCAACGCAGGGATCTGAACTCTCATCTCTGACAACATGATGTCATCCTAATGATCTTCAGTTGGGTAAAAGTCTGCCCCCTACTGACCTCAACCTGCCCCAGCATCTCCACACTAAATCTCAGAAACCTGACCACGAGGCACGTGACAACAACAGAGTTTAAGGATCAGCGGTCCTCGCCGAATGGGAATCAATAGCAATCGGAGGACTGCTTCTGCTATAAATAGCCTGGCAGAGCTATTACAGGGACCTGTGTGTCACTGCCTGAAAGTGTGCGTGTAGATGGAGAAGTGTGTGTGTGTGTGTGTGTCTGAGGGTGTGTGCTGATGCTACACGTGGCCGGTAAGTTGCTGGATTTCATTTTCATTCACGTGAGAACCACAAAGGACGCACACACAGCTGGATGGACACACATGTGACTGCAGTCTCGTTAAAAAAAACCTACAAAATCCAAAAGGATCCTCAAGTGGTAAAAAAGATCAGCGAGTATGTTTGAAAGGCAGCGCCGTTTGACTTACAGGTGACAGGATTCAGAGAAAACACAGGAGGGAATGAGCAGTCACAATGTCAAGTGCACACTATAAGACACACAAACGCTCTGAACACAACAACACACGTCATCACCGGCTAAGTGTCGTCGGACAAGGTTAGGAAAACGGTTTTGTAGAGCAGCTCTCCTTCCAGTGCAGCTCTCCTTCCAGTCTGAACCAGCCTCTCTTCAACTGTAAACTGAAGGTTTGGATAGACATGCTGCGTTGGGTCCAGTTTACCACCATAAATAACTCAGTGTATCTTTATTTAAAAGCTTTTAAAATGTTAATATAATCTTTTACCATATATCTCCCTCAGTCTGCGTCCTACAAATATCTACAACAGCAAGAACCAGCGATCCCTGACGACAGAATAATTCAGAACATGTAGAAGGAGATTTTAACACACACATCAATTTTAAGCCAACCTCAGACAGCAGACTAATTACTGAAGAATACAGTAATTAAGGAGCAGCTATAACGAACTGAAGGAGAATCAATCTGAAGTGACGAGGATTCATTCAGCTGCGAAACATCTCCGCACTTACAGACGCAACAAGAATTTACAACCTTGATTCCAAATCAGTTTTAATTCAAACGGATTTTAAAGTCCCGCTCAGATTATTATTGTTTATACTACCTAAAGTCTTCTCAGTGGTCTTTGAACTGTAATTGTGGAGTTTTTAGCCAAAATCACGTTACCTGTGTCATTTTTAAGGACCTCCAAGTTATTAGTCAGAAACAGCGCTGCTCTGCAAACTCCTCTTCATGTTAGCTTGTAGTCTAACATTGCCGGTGGAGTAGAAGTGGCAGGTAACATAGGAGCTACTCAGCTATCGGAACATGATGAAAGTTAATATCATAATTAGCTTTCTTATGAGCATCGCAACCTGCTAACACACACGCTTGTTCTGCAATCGTCTTCTCTACTTTTTCAAGTCTGCATAGTGGGGCTCTGTGGGCGGAGCTTGGACTTGTGATGTAGGAAATCTCACTGTTAGGGTCTGACAGAGATTCACAGCGATTTGAATGCAGAAATACTCGGAAATACAATTACACTTATTTTTCTCATGGTGTGTCCTATAGCTTTAGAAAAATGAAATATATGTACATGGAGACAACAAGAAAAATATGATTTCATCGGAGTGGGTCTTGAGAGGTTTGCAAATTTTTCACTGAAAACTATAAAAAAATAAAATAAAAAATAAATGTTGAAACAGGAAATTTTGAAACAGGTGTGTGATCTTAACAAAACACCTGCAGGAACATCTCCTCACGGCACCACACATGCAGTTTATTAGCAGAGCGCCTCTTCCACTAAAACCAACCATCAGCCTCCTCCTTCTGTGGACAAAGCCTGCCTTTTAAAAGCTTGACTGATTACTTACACGTGAAGATGACCAACAGGGTGCGTAGCATGAGGTCGACGGGCTTCTCCCACCTCTCCGACACACGGGCCAAAACAGGAGGAATGAGAATTTCTGCTGGGACGTAGAACTGCAGGGCGAAGGTGATGAAAATACCAAAGCAGTAGAGCAGCTTCACAGCCTGGTACATCCTGGAAACAAGAGGATTGAAAACAGACGAGAGAGAGAGAGACGCAGAAATTACACACCATAAAAAAGTGTTGCACAAGCATAAATTAACTAAATTCAATTTATTCGTAACAGTGAAATGGATCTAATCAAAAACCTTTCATGAAATACAAAACAAGCATCAACACATAACCTCCGTTTTCCCGTTTAGGCTTAATCAGAAATCACAGGACCAGATGAAGAGGAATCAATTTGTGGCTCTTGTAAAACAAACTCACTTTTTTTTTTTGAAACTAGGGTGTTGGTAATTAAAGTCTTTGAGTTTTCAACCTCATTAAACTGCCAATCTGTTGTACTAATTAGCGACATCAGTCCTGCCATTTCAGAACGCGAATCTGTCCGCCGTCGCTGTGAAGATACCGAGAAGTAATGAGCAAACAAATCCAATCCGACTGTTTGGTTTTACAACCTCTAACATCCCTCAGACCCAAAGTGAGTTTAAAGAGGGCGCATGATGAGAACACGGCGTTCCTGAGCAGAGAACACACACCCAGATGTTAGTCCGCTTTGTGAGTGAAGATGAAGCTCTAACATCGTTTCTATGTGATGTCTGGATTTCTGATTAGCTCTCCATCTGCGTGTGCTGAGCTCTGAAGTGAGGACACTTCTTTTCAACAGAGAGTAATAACCTGAGACGTATGAAAAGCTATCGTGCAATTATACTATCAAACATCAATTTGGAAACTGGGTCTCAGTAATGATAAAAACTACCTCAGGTGTCTCCTCAGGAAGTCTCATCTCAAGTGACGAGTTAACGTTTCAGTCTGAAGGAACATGTCTGAACAAATAATGGGGGGAAAAAAAGTCGCTTATACAAATTTACGTTTGATTTTTTTGTCCATTAGTGACTTCAGAGACATTTTTTATTTCATCAGGACTCACCAAACTGTCTGTGGATTTAGTACCAAGTTTTACTGAGAGATGACCTGCTGTAGCTTTTGCTAAAATTTAGTCTAGATATGAATTTTATTTTGTCAAATCAAAGGTTAAATAACTTTGCTTTCTGTTTCGTTGGATTGAAGACAGTGTACATGTTTTTTCTGATGCTGACCACTAGGAGGTGACAAAGAAATGTACCTAAAATTCAGCTGCAGTGGTTTTTAAGGCCTCTGGGAAAACAGCATCCTACAGTGATTACTAAAAAACATCATAATATGGCTAAATGTGTGTTTTTTTTTGTCAGTTCAGACGAAAAATTAATCTAGAAATGGTTAAAGATGTTGTCTTACACTTGTGAGCCCGTCTGTGGCAAAATAAGCTCTTTTAGTGAACCTGAATTCAGTCAGCTCAAAAATCTCTGAAACCTCCGTCTGTCAAACAGGAACCCAAAATTAAAAAATAGAAACTGGATTTGAAACCTTGAAAATCTCCTTTGAGGAGTTTTTATGCTTTACTGATTCTGAAGACCACTTTACATGAAACCAGAAGTGGTTTACTGGAATGAAGACTACATTTCCCATGAGCACTGGCGTCTCTTCTTTTTAAAGACATGGCTCCTGCTTAAATGTGCTTTCTTTATAATATTATCTATTTTAACCTAACGTAACTCGTTCCCATCAGTTAGTTTGAAGTGGCACCAATCGAAGAGGGAAACACGAGTCAGAGTTTCAGAGGGTGTGAAGACATCCTCCCTGTAACGTCGTCAAATACCTGCTAAAAAGTGCTGAGAGCAGCATCGCCCTCGAGGATTAAACTGCAGCCATTACAGCCCATTTTTCAACTGCCAGAAACGCTGCACTGAAGTAATCCTCAAACTTCCTGTACCTGATGAAATTCAGACCCTCCTCGAATGAAAGGAAACCGTGATTCAATGAAAAATCAAAGTCCCTGAAAACTGGGGGGTCCATGAAGGCAACTGGTACCACTCCTGTTGTGTCTGATATCTTTGTAGCCATATAAGAATACAAACAACTGTGATCGTAGCTAACCATTTAGCCGCTTTATCAGGGGCTTTTGACTACAGTTTTCATTTCAGAGGCGTTTCCATCCAGCCTTGAAGTGCAGTGCTCACACAGAGACGGTAAACTCTTGATAAAAGTGTTAAAATGCATAATAATGTGATTTTTTTTTCACATCCTCACAGTAAAAACATATCAGTGTCGCGAACAGGCCACTTTTTTGTCAATAACTTATCCCCTTTTCTTCTTTGCTGGTTTTCTACATGGTACAGCGATCTGCCGCTCTTGAAAATGAAGAAATAACAGTCCTCCGTGTCAGAAATGAAGAAAATAGCAGGATCCTGTATGTCTGAAGGAAACGTTTATCTACAGGTATTACACATGGAAACGTGTGCACACACTTTATAGGTGGAGAACTTGTACGGCAGCCGACTGTGACCCATCTTGAGTTTAGAGTTTTGTATTGAGGAGAGAAAAGGTTTGATTATTCTTGATTTATATCTGATTCTGAGAAATCGATTTTCTGTTTTGTTTTTTATTTTGTCTTTGTAGTCAAAGAAATATTAACGTACTTTATCTGATATCATTGCAGGATACATACTCTGATAATCTACAACATGCATTATTATCCAAACATGGATTCAAAGCATGTGGAGTACCCAGCACGTGTTCCCGTCTTCCTGATCAGACACTGACAGATATCAGATTTTCTGTCTCTGTTGTCTTACCAGCAGTTTGGCAGGTTGAGAGTGATGCTCCCTCCTATGTGCTCTCCAAAGCACATGTATCCTATGGTGCCCAGGCTGATGTAGAGGAAGGTGACGATGCCCATCCCCAAGTACAGAACGGGGATGAACCTCTGAGGCCTCTGCATCTTGTTCTCCAGAGGAAGAACCTGCAGCGAGACGAGGATACAACCGCCCTGTTAGTTTCAGAGTGGACCCGATGATTTGTGGGTCGGCCTCTCTTTTGACATTTTAACAACAGAACAAAGACTTCAGAGAAGAAAGTGTCATCAAAGGGGTTCAGCCAGTTCGTTTCATTTTAAAATGTCACTTCCTCTCAGGCTGACACGTCCTGATTTTGGACGATACAATGAAGAGTAAATTTTGTTTTGACATTTCAGCTAAAGACCGGGGCTTTCTTTCTCTGCACTCAACACATTAGAAAGTCCAGTACTCTCTGAGAACTCTGCAGACTGAATACAAATGAGGAAATCTCTGCGGACTAAAACTCTGACTCAAAGATCTGATCAGAACATCGAACCACGATGAAAAAAACAGGACTCTTCAGTTTTAACTAACAGTCCGATCGTATTTTAGGGCACTTTTTGCTTTTTGAATAATACTGTATAAAAACTTTTCCTCTTTTCAGAGTCATGGCTGGAAAGAAGAAGCTGATAAATGTGCCACAACAGCATTAAGAGATAATAGAAATGTGAGCTTTTCACCGTATTGTGTATGAGCCTCCTGTCCAGTGTGACGCATCTGCTCATGATTTTGACAAATACGTCTATTTATCTTTAAAAGTCGTGGGTCAGGATGAAAAATCGGTCCTGTAACAAACTGACGGCACATTTTAATAATGGCTAAACAGTTTGACAGACGACAGAGCAGCTCCACATTAGAGTCGAGGAAATATGATTTGTTAGCTGAGGTTTACTGTCATTTATGGTTTGAACACTTCATCACGATCCCGGTGTCCTGAGCTGCCAACTCAAGTTTCAAATGATCCAGTCGGAGCAGATTTGTTAGTTTCAAATGAAGACTGGGGTGTTAGAATTCATTCACTGCATCGATGCATCAATTTAAGTTCCCATAATCCACCTGTGACAATACAGAAATATACAGACACGCTCGCTGGCTGTGTGTCGTTCACCAAAGAGTCAGAGGCGGCAGTTCCACTCCCGACCGGCACGCAAGGCTCGCGGCTGAGCTCAACTGAACTGAGAAAGGAACGAATCAGGTCTCTGAGTGATTCAGTTCATGTCGTTCACTCAGCAGTTCCGTTCTTTTGAACGACACGACACTATGAACCAGCAATATGACCAAACTTTACGCTCACACCTCAGAGCAGCATTTGCTTTACACTCGGGCTGGACGATAAACCGAAATTTACCGATACCGAAATTTACGACAATAACCAACATCATTTTGCCCATATCGGTGTATTCGGTGTCAAAAACAGAATAAATCAAAGTTGGTTTTGGATGTGTGTAGGTAGGCTATGGTCTCATGTCCCTTTAAGATGCTGTCCTACGTCAGAGACGTGACTCCACCCCATCCAGTACGTAACAAGGAAGTGGAGGACGGTTCAAAAGTTGTAGCGGCTGAAGTAGACGAAGTTAATGTAGGAGGGGGTGAGCAGCTTGTGGAGTAGTTATCGTCCATTTATCATTATCGAGGTGAACTGATCAATATATCGTGATATTGACTTGAGGACATATCGCCCAGCCCTACTTTATACGCCAACATGTGTGTAATTGTAGTAACATATACCTGAATGTATAACCTTGATAAATAGAGAGGTATTTTAATGGAGGAAGTCATCAGACCTGCAATTTGGCTTGTTTTGATCAGGTGTCAGAGAAATCCCCATTTTTCTTACTTAAAAGTGACCTCAGGCGTCTTTCTACTGCTGTGTGAAGCTGCTCAGTTAGATTATTTTATCAAGAGGAAAACTGACTGTGGACGGCTGATATCGATATCAGAGCATTTCAGGAAAAAAAGGAAAACAAGAAAAAGAAAATGCAGGTAAAAAAGAAAACTGACTGAAGGAGAAAACAACGTAAAGAAAAGAAAAAACACCAAGAAGCAGAAAATAAAACAAAGAATGAAAAGGAGAAAAGGAAAAGGAGAGTAGACTGACCAATATAAAAGGAATGAAACTAAGAAGAATAAGAAGAAAGGGAAGACGGAGAAAACGCAAAAGAAGCAGGAAGAACAGAAGCGAGTAAAGCAAAAGAAAAATGAAAGGAAGCAGAAAAGAAGCTAAAGTGCAGAAGATGAAGAAAAGAAGAGGATGAAGAAGAAACGAAGAAGAGGAAAAGCAGAGAAACTATCAAAGGCATCTCTCATGTCTCAAACATGTCATGGCTGCTTATTACATTTCGTCTAACGAAGTCATGTAAAGAGGTTCGGCTGTTATCAGCTGTTATCTTTAACTTCATCACTCACCACTCCGATCCCTTCAAAGGCAAAGATGGCCGTCCCAAAGAAGAGAGGGTAGTCTTTCGCTCGGCCCACTTTCGGCAGGTTGATTGGGTAGGGGATGTTCTGGAGGGAAAACAGAGAAACACTCATTCACCGTCTGCAGAGACTGAAGCCTGACTCTGTTATTCCTGAATACCAGAGTAAAAGTTCACATCTAATCAGGCCTCATACCGACAGTAAAGAGGAACATTTGGATCATTCATTATCAGATTCAGTACGGACATCTTCTGCAGAGAGAGGACCGCTCTCTCTTCGGCCTGTCGGGTTGTTTGTTTGCCAAAGACTTGGAATTACATTAACTTGTAATGAAATAATTTAATATAATCAAGGTTTTTATGAGGAGCTGTGGACTGAACTCAACATACAGGGGACTTTCATTCTACAAAGCTCCAGAGAGAGAGAGAGGGATGAAGATTTCATCCTCCTTCATCTAATTCTGTGGATATAAAAGGTGTCATATGTTCTGTTAGTTTACTTTTCTTCTCCTGGTTTTATTGGAGTGTATTTTCTGTGTGTTTGTTCTATTGTTCCTGTCGTCCAGTCTTGTGAGTTTTTTCAGTTTGTGTTTGACCCTTTTTCCCTCCTGTTCTCAGAGTTTTATTCTTTAAATCAGTTTCAGTGTTTATTTCCTGTTTTATTTTGTAGGAGTTGATTCCTTGTGTTTCTAGTCTGGTTTTACTTCCTCAGTTTTCCCTCCTTTGTTAATCAACCGAGTCTCACCTGTGTCTCGTCTGCCTCACCTGTTGCATGTTTCCCAGTGTGTATATATACAGTCCCTGTCTTCCCCTGTTTCTTTGTTGGTTCACAATCCCTTGTCTCCTTGTGTTTTTTTTTTCCCCAATGTCTTTTGTTAAATATTGCCTTTGGGTTTTGTAGTTGGACATTTTGAAGAAAGTTTTTGTCGTTTTTAGTTCTTTAATAATAAATCCTTTTTTCTGCATTTTTGGGTCCTTTTCTTTTCCTCAACCCTGGCTTGTGACAACAGTGATAATTGAAGCCTGTTTACATGTTGATATACGCAGCAGAAATATTGCTAGGTGGATCATTTATGACTTCTCAGCACGGAGTTTCACTTTCAGCTCTGCTGTAGCACACACACTGAACCAAAAGGCGAACTTACTTTAAACTGAAGGTAAACAACTCGCATTTAGGCAGCAATTCTGACAGTCAGCAGTTCTCTCTTTCTCTGTCTGACCCAGACGGGCCGGTAACATGACATCCAGTAGAAACAGACCAAATAAAGAAGAACAGGTGAGGTGCTTTCAGTGACTCGGTTTGATGATTTTTATTGTTTTTACCCACAATCAGAGACTTCACCACAATCTGAGCTGAGTCAGAAACATAAAAACAGTCGGACTAATAAATGTGATTATTATTATTAAAGTGATTGAAAAGCTCATAACAACATGTTGATCTGACAAAAGTCTGATTCTAGATGTCTTTACAAACACACTGATCCAACAGAAGCAGACAGAAATATCCATCGATGACATGAAAACAAATATTCAGCAAACAGAGAAAGAAACAGATCATCTGAAGAGTTTTTGGGGACGACTGGAAAGACTTTAGACGCTTGGATTTGGGACAGGAAATAAGGTCGTCCTTTTTCTGTGATTTTGACCTCACTTTTTTCTAAAGTCTCAGACCTTCAACATCTGCACCAACTGAAGGTGATTTGAACAAATCATCATCTTGATGTTTTTGTTAATCAAACATTTGTGAAGATTTTTCAACATGAGAAATACAAACAATCAAAGTTCTCCACAATCACTGTCCTTAAAGCTGCGACCAAATCAGCATCTTTAGAAAAGAATCAAAAAGCTGAAATGAAGAACTAAACCCAGAGTTTTTGGTGAGACTGATCCACAAACATTTACAAACCAGAACATTTCAAGAGTTCAAGGATCTCAGTCCATGATTTTGGTCTGATGGACTCAAAATTCTCTTTATTTCAGTTCAATAAACTCAGCAGAGTCTCCATAACTGTAGCCCACCGCCTGTCCAGCATGTAGCGGCTGAGTGAATGTGGTCTGGACTCTGTGGAGGAGAGTCATGGTTTCAGAGACGCTGTAGAAGGACAGAATACCTGCTCTGTGATCCAGGTACACTCCTACTCTGGAGGACTGAGGACCTGAGACAGGAGTGATGACTTTGTTGTGCAGAAATTCATATTTGTCATTTTGAAACTCGAACCTCCAAGATTTCTCATTGTATCCAAATCTACAATCTACTGAGTTCCCTGCTCTCCTGATAGTCTTGTATGCGACTGCTAGACAAAGCCCGCCCCCTCTTCGCTCCACCTCCCAGTAACAACGTCCAGTCAGACTCTCTCTACTCAGGACCTGAATCCAATAAGTGAATCTGTCTGGATGATCAGGATAAGACTGTTGTTGTTTTGTCCTTGTTGCTCTTCTGTTTCCATCAGATGATAAAATTTCTCTGTTTGCTGTGTTTGGATCCAGTGTGATTCTTTTTGAATATCTTAAGAAATCTGCTCTGGTCTTGGGTTCTGCTGGTTCTGGTGGTTCTGACAGTAAAACATCCACATCAGTCACTGCCTGTGAGACGTTTGTCCACGTCTCTGTCAGAAGATCCTGGAGTTTCTCTCTGACCTCTGACACAGCTGCTGTCACCTCCTCAAAGTATCTCAGAGGACGGATGTTGATTCTGGATGAGTCTGCAGGTTGACCCGGTCCTGACAGTGAGGAGTAGCTGTGCAGAAACTGGTTGTGGTCCTCTGTGAGTGAGAGCTTCTGCAGATCAGCGTCTTTCCTCTTCAGCTCAGTGATCTCCTGCTCCAGTTTCTCCTGAAGCTCTTTGACTCGACTCACTTCACGTTCCTGCTGGGATCTGACCTGCTGCTCCACCTCAGAGCGGCGTTTCTCCATCAAACGGATCAGCTGGCTGAAGATCTCCTGGCTGTGTTCCACAGCTTTATCAGCAGAGCCGTTGATAGCCTCCACCTCCTGTTGGAGCAGCTTCACATCTTCTTCTCTGTTCTGGATTCTCTGCTGGATGTTTCCTCGACTCTCCTCCAGATCTTTCTGCCTCTCAGTCCTTTCTGCTGCAGCTGAGACTGTGTCGTGGCCTTTGTGTTGGTCCACAGAGCAGAGATAACAGATAGACTGTTGATCAGTGCGGCAGAAGATCTTCATCACCTCATCATGACGAGAGCAGATGTTCTCCTGGAGCTTCTTGGAGGGCTCCACCAGCTTGTGTTTCTTGAATGGAGGTGATTTAAAATGAGGCTGGAGGTGAATCTGGCAGTAAGAAGCCAGACATTGAAGACAGGACTTGACAGCTTTCCGTTTTCTCACACTGCAGACGTCACAGACCACATCTTCAGGTCCAGCTTTAGAGGGATCATCAGGAGCAGCTTGGAGTCCGCTCTTCTTCAGTTCCTCCACCAAACCTGCTATTTTGGTGTTTATCAACAGGACAGGCCTCGGTGTGAAAGTCTCTCTGCACTGAGGACAGCTGTAGATCTTCTTCTCATCCTCAGTATCCCAGTAGGATTGAATACAGCTCATGCAGAAGCTGTGTCCACAGGAAACAGCCACCGGATCCTTCAGAAGATCCAAACAGATGGAACAAGAGAAAGACTCACGGTCCAGATGAACTCCTTTCTGCGCCATTTCAACACTCGCTGTCGACGACGACTGACTGAGTTTTATTTCCTGGTCTGATCTCTGATCCAGAGTCAGCTCAGTGTATGTTAGTTACAACCATCCTCAGACTTTGGACCTGATCTGATCCAGGAGGGGTTATCAATTTTTACAACATTCCAGGAAGAGGAGCGGCGATGTGAACTTTAGACTCTTAAACTCCAACAAGCAGAGGTTATCAAGGCTGCAGCCAACCTTAAGATCAACTGCACCAACATTTATTCCCCTCATATAAACCTCATTGATCAATGACACATTTCCACTGTTTTGTCCTGATATCCACACATATTCAAATATATACCACTCTCTCTCTCTCTTTCTCTCTCTCTCTCTCTCTCTCTCTCTCTTTCTCTCTGGCTTGTTGACCTCTGAGGGAGCGTCAGTTTTTCTAACTTGTTTTCTTTCTTCATGTGTTGTTTGGTTTGTGCTCTTTGTTTATTTTCTATTAACCCTTTTCATAATCCTTTCTCAAATCTGTGTCTCCTCTTTTTCTGCCGCCCACAAAGGTGATTTTAGTCAAAGTCATCAAGGTCATCAATCCTCAGATTATACCAGACTGAGCTCCTCATTCCTCTTCTTGTTTAGGATCATCTAGACCTGACATCTGTGAGAGACCACACGGCTCAGCTGGGTACATTGGAGGTTTTGCACTTCACTACAATGCTAAGGCTTTTTACCAGACAAAGATAATAAATTGCTTTATTGCTAAATTAACATATTATGTACAGTTGTCATGATCTGTTCTGTTAATTTAGTTTTCACCTGATTTTGTTCTTTGAGTTTACTTTCTGTGTATTTTCCCTAGTGTTCCTGTTCCCTGTGATCCAGTCTTGTGAGTTTTTTCAGTTTGTCTTTGACCCTGTTTCCCCCCTGCTCTCTGTGTTTTATTCTTTAAATCAGTTTTCAGTGTTTATTTCCTGTTTTATTTTGTAGGAGTTGATTCCTTGTGTTTCTAGTCTGGTTTTACTTCCCTAGTTTTCCCTCCTTTGTTAATCGCCCGAGTCTCACCTGTGTCTCGTCTGTCTCACCTGTTGCTCATTTCCCGGTGTGTGTATATAGTCCCTTGCTGCGTCCGAACTGCCCGCTCGGATACTACATGCTACTGCTACATACTACTGCTAGATCCTACTCCTACATACTAAACACGTTGGCCCAATTCGGACACACTAGACAAGCGGTGGGAAAAGACGACCCCCGCAGGCAGAGAGTAGGTACTGCGCCCGTGCAGACAGTGGTAACTGAAGCCCCTCATCTGCGGGCCTGGCTGTAGTACTGCAGCTGTGCAGTTTAATGATGGAATAAGTGAGCTTTACCTCCATGATGTCGCCACATATTTGCTCATAAAATGATTACTTGGGCAAATATGACACCATGACATGACAAAGAGATACAACCGCACATTTTTTAGGACAGTGTGTGAACTTACATGAAACTTACATCTGTACTACTGCACTCCCGCCTGCTGCTGCTCCGACATGGTGCGCGCTGCTGTGGCCAGCCGGCGTTCGCGACACATTTAAATAGGCAGAGCAGCTGGTGGCGCTAGCATCACATGCGCTTCTACAACTTTTAAGAGGACGAAGAAGAAGCCCGCGGTGCATTTTGGGTCAGTAGCATGCCCGTAGGATGCACCGAGACCAACCTACAATGTGGGCCTGTCTAGTATCTGAAGTAGTATCTGAAGTAGCATGCTACTCGCTCCGGTGGTCAATTCGGACATGCTAGATACTACTTCGACTACTACTTGGCAATTCGGACGCAGCTCCTGTCTTCTCCTCTGTCCTTGTTGGTTCATTGTGAGTGTGTGTGTGTGTGTGTGTGTGTGTGTGTGTGTGTGTGTGTGTGTATGTATGTATGTATGTTTATGTCAGCGTATGCGTGTGTCCCTAGTTTTCTCCTTGTGTTTTGTTTCCCAGTGCATTTTTGATCTTTTGAATTTTGCTTCTTGTGTTTTTTTTTTGGTCCGATATTTTCAAGTAAGTTTTTGTTGTTTTTCATTTAGTTCTTTTTAAATAAATCCTTTTTTGTCTGCATTTGGATCCTTTCCCTTTTGTTTAACTCTGGCTCTTGACAAAAGGATCTGTATGTTTAACAGTGACCGCTCAAGATGTGAGGACAAAGACTGCATTCAGATATAAACTGACATAGTTTAAATCCTGATGTAAGACAAAGCCAAAACCTGTACTAGGTATGCACAATAACACTGGCACTACAGTTCAAAATGTTCACTTTTGATATGAGCAAATATTGACCTAAATAGTCCTAGAACAATGCAGCAGCAGGTTCAGATTATCGTGGATGAATTGGTGGTAGGGATGGGCGATATGGGCTGAAAATTTAAGATTTTTAAGATTTGTCATTCTGGCGATAACGATAAAAGTCTCGATAAAAAATATGATTCCAATCTATATTTTTGACTCATTTAGTCTTGAGAACACCAGCTGGAGTAGTCAAATAAGATACTTCACCACAAGTTTTAGTGGTGGGTTATGGAGAAAACTAATGACATCCAACAAGTCTGAAATGTAAAATTTTCGACATTTGTTAAAAACTCTTATTACACAGAGTGAACAGCAGCAGATCCACTACCCGACGTCAGGCATTCCTGACTGGACTCATCTAAACCACAAACTTGAAGGAGATCCTTCATGTGGAGGGATTTAGCGTATTTATCGTGAGATGGCAAATATTTATCATGGAGGATTTTTCTGACGATATATTGTGAACAATAATTTACCGCCCATCCCTAATTGGCAGGAGTCTAAAGGACAGTGTCATCAGCATAAAGATGGATGAATTCTTGATGTTATTTAAATAAACAGTTTGTCTGAGAGGTCATATTGAAACCACTTGAAAACCCAACTTTATCAAATTTAATGTTTATATCTGAAAAAAGAAACAAACTACGATTTGACTCGACTTCAAAACAACAATTGAACTTCTTGCTGATCCTCTCATACGCCCTCCAGTTTCCTCTCTTATCAGAAAACTCTGTCAGCATCCTTGTTAGCAGTAAAAGACTCTCATGATCACACTTCTGCTGTAACTCTCACAGATCAGTAAAGGTGGCTGGACTAAAAGCTGCTGACAGCGAAACCTCTTTATGCTTTTACTCCGGATGACCATACTTTATATTCCTCTTAAAATGAAGGTCACAGAGATGAGCCAAAAGCTTAAGACCACGATGTGTAGCGTGTAAAATGAAACTGGAGCGGGCACATGAGAACTCCATTAAAACTGGGGGTTAACTGCAGAGAGAGGCAGCAAATCAAACGGAGTGAAATACAGAGAGGTTCCTGGAGTTTCTCGCCACGCTTGAGGCTTTTATACTTCTGCTTTTCTAAAACTCTCTGCTCAGGTGATTCATCAGCCACCGAGGAACCACACAGGCCACATATATCACTTAGCGCTGAATCTTTGTAAGCTTTCTGATGCAAGAAATTGCTTTTTTTTCAAGGCAAGGCCGTTTCTCTGGGAACACGACTGCTATATATCTGTAAAAGGGCAGAAGCCGCATGATGAAATACTCCATAACAGGAAACCAGGTAATCTGCAGACTCTGTCACTATCAGTTGTCCCGTTATCCATAACAACCCGGGGACCCAATCAGCAGAGTAGAAACAAAGAGATGGATTATAACACACAGAGGGAAAAGTGCTGCTTTAAGGGGCCACTTGTAAAATAAAATGAGGAAAAGGTCGTATTAGATTTCATCTGCTATTACTTTTTTAAAGATTACAGTCCTGCACATGGGAAATCTCCACCTAACTTATCATAGAACAATCTGGATTATATCCACTGCGGTTAAGGTTGACTTCAGCACAAAATTACACGTCTTAGTTCAGCGAAACTGCTCCAAATTTGAGCGTATTTTCTTTATACTACTTTGAACAGTTTCCTGAGTGTAGAACATTTTTCTACAGGATTCATTTTACACACGGCATCAGCGAGAAACATAAATTTGTTCTTTACCATCAGAGAGTAGAAGTAGATGAGGATCAGACTGGCTGTCATGACCAGGTTAGCCATCAGCGAGAGCGGAGCCAGGTACTTCAGGTTGGGGGTGAAGACCAGCAGGATGAAGAAAGGCAGGAAGCAGAGCATGTAGAGACGAGAGTCGAAGCTCGGCACCAGGACCTGCGTCTGGTTGGTGAAGTTGATGTGGCAGCTGAAGGTGGTGGCGTTGGCTGCTTCTACCACCTGGAAACAGAGAGCAGAGTCAAATTATTGAGGAGAGGCACCTGTGCTTCTCACTTCTGAGACTTTGATTGAAATAAATATTATATCATATGTATTGGAAGCTACTTTTCATAGATTTTACATATCCAAAACTTACACGAAAACATTCAACACGTCTAAAGCACAAATATGCAAACTGGTGTGAGAGTTGTGAAGAGAAGGAAGCTGCTACAGTAGACGAATGGCACCATCTAGTGGTTAAAAAGCTGTAATACATAGAAGGGCGCGTTTGGAAACAGCCCAGACTTTTCCTCCCAATTTAGGAGTTACACATGGCGCTGGACACAACCGCAGCCCATCAGGAAATCAGAGCAGAGGTGATTATCTAACACGTTCACAAGCAGCAGAAAGAGTCAGAAACAGTGAGCACGAAGCAGTCGTGGAAGCAATCCCACTTTTTCCCATTAAAGAGTTTATTTTTCATGGCAAACTGCCTCTTTTCTGTGAGTTATAGCGCTCTTTCCCTTTAGTTTGCACAATCTGGAAGAACAAAGAACGCCTGCAGCTGAATCTGATCCCTGCACCCAGATGAAACCAGCTTCTGAGCCTCTATATGGAGCTTACTTTATAACAGAGAGGAAGAGGGGAGCACTTGAAAGTGGTCCAAACTGAGGGACTGGATGATATTCAAATACAGAGTTTTAGAAAAAGTTCCTTTTTCGGGTGTTTAGAGGTTTTAGTTTTCAGTGACATAAACAGTTAAACTCCCAGATTTTTAGCTCAGGGCTGATAAAGGCGATGGGAACACTGGCCAAAGGTCCAACAACATTCAGAGATAAACACACAGCAGATCGAGACGCTCAGACAGTAAAAGTAAAAACCTCCAAGAGATCGACATCAGACATCCATCAATGAGGAATCAATAACATCTACATCTTAAGCTTATTGACAGCTTTGGGTAGACGGCAGTTTGAGGGATTATTTGTACCCCATACCCCATATGCAGGTCTACAACTGAAAGGCTAAGACTAGATCCCTGTACTTGAACGCCCTTTCTCCCCATTTCACCTGCCGTATAAACCAAATACCTCTCATGTTACCATCATTGCTGGGATATTTCCACAAGTCCATAATCAGAGTAAACAGAGCTGTGTTCGGACACATGGATCTGGGACACGTTTACTTCGGAGAGTTGCTCTGATTTCTGGAGCTGAGCAGGTAAAAGGTCAGAAGATACAGTGACCTGAATGTGATATTGACACAGCAAACAGTCTTTCCAACAACCCGCAGACAACTATTAGACAACATGTTACCCTGACGATGGTTAGTGTTCACATATTGATGTTTATGTTGATGTTAAATTAAAGAAATCCCTCATATTGGCTTCAATTCTTCATATTTTGATGTGTAAATTACTAAAAGGCGTACATTTTGGGGACTACTCCAGATAATTGTTTGTGTGTCTCGTTCATTTCGAGCTCTAATTGGTGTGTCTGTGTGTGTGTGAATGTGTTGAGTGAGTGATCTTGACCTGTTTGATATTGTCACTGAGGAAGACAAAGTAGACGCAGCAGAATCCCAGCTGGGTGATGATTAGAAACAAGTTCACTGTCTGCCTGAGGGAGACAAAAGAAGAGGTCAGACAACGAGAAGGATTGTGTGTCTTTATGTTTATCTAGTGCAGCACTTTGTATCTTTGTTTTTAAAGGTGAGAGATGTGCCCCTGTAAAAGCTTAAATATCATATTATACATACACACACAGTAGTAAAAAACCGTTTCACTAAAGCAGGTTAGATAGTCGTCTTACTTTCCCCACTGCGAGTGTCTCCTCAGCCATGAAACGTTTTCCATCCCATACTGCACCGCTTCACCATAGGTCAGAAACGGCCTGTTCACCCTGAAGGAAGACACAGAGACTCATCGTTTAACTGACTTTACAAGACTCAGTCAGTTAGTCAGTTGGTTGTTTACCTGGTTGGTAGGTCCGTTTGTTCGATACTTGATTGAGTTAATTGGATGGTTAGGTGGGTGGATGAGTGTTTGGGTGGTTTGTTTTTTTGGTAGGTTGGCTGGTGGAGTGATAGGTTGGTTTGGTAGGTGGTTGGTTGGTTGCTTGGTTGGTTGGAAAGTAAACTGGGTAGGTATTTAATGGTTGGTTCATAGGTTGGGCTGTTAGTAGGTTAGGTGGTTGAATATTTGGTTGGTTGGTTAGTAAAATGGTTGGGTGCTTTGTTGGTTGGTCAGTTGGAGGACTGGCTGGTCGGTGGGTGGTTGGTAGGATAGCTGGTTGAATGATTAGTTGGTTTGTGGGTAAGTATATTGGGTTGGTAAGTAAATGGTTGGACTGTTGGATGGATAATTGGGGAGAGTAATTGGCTGGGTAGGGTTAGGGTGGTCGGTTATTTAGTTGAATGGTTGTTTGGTTGGATGCTTGTTGGTTGATCAAATAGGTGGTTGGATGGTTGGTTGGTTGGTTTTTTGGTAGGTTAATTGGGTAGGTAAGTAAATGGTTGGACTGTTGGTAGGTTGGGTGGTTGAATGGTTGGGTGCTTTGTTGACCGGTCAGTTTGGTCAGTGGATCGTTGGAGAGTTGGTTGATTGTTTGGTTGGTTGGTAAGTTAATTGGATAGGTAAGTAAATGGTTGGACTGTTGGTAGTTTCGGTGGTTGAATGGTTGGTTGGTTAGTTAAATGGTTCGTTAATTGAGCGGTTGGGTGATTAGTTCGGTCGGTGAATCGTTGGAGAGCTGGTTGAATGGTTGGTTGATGGTTGGTTGGTTGGTTGGTTGAATAATTGGGAAGAATGTTTGGTTGGGTAGGTGGGTGGGTGGTTAGTTGTTTAGTTGAATGGTTGGTTCATTGAGCAGTTGGGTGTTTAGTTGGATGGTTCAGTGGCTCATTAGTTGTTTGGTTAAGTGGCTGGATGGTTGATTGGTTGGTCGGATGGTTGATTCCCCAAAAAAACAAAATGCTTAAGAACCAAAACTGTGGTTCTGGCTTTTGGAGGCTTGCTCTAAAAAAGTACCAATTAACAAAGTTAAGCTATGTTGAAAAAAAACATCCATCCATCTGACCACCTGGCTATTACTCATCATCCATCCTTAAACCCAGAAATCCAAAACAGCTCAATTACCCATGAAAACGTAATTAAACTCAAACAACGCTTAAATGTTCCAGGAACCCCCCAAACATGGACCACAATGCCTCCCTTCAAAGTGTAAAAACTGTAGTCCATTACCTAATGGTCAAAGTCACGATGGTTCACAACTGACAGCTATCATGCCAGATTTTAGTGCCTGTTTATTGTTCTGTCCAGAGAGTTGAACTTTTTTAGTAACGTCAAGCTTTTAAGTTGCATATGAAAGAAAAAAACAAAAACATCAAAACTCAAACTTCTTCAAAAGAACTGCACAGATAATGTCATTGTACTTTAACTGTATTATGAGTTTAATCTTAATCACAGCTAGTCAAAATAAAATTAAAGTTGTTTTATTCTTGCAATACTTGCTGACTAAAAGAAACCCCTCCTATAACTGCGACTGACTCAATACTTTTCATCAGTCTAAAGTGAAAACAAAAGTTGTGGAAAAACCTGTGACAGTAGCAAAGCAAGCGTTGCATTATGACATTCAGAGCTGAAAATAAAAGAATGAAATAGATCTGTACAACTGTGAAGAAAGGACTTATGTGAACAGATAATTGGAGGTTTAAGTCTGAGTAAAGGGACTTTATGGATCCTGCCCGTCTGTGAGGAAAGACGAGGAGGGAGTGAAGCTTTTTGGTGATGTAACACAGAAACCTTTAAAACAGGAAGAGGAACATTTTTCTCGCATTTTTGTTTTTCTTCTCTGGATCTCTTCAGTCGATTTAAGTTTGGTATTTTTAGCAGTCGAGTACAAGTACAAGTACAGAAGAATCTATTTGTGGGAGCCTGCTGTGTAAACTCTCGTCATTCATGCTCTCTATCTTCTTAATCCTCTTTAGCGTTACAGGGCATGCTTGCGTATGTCCCTGCATGAACGGGGCAAAGGGCAGGACAGCGCAAACTGCAACACACACCAATATGGACCTAATAGAAAGTTAAGTGCACAGGAGTGTGATAATCACCTCAGATGGATGGCACACAATTACAGCTGTAAAACAGATCACAGATCATTTCAGGAGTTTATTGGCTCAGTTATATAATCCCACAGCACTCTGTTTGGTGGAGCTGATCACAGGTCAGTCACGTTATGTCTATTTGAAGACGGGTATAAACTCAGTTCCCATATGCTGTTTATTACAGAGAGGGGAGGGCGGAGAGGCCAAGTGGAGTTTAATCTGTTAGCGACAAACTAACAGTCACTGCTGGCTCAGGGAACAGCTCAGCAAACACATGACAGCCAAAGCAGAAGCTGTGGTTTTACAGTGACTAGATTATAGAGCAGCAAAAAGCCGAAGAGGACCTGCTGAGAGAGGAACAGGGGTAATGACGACAGATTGTCTTCAGGCCGTGATCTACAAACAAACAACCGCAGCTGTCGCACAAAACTAAATCAAGTCAAACTCAGTGACTTTTATCTGAACCCAGTTTATCTCAGCCTGCCTTATCTGCGTGTATTTTCGGGAAAGAAGGGACGATGCTCTCTTCACAGCAGAGAGAAGCACCTCATGACTCAGCGATGTGTTTGAGGTCGACTGAAACAGTAAAACGCCGAGTCTGTTCTGCTTTTCAGGAGTTGAATTATCCTTATACATGCATATTTAAGACACCCACAAAAAACTGTCTGTCTTTAGCCTCCAGCATTTCTATCTCAAAGGCAACTAAAATTGCAGAGGGCTCTTTTTCTTCAAATGGTGTTTTTCTGCACACGAAACAACAGATTCTGCTAAAACTGGATATTTTCGAAGGATATTTGAACTGAAGCTCGAAAATGTCACTTCTTTGTAATTATTAGACTTTAAAACCTCCAAGACTCCAAATTGTCAGAGTTATTAGAGACGTTTTGTCAAATGTGACGCAAATTGAGGCGAGGGTTTCACTCAAGGACACATAAACAGGGAACTATCAGTCACATGCCATTAAGAAGTTAGTTTCACTTTAAAAGCATCAGCATTTATTTTGCATTCGTAGTCTCAGAAGCCTATTTGCATAATCAAGTCTTTGCTATTTGCTCTGTGAGGAGGAGCTGGCAGCAGAGAGATATTAAGGTGACATTTCAACTCCTCTGAACAAGCCACTGAGTGTGCTTTCTAGGTGTGGCTTTCTTTGTGATTTCACTTACTTTGCACTGAGGTGGTGAGAGCATTTGACCAGGAGCCTCATACAGTGGACTGCTACGACCCCCATGCACAGCAGGCTGACCGGTCCGAGCTGAAGAGAGTGGAGAGAGAGTGAGGGGGAAAAAGAGAGAAAGGAGAGTCAGAGGGGGCGAGGTTCACCCAGGACAGGTCGTCACAACCACTCCAACACTTTCATGGCCCGTCCAAAACTCTTCAGGGAAGCTTTAGGTAAATATAAGTCAGAAAAATGATCTCTATCCAAACAACAAAAGCACAAAGCAAAGGATTAAGACTAAAAATGATGGTTAGAATAGCTCATACGAGGAGTTCTTTAGATTTCATGTTCATTTTCAAGCTGAGACGGATTAATCATTGGCTGAATTTAACATTAAAGAAAAGAAAAAACGATCAGCAGTTTAACAGAGAACAAGAATAACTGTCGGGTGTCTGTTAAAAGAAGCGCATGATCATTTTCACCAGCACCAGTCATCAGCCTCGTAAACAGCAGTAACTTCCTGATGAACATCACCGCAGTGGCTTTTGTTAAACTATCTTAGAGCAGCGGAGGAATAGATCTTATATCTGATCTGGTTCAGCACTAACCACCTGTCTCGACCACAATCTTTCACTTCGGTGCAACATGCGAACGTTTTCACAGCACGACCACAGCTCTGCGTGATTCTGTGAACCAGGCTCTCAGCTCGGGGAAGTGAAGCTCCTGGAACATCTGAACTACATGTGAAAAATTACATCAACTATACGCTTAAAGGCACGACTCCATGCAATTTCAAAGAGTCATCTGCAGAACAGAAGAATGAAGAGAAGGCTTGCTGTGCAGCCTGAGCCCAACTGTATTTTATCATGGATCTGAATCTGATAGTGCATCATGTCATGTGACCCCGTGAGATCAGATGACAAACTCCATGTACTCACCACCAGCCCTGCATTCTTCACAGCCAGAGGCAGACCCAGCAGCCCCGTACCGATGTTCCCTTTTAATAAGTGGATGAGAGTCTGACAAAACCTGGAGATGGGAATAAAGTTCACATCACATCAGATTTGCTTCCTTTAAACCATTAAGTCTGCTTCGGATTGAGAGGATGTCAGGTTTAAGATACTCACGAGGTTCCTGTCCGTTCTCCGATCCTCTCGTAGTTACGCTGAGGTCTGGAAGGTCCAGGAGGGGAGGGGCAAAGAGCGTCCATTTCTGATGGATTTTGGTCCGAGAATAGAGAACCTGCAGGGAGACACACACACAAAGGATGAGTAAGGAACCGACGTTTTCATGACCTCCACAGACTCGCCACACGTCGGCTAGAGCGCTAGAACAGAGATGATGTTAGAGGATCATAAAGACGACTTCTGGATGAATCTAATGAGCTTAAATGTAGATTTAAAAGTTTAGAAAACAATCAAAAGACAAAGTTTGTAGTTTAGTTTTTAACTGCTGAAGAGCTGAACGATAATGGATGACACTGAAATTCATTTACATTAATTACATTGATGACTCATCTGCAGGTATTTGCTGAAGGCGGTTGCTTTAACACGATGTATGGCTGTTTTTAAAAGCACTCATCCGTAGTAAAGCGACACAACTCTGTGGTTTCAGCTCAGCAGGTAAGGAGACAAAACTTTGATGGGAAAAATTCACTGATAACTGATTCTGGGTTCAGACTTTAGGGAATTCTGAGCATGAACAATGATTTCCTCGTGGACTGAGTGTCAGTTTTGGGTGATAAAGACTTTAATTTTCATTAGTTGGGTTTCACGGTCAGTGTTGGCTCATGTGTCGATGAAGCTCTTGTGTTTTTATTGCGCTGCATGTTTATGATTGCTCTTGTACTGTATTTTATTTTATTATTTTGGTTTGGGAACGGACCTGGGTAATAATTTCATACCACAGACTGTCGAAGGTGTGGGGTATGACAAATAGTTGAAACAGCCTAACTGCTAGCATTCAGGGGAGGGTGATGTGATGAGATGTGATACAGAGACTGAGTAATTCTGCGTATCTAATCAATTGCAGGACAATCTTAAGTGCAGTGTTAATTTGGTGAGCTGGATTGGAAGGAAATCTGCGTTTGTTAGTTTTTTTTATTGAAATGTTGAATTTTCCACCAGGAATATGACACTTTTATATGTTTCTGGAGTCAGGATGGTGATATATTGCTGCACTGACACTGTCTCCCCCTCAGTGATCACAGCAAATGTAAGATATCTATGATTGAAATCATCGACAGTTTATCTGCATGACAAAAAAAACACTTCAGGTTTCATCCAGGTGATAATAAAACAGATTTGATGGCAGAGACAAAAAAACAAGCTCAGAAAAGAAGACATTTTAAATGAACTAGAGTCTAAAAATGTGAAAACTGAAACAACGACTCGTGTCAAAATATAAGAAAGAAAAAAAATCCAGATCAGGAGCCAGAACCTTGGTTTTTAGGACATTTAAATCACAGCTGGTTTTTAGGTCATGTTGGGTCAGTCTGGTTTTGACATGAATCAAACTAGGAGATCAGAAAAGTCGATTATCGTCCATCAGCTTATGTACCACAGACAAGGAGACAGGAGAGGACAACTTCACTGAGTATGGCAGAAGTCCGATGTCAGTTATCTACGGATAAAAACTTTACATCAAGTCTTCAAGTGCATCTTCTTTCACTGTCTTTGTCGTCTCTATTATTAGTTTTGAGTTTGTTTTTAATCACGGTTTCCTCTTTTGGTTTGCACTTCAGAAATATCACGCGACAGAGTTTGAATGGTCGAGTCTCGCACAAATAAATAGTCTATTAAGAAACGCCCGACTGTAATAATCACAAGACAGCTATCGTGTAGTTTGGCTGCACATCAGGAGGTTGAAAAAATATTGTCTCCGCCCAAACAAAAGCCCTGCTGCTGCTACTGCTGCTGCTGCTCAAACGGACTCCTGTTATGGGTTTGTTTACTGATGTGCCTGCTGCCTTCAGAGGAATCCACTTTAGTCTCTCGTGACTCTCGTTACCCTTTAACCACCAGAGACGAGCTGAGGGTGGAAAATAGATAAAGAGCAGAGTGTTCATCGACTGAATGTGTGAAAACTGATACTGAAGTGACACTGAGGCTCGTCTTTACATCACAAAGCCCTGCGTTTTAAAATATCCCGGCTGAACTCGAACTTCACATCACCTCTGCACAATAAAACGAGCAGCGATTTTCAGCTCAGCAGAGCTTGAACACACTCTAGAAATATTACTTCAATACTTTAAGTCCCACTCCGACCATTTTTCTTTTTACTACTTAAAGTGTTCTCAGTGATCTTTAAATTGTGATTATGAAGCTTTTAGCTAAAATCATGTTTCCTGTGTCATTTTCAAGAACTTTTCTTCTGCAGAGCTCCAGTAGCTCATTAGCAATTCACCTCTGAGTCATGAGCAGAGACAGCCCTGCTTAACGCTAGTTTGCGGCCTAACATTACTGGTGTAGTAGAAGTGGCAGGTAACATCGGAGCTATTCAGCTCTCGAGCACTAATGTCTTTCGGGACATGATGAAAGTTAAAGTCCGGGGGCGGAGCTTGGATTTGTGATGTAGGAAATCTCACTGTGTCTGAACCTGCTGTTTGGGTCTGCCAGAGATTCACAGAGATTTGAATGCAGAAATACCTAGAAATGCTCTTGATGTGTCCTGTAGCATCAGAAAAATGTCATATGAACATGTAGACAACAAGAAAAACATGATTTTCATCAGAGTGGGTCTTTAAAGACAGAGCAAAGACACATACTGCCCACTGGTGCAAAACACACCATACTCTTGATTTCTGTCACAGCTGCGAGTTAAGTAGATTTGGGATAATCTAAACAGAACTGACAACACCTACTCCAAAAAAACAAAGTATCTTTTAAAAGCTGTTAGCTTCAGATCAAACCACTGCAGTAAACCAGATCTGAGTACGACTGAAATGTAATCCACAGCTGAAACCGGACACCAGCGGCTGCTGTTCATTCGAGACATCCTGGTGTCAAGCCTGAGCCTGATCTACCTAACATTACAAGTGTCCAAACTGGTCTCTTACCTGCCTCAGGTAGGCATCAGTAAAGGGAATCCAGACACAGTTCCTGGAAAAGGCAGTGACTCTGACTGAGCTGTAAGTGCTTGTAGGGCGATGTTAATAACCCAGCTGAGACGGCGGAAAGAGCAAATATTTGCAGGCTAAGTTAATAAAGGTGGCGAGAATTTGATCTTGTCTGACGAGAAAGTGATGTTTGAACTACTTCACCATAGGAAGAGAATAAAGAACTTTGGATTAGGGCTAAACAATAGATCACAAACTCATCCTGATGTGAGCATTTGCAGCAAAACACATCACAACAATCAATGGCAGGATCTGAAGAAGTGCCTGTTTCTGGGAGAAATCTTGAATGTAAACTCTACCCCTCCCAACCAGTTTTCCCCTCAGCTCCTCCTCTCCCCTCCCGCTCTGCTCCAACAAGCCCCGCCCACAAACAGACGCTCCTGCTCGCTCGTATCGTTCCAATTAAATTCAGATATAATGCAGATAAATACTTCAGATCATTACAAATGGGGCCCAGTCAAGGTGAAAGTCAAAAGCATTGGTGCTACTGTAGATGCCAACAGACTACCAGCAAACACAATGTTTGCAGGACTTCTACAACGAGGATAAAGTGACATAGTCCAGGACCCGAGGGAGGACAGTTTAGCGATGGCGCTACAACACGCTACAGCAGGTCCGTTTGACAAGAAACACTTCTGTTACAGGCGCTTGGCTTACTTTGTTAAAGCGGTTTACAGGGAAGGTTACAGGGTCACCAAGATCACAAAGCGTCTATGCTTCAATTATGTTGACCCGGCTCTTGTCCGGTCTACCTCCGTTTTAAGCGCCCGTTATTCCTCCAGAGTCTCCGGTATTTACTTTGTTTTCTTGCTTGTGTCGGCAGTCGTGGCCAAAGGAGGATTCAGACAATTTTCTGAACTTTCTGGTTGGTTTCTACTGTCACAGCAGGCTCATGAACGTTAATCGAGGATGTGGAGCATGCCTCACAACACGAGGGAGCAGCGTCTGCCTCACAGCCAATCAGGTTAGAGGAGGTGGAGAATGGCTTTGTTTACAGTCAGAAAGAGCGGACCGCTCAAAAATGTTAAAATGTTGACGACACAGACATAACAAAACACAGAGATATCATTATATTACCAGATGTCATTATTAACTAATAGCTTTTGACTGATATTAAAAGCTTTTTTGTATTTACACCACTAACAAAGAGTCTTCTTTAACAGAATCCTGCCTACCCCACCTTTAAGTGGGCACATAAACATCCTCTGTCTGCATGTACCTTTAATCTGGACAATAACAGTTTAGGCATCACGACCACACCTAATGATTATTCTCACAGTCATGGATTATCCGAACACTATTCGACTAATCACATATTAAATTGCACAATGACTCTTAGGCTCTAATCTCATTAATATCACAGAGTACAGAACAATACTGTTGCATATTGCATTGTTATTCTTTTTTTAATATCTTGCAGACTTCATGCCAAATTTTCCGGTAAAGTGTGGTAAAAATAAGAGAGAAGTTTTGCTTTGTTGGAGGAAAATAGACTTCAAGTCAAAAATCGAGTGAAATGTTCAACATAAAGGGTTAAACAGTCAAATACAAATAAAAACTCTGACAGTAACACCTCCTAGTGAAACACAATGAGGATTAAAGATGAAATGTGGTCACAGTTGTTGTGACTTCCTGCCAAATTATTCACCAACTGTTCCAAAAACATTAAAGCTGCTTTAATGATATTCTGTCAACCTGCCAACGAGGATTATTCATAATCCCACTGAGCCTAATCAAGATTATTGCCACCATGGTCAAGTACGTACAACACACACACACACACACAGCTTTTTTTTTGTTTTTTGATTCCAATGAACGGACAGAAAAGTGTGAGTTTAGTTTCCATACCTTCACCTCGGATGTCGACGTCGCTGGAGCTCATCATCTTGGGTTTAGTGGTCGGCTGGGTGTCGTGTCCCCCAGCCTCACAGATCCAAACACTGAGAGATCAGGGAGTCCAGCATTGACAGCTCCTCACTGCAAAAAGAGAAAGATATTCGATGTGACATTCAGCTCCAGCCATAAATCCAATTTTAGAGTCCTGAACTGACTGACGCAGATTTTAGGTTTAATGTTTCCTCTTTGATCCGTTAACCCGTGAATATTTGTCGACTTTTAGCGATAGGAGCTGCGTTTAAATGCAACATTTGGTAATATCAAGGCTCCGAAGAACAACAGTACAATTGTTGCCACATCCTCAAGTATTTTATCGGATGTGTGTATCGACGTATGTCTGAAAAGCCGAGGGACAGAATGAGCATGACAAGAGAGAGGCTGACATGATCGTGATAATACAAGATAATACAAGTTTTTATCAGGGACGTTTTATGAAACTGAGAGTTAAGACATTACAAGAGGGCTGTTAAAATAAACTCAAAGATTGAAACAATTACAGCAGATAAAATAATTAAATAGAGAGGAAATAAGACAATTTAACAGTCAAAACACAGTGAGGCCTTAAAGCCAATAAAAGGAAGAGATGAGGCTTTAAAATGAACTTAAATGCGACTAAAAAAATGCAAGAGGCAATTGAATAAGTGCAATCAAATAAAAATATAAATCAAAAAGCGGTCACTGAAAATTGATTTGGTAAGAAAAAGAAATTGTAAATGTAGGACAAGAAAAGATGGAGGCAAAGTGAGAAATGAAATAGGATGAAATATTCAAAGACATTTAAAATGAAAGAGAGGACAGCATCAGGTGAAGGCCAGTCAATAATAATGAGTTTCAAAAGCTGAGATGGAAAATGCAACTGATTTAAAATCAAAAACTAACAGGAGGGAGGCTACAGCTCTGTGAAAACCAGGGAGAGACCGAGCTGGAAGAGACCGAGATTACAGGCTGGGATGAAACCACAGCACAAAATCTAAAATTAACAAAGATATAAAATCTCAACAAACCCACAAATATTTGTTTTTTCTGCTAGAAAAAGAAACTAAGGAGCTTCTTAATCCCTGAATTCGAGCTGTCTCTTCATATTCTCTTTTCAGTAGATGATCTGCATGTTTTTGCTTTTCTTACTGTAACTTCAACTCAATTATAAAAAAATGGATCGTGTATAAAAAGAGAAAAAACGTGTTTTTTAGAGGAAATATTTTTAAAAGGCTATTTAAGCTCCTCGCTATGATTGGATTTGTTGGGTTTAACTCGGGATTATTTCAGGGTGGACAGAATTTACCAAGAATTTCGAACAAAAATATTGGATTGGAGAATAACAACGTGACCTGAAGTTTTTTTTTTTCATTTTTTCTGAACAGTTTAGTAACCATCACCACTTTCAATTGCACTGAAATGAAATTATCAATTTCCATGTCAAATTGAATAAAAATGTAGTTGTCCTACTTTATTTGCAGGAAATCCTTTGACTTTAACGCTCATCTGATCAGGTGAAATCTTTAAAAACAGGATTTATGTGACAGAGAGGAAACATTAATTCAGTGAAAAGGAAGTTTTAACGGAGAAGGCGCAGTGGTCATTACTTCTTGTCAGTGTAATGTCGTGTTAGATGTCTCTGAGGAGGGTAAAGCCCACTTAACCACAGTGTTGCATAAGAGCAGCGAGAGGGTTTGTGCGAATGTGTCATGAGCTGCTGGGTGTTGTTGCAGCTTCTCCCCCTAATCACACAGGGATTTACTCGTTCCACGGCTTTGCTGTCCACCTGCTGATTCACTGCTCTAAGGTCAACAGCAAGTCTGGACTTTGTCGCATTTTTCAGGAACTGATCATTTGCATGTCGTGGGGGTCATATGGAGCATACTTCCCTAATGCTACTCTCACATTTGTTGTTGTTCTTTGGCGTTAAATGACTCCAGCACAACTTGAGAAACTGGATTGTCTGTATTTACTCAAGGCCGTTTACAGATGTTGCAGAATCTCCCCCCCCAAGCGTGTATCCTGAGCTGACCAGCTTCTGTTTCTTTACACTGAAAGGCCTCTGAGGTGTGTGAAAAGAGAAAAACATTTGCACAGGAGAAGTGTGACTTCCACATGAACAACAACGAACCTGAAGGAAGGCCAAAGCATTTAAATTACAAGCTTATCAGCAATTTTACCGCTGTGACCTGAGAAGACTGATCTAAACGAACCGCTGTGGAGGCAAAAGAGAGGCGAGGTGTGCAAATCTTTACAGCAGCTTTCAACGCAGGTTTCAGATATTATCATAGCGAATTACCCGCTCATTACTTATCAAATTCATAAGCACAAAGAGGTTCTTTCAGTGTCCTGCACTGGATGGAGACATGTGTTTACAAATGTTCAATGCAACTCCTCCAGCAAGGTCACGGCATTCAAGCTGCAAATTTCAAGACTGAAAAAAAAAACAACACAATGCTTTTGTTATTCTTACTTCATATTAAGATGGTATAAAGTCGTCTTAGTCCATGCATATTTTACAGATGCGCTGGTTATTTCAAGCGGTTATGACACCTTATAGTGCTGGGATGGAGAAATGAGACAACCATGAAGGCTCCGGTTTACAGCCTGCACAGTGATGGAGATGAAGCTTCAGTTATGAGGAAGCTGTTTCAGGTTAAAATTGGTTCTTTATTTCTAAGATTTATTGAATCAGTTCATGCTACAAATCTTTTAGGATTAAACCTCAGTCCACAAAAATTTTACTTTTCTGCCCAGACCTGCTGCGCTGACGTAACATCACGTCGTCTGTACCAGTTTGTCATCAAAGTCATGAAAGGCGGATCATGGCGGACTCGGCATAATAATGAATGAATAAAATGAAGACGATGACACAGCAAAGTGCGCCACATGCAAACGAAAGGAGGAACAACACTCGGCTTAGGGGGTGTGTATTTGATCAGCTGGTGTCATAACGTCTGCAGCAATTAGTCACATAACATACAGATAAACCAATTAATGGCTTTCTGGCATTATTGGCATCATATGAAGACTCTGAAACCAGTCAACATCTCCCCCTGGTTACTGTAGAGTTTTTATTAGTTATGCCCTGAACGAATAAAGCTTTTTAACTCAATCCTTGACTCAAGCAAGCGTGCCCCAAAACAGTCTCAGAGCCTCCAGAGTCCCAAAGGCCCTGCAAAAATCAAGGATTGGTTGACATTTGTAACAAAGTAATATTACAGTTGCAAGACTGATGTTTACGAGGGTAGGGCTGGGCGATATAGGAAAAAGTTTATCACAATGTATTTTTTTCCGTATCAGTCGATATCGATAAATATCACGATATAAAAAATTCAATTTAATAGTGCTTATTGGTAGCATGTCTTTTGCAATACAACAAGCTACTGCATCTGAGGTCTTTGTGTCTCTTTGATGTTTTGTCATAAGGCGTTGTGCTAGAGAAAGTGGACTGAATGGTCAGCTGTTTCGACTGCACAGGCATCGTGGGCTGTTTCGCACTTGCTCCTGCCAGTCTGGTTGATGAAGTCGACATCGGTTGATTCTTCATCGTCATTTCTGTCGGGGGTGGCACTCATTTTCTTTTTTTCCCACTGACAGTGCTGTTGGCTTCCTGTGTTAAAGTGCTATAGTTGCGTGTAGCTGCAGCCTGCTAGTTGTTTGCTACTTGGTTCTAATTCAGCATGGTGCGGAATCGGAGCAACTCCTATTTTCATTGTATAGTATAGTCTACCAAAACATGGCAGAATGCGGGCTGTCAAAAAGCATACTGACCATTTTTTTTATCGATATCAAGGGAAACTAATTTTTGATATCATTATCGTTTTATCGCCCAGTCCAGTGGTGGACTGGAACATCGGGATCACTGATTCCCGGTGGCCTAGCGTCACCTGGCCAAAAAATTGTGTATAACAAATTGTGTGTGCGTGTGTGCCCGCAGGCAGGCCACTGAACTTGTAGAGCAGTAGAGGGGTAGCTTTTACGTAGCTAGTGCGACCTGAAGTAGAGCTGTAAGGTGATCGGCCGCAGATGCGCTGATCGAGCATCGTTGTTCACTCCACTCCCGAGCTGATCGTGTTTCTTTCTCCTCCTCCCCCTGAGACAACTGAGACCCCCTGAGCTCTAAGATGTGATTGTTTTGAGTTTTATAAAGTCGCCGACCGACACCGAGACGGCTACGATGCTAGTGGTGTGTGCTAATCCAAGTTTTATGCCTCTCGAGAACTTTGACTTTTTCTGACAGGCTTTCAACATTTTATTACAATACAACAGCGACATAGTTGAAGGCATGACTAATATAGAGTTTTTATAACCATGATAAATATATATAAAATCTAGTTCAGTCGGCTATAAAGCACCTGTCAAATTACTTCATATTTAATTTGCAGTTATGCAGCCAATGTTGAATTCTTCACAGTAGCGTTATATTCACTAAATCTGGCTTCAAATGTCCAAAACTTTTCGCCGGTGCAGGTATTTCCGCCTGGATAGAGTCAAACTCCTGGCCTGAATTATGGTCCCAGTCCGCCCCTGGCCCAGTCCTATATAGGGGGTTTTATGTGACATTGTTTATTAAACAATAGGAGTTTTATTTGTGTTATAAAATTGAAGCAGTACAAAACCAGACACCAATTTTGTTCCTATTATTTTCATGAAAAGTATAATTGGATGATCTGTCATGTCCAATTCAGTAAAAAGACAATAACTAAAGGTTGTTAATCATAATCTGATAATGATCAGAAACAAATGCATGGATTATTTTCAGTTGTCACACTGTAGTTTTGCTTGATTACCTTTACATTTAGGATTTAGTGTTTACAGGTAAAAAGCTCAGGTAAAGCACATTCTTGACATGTCATGGGTGCGGCATAACCCTCCAGTCTTCATTAAAATCACACAGAAAGAGTATTTGGTCCTTTTAACGACTTGACAAACAGACACAAACAGACAAACACAAACAAACAAACACCAACCTCAGCAGACGAACCAGATAACCTAATAATCTCATCATTTTGCGCTAATCTTTAGCCAGGAGACATGTGAGGGTCACCATCGTCTCAATGGACAGGGACAGATAAGGCAGACAACCGAGACAAACACCCCTGATGGGATCTGGCCAGGAAACTATACCATCAAATCAGCTTATGATTAATTGCGCTGTGCTAAGAAAGCAGTTAAATAGGGCTGCTGTGTACGAGCGCTTTAGCTGCTATTTCCCTCTGTGGAAGACTCCCACGAGAAGCGGAGGGACTGAAACAGAAAGAGAAATAAAGGACATGCTAACAGCCTAGCTATTAGCTCGTAATAACCTGTTACCTGTGCGGGGACACGGCTGTTTATTCCACTAACGTACTGTGTCATCTATCTATGTAGCCGAGGTTAGCAAGCTGTGCGTCCCGATGCCATCTTTGTGTCAACACCAACCTGCCTCGGAGAAAACCTCGAGTTCGCTCCTTTATCCAGGTGTCGGGTTGACTGTACAAGAGGCTAACCTCACCGTAGACCTCTTTTTTTCATATCGGATCCATAGCAGCGAGGATACAGAGCGGCAACAGCGGAGCGACGAGTGAAGGTAAAACAGGAGTCGACTGGGGGAGTCAGCCGTGTGGTCACGTGACCCCTCCGGGAACGAGTAATTTTGCGTTCAAGTGTCGGCAGAAAAATCGGAAATTAAAAGCATTTAAGCGTTACTTTTTAATTAAGTGTTGTAACAAGCTCAAAGATTTTCCACTTTGAAAGTTAATCTCTAATGAAAAAAAAAGATATCCGTAAAACTTTTATAAAAACCGTCATTTTGGTTCTACAATAAACCCAGAAAAGAGCTTCCCGCCTCGGACACTCGAATGATCCGAGGAGCACGTAAACGCACCTTGTGTCGTGCTGTCCGACGTGCTGTTGCCATAGATACAGATTATTGCTTTTAAAATAGTGTCGCTAACTATTTTCTACCTCTGTGTGGGCTTTAGCTGAATAATGACAGTGCTGGTATCAAAGATAAACCTTATGTTATATCAGGGATAATGTCGAACATCAAATGTGTGTCTGTGGCAGTAAAGTGAACTGTAAAGTTATTTCAACCCAGAAATCCATGACATGTTCGGACAAGTTCCAAACTACGATCAACTGATGGTGCTTTCTCCCTCATGATATACAAACAAAAATGTTTAATTTTATTCCATTTATATTTTTTCATTGTTGTTTTAGGTGTACATTTTATTTCAGACCAAGGCACAAGCAAACTAAGCGCCAGCTTAGGGCCCCGCGGCCAATAGGGGTAGTTGGGGTTTAATCCGGTAGTTGGCGGTAATGCGACATTGAATTTGCTAAATATAAACGTAGAAGAAGAAGCTGAGGAGGGGAAGTTACCGTTGGCCGAAGCTAGCTTGTTCAGTTCGTTGACGTTTCACAACATTCAACTCAGTTCGAGGGAGAAACGCACAGCTGACTAAGTTTGGACCATATTTCTTTAATTATGACGGTCAGTAACTATTAATATGTTTTATAATATGTAGATTTTCTTCATTTTAGCCTTTACCCTGCCTGTGTAGTGAAAAGTAGCGTTCGAGCTAGCTTTGGAATTTTTGTGTGAGTCGGCTTCAGGTTGTCACAATCTCGGTAAAATCACGGTCAGCAAACTAGTTTCTGGTAATTTTAGTGCTGTAGGCAGGTCCGAGGTCCTTCTGGGAAAGGAGATGTGTATTTCTTTAAAGCCTCTCAGGAAAAGGAGCGAAAATAAAAGACAACAGACCAACTCCAGGAGATCACACAGCACCCATAACCATCACAAACTCAGGAAACTCCACGTCAGACTAAAAGTACTTTGGATTCTGGGCCTCTCCGATCTTGATTTCAACTGAGATGCAAAATTTACTCTAATCTTAAAAACAGGATTTAGGATCACTAAGAGTCCGGTTCGTCTTCTTCCTGACCGAGTTTATGTCTCACTTTTTTAATTAGATTGTGGGGAAAAAACGAACTTATCTTCTAAACTGTACCCCGACAATAGTTCTGATTTTAAGTTTGTTTTCATGGTTCTGCATTATCTTGTGGGTATAGTTTTCATGTAGGGGAGACCAGGGTTTGTTGTCACATTGCAATTATCTTTGCCACCAGAGGGCCCAACTAAAAAGTGGAATATTAGTTTTCTTCCTTTACATGGTCAGGGGTCGTGTCCTGTCTGAGAAGAGAAGAGAACACTGTGAACATTGTTTAAAATACTCTTCTTCCAGATAAAAATCCCATACATAGATAGATAAATGGATACATAGATTAGTATTGTTTATCTTGTTAAAATAAAGGGTAAGTTGCAATAAGTTTTCATTGATGTCATAATTTGATCTTTCTTTAACAGAAGCACGAGTTTGAGGTTGCGATGACGTGTGAGGGATGCTCAGGAGCTGTGACCAGAATCCTCAACAAGGTGGAAGGTGAGACTGAAACGCAGGTCGTATCTATATCCAGATAAATTGTAGTTCTCTAAAGTGGCATTCACGTATCCGACGCATGAATAAAAAAGTGGTGGACCTTTCTCTTTTTCTCGTTGGCCAATGGCTGATACACAACACAGAAACCATGTTGTTTTTATGTTTGTTTTGTTTTATGGATTATAAAATATTGGTTGAATACCATGGAATACTCTCTTTGCATTAAACAGATTGTACAGAACATGAAATAAAATTGAGGAATGATTTGTAAATAACCTACTGCTGTTGTTTGTTCCTCCACAAATCCAGCACCAGTGTTGTTCTCAAGCTTTTAAAGCTTCGGCATCACAAGCACCCTGTGAATTATTGGCTCAGAATGAGTCAGCAAGTATATCATCTGATGCAGTTTGTTTTTCATTTTATTTGGCTGAAATTATGCTTCTTTTTCTTTATGAACTGAGCTGTGACAGTCAAAGAAACACACTCTGCCTTGATAGTAAATTCTCTTTTACTGACAGGACCTCTTAACCGAATACAACATATGACATGTAACTAACTGCTCGAGTCAAAGTATCTTAAGGTGAATCATGTCCCTCAGATTTCATTAAACTGTGAGAGTTTATTGTGTCTCTTGGATGTAAACATGTTCCTGATTTATTCCCTCTCCTTTCAGGTGTGAAGTTTGAGATTGACCTTCCTAAGAAACTAGTTTGGATCGAGTCTGACAAAGATGTGAATTTCCTAAAGGAGACACTGGAGAAATGTGGGAAGGAGGTCAAGTACAATGGCACTAAATGAAGGATTCTGCATCATGCAGATCAGGTGCAGGTTCAGTATTTGATTCTACATAGATTTGTGTTTATGGATGTGAGTTCTGCTGCAGACTGCAAGCTCAAACCGCCCCCCAGCTAAGCAGGAGAGCCTGCTGTACCTGTGAAACCTGTACACCGTTACAGGACCCCTCAAAAGTATACTGGACTTGTACTACTCTACAAACAAACAGGAGCTGCTCCCTCTTCGAAATATAGAGGTCTGAAAAAGTAAAGAAAATATGACAGCCCTGCTCGACTCTTCTCATTCCTGAGTCATCAAACACTTTGGCAGGTCCTCAGCATTTCATACGAACACACAGATAGTCTCTGTAGCTTCTGCTGGACATGCACTGGACGTTGAACTGTCAACAGTGTAAAACCATCCACAGCAATACTACATCTGGACCACACTGCTTCTCCTTTTCATTTTTGCACCCATGTTTTACACTCAAAAAGCTTACTGTGAATATGATAAGGGGATTATTATACTTACTTTACCAACAAGATTACACCTTTTTTTACAGTGTCTATATGTTACACAGTACATCCCTGAAATCATTAAATAATAAATCTCAGAGAAACTACAACTGCCGTCGAGTTTGCAGAAAGTTCGTCACAGCATGTTGTGGATGACGGGCCAAATAGCGAAGGACTTTCAGATAGAACAAGAGGTCAACATTTAGTTATTTTCAGGCTCTTTCTGGTGTGTTTCAACTCAACTCAACTTTATTTATGGAGCACTTTAAATACAACCAAAGCTGACACAAAGTGCTGTACATAATAACATAAAAACATGAAACAACAATAAATAGTTGTTTTAAAATAGAATAAAAAGCAATAAAAAAATGCCGTCTCATGCTGGGTCAAAAGCCAAGGAATAAAAGTGGATTTTAGTGGGTTTTCTCCTAATTACTTAGTTGAGATCTAAAACAATACGTGTGCTGAACAAAAACTACCTGTTGTATTTCCAGCTGGAGCAAATTAACACTAAAAATCATTGTTACATCATTTGGCGGCTCACTTTAGTTTCTGTGTGTGCTCTTTCTGCAGGAAATCACTGCTGCTTATGTAAACTGAAGATTCATGCTGAAATTCGAGTCCACTACCTGACTGGAAGAGTCCGATGGAGCAGCGCCTCTTCCCTCCATGCTTAGACGCACAAAAGTCCCCTCAGATGCAGGTCTTATACTTTAATGATTTACAGAGACGGAAGTGGCAAAAAGTTCCTGGAAAATGAAGAGAAACACAAAAGAGCACTTATCTGTAGATATAGAAAAGAGAAAGTGAACAAGATAACAAGAAGACGTTCTGACGCTGTTTCTTTCTTTCTCCTCCAACATTTCCAACATAGCTCTTTTCTGTAAACTCTTTTTGAATTTCTAGAATTTTTTTATTTGACAGTCAGACATCTTCATTCATCAGGTAACCGTGTGAGAACTGTGTTTCCTCTTTGTGTGAAAGGTCAGAAAAAACAACCCTCTTAAACTTTAAATACATTCCCTCAATTTGAAATACACTGCAGACAATTGGCCATGTCTGCTCTCAGCTTCATTTAATATGTTTTTTTTGCACTTGATTGTTTTGAAAGTAATCGAACTTCATGTGAGAAACGTCCATCCATCTTTCTTTCCTCTAGAGACAATCTGCTGGACCTGAACATCTTCCTTTTAGTTTCATCGCACTTTACACAACAATTATCTGCTCAGACCACAGGTCAAATGTATCATGTTTATCCAGATTTACTGACATGTCTTAGTTTTCTTTAAACACCACGATGAACTGATCAGTATTGTTACTTTAAAAAAAACACACACCTCACTTTTCCTCTTTACTTTTCTAATTGTTCGTCTGAATATGTGTTGACACAAAAGAAATAAAATCAGTTCTGTCTGTAAAATAACAGCTTATAGTTTCATTGCTTCACGAGCAGCACGACTCCAGATCTGGAAAGACTGGACACAAAGTAAAATGTTGATTAAAGCAGATTTTGATGTTTGCAAATCACAGAAACTGATAATACAGCAATTCCTATGCTATTTTCTCTCACTGTGATATTTTTTAGATAGCGTCTTTAATATTAAAATACAATAATATAAAAGAATACGAACAGATACAACATTAAAGTTTCTCAGGCTGGAGTTTTATATTGGTTGGATACCTGTTTGGTTGACAGACAACAGTATGTGGAATTTTCTGATGCAACATCAGAGTAATGAGGAATGCCTCAAGGCTCAGGTTTAGGGCCCAAACGTTTTATTTCAAAATACTATTTTTTTGGGAAGAGGACTTTAAAAGAAAAAGCACAAAGATCATAAAATATTGTGTCAGTACAAAAGAGGATAAGTGCCTCAAGAAGGAAAAAATAATTACAGGAGGGAGTTTTTTTTTATTTCCTTTTCAGGATTAAAGTTGAAATTTCAAGAGTAAAGTCAAAATGTTTAAAAATCGGAATGTAGATATTTATTCATGTTGACTTTGATCTCGAAATTTTGACTTAAATCTCCTCCCTGTAATTATTTTTTTCTCTTCGTGTGGCCCTAATCCTCTTTGGTATGTCAGTGAGTCTGTGTCAAAGATTCATCAGATTAATTCTCCTCGCTCTCATCACGTCATCCCGATGTGTTTTCTGTTTCCAAAAGCAGAAGGAGTCAAATTTGTGTGCCTGTTAATGTTGCGCAGATAACTCGGTTTTCTGCCTTCACATGTTGCATAATTTATTCTATCAACCACCAGGAGGAGCTGTGGCATTAAGTAGTTAAAAAATCTGCTCCTTCATTAGACACAAGTTTGTCCTGAAGAACTACAAAAGCAGACGTTGAGTCAAAAATAAGAGGTTACTGTTGGTTCGGTATTTCAAAGGGTAGTTTTTCTGCTCTCTACTTTTTGTGTTGCTCAGCATCATAGATATAGATATGTAGAATATGTGGAAATGTAGAGTATTTTAAGGTATGAAATCACACGTGTAAGGAATATTTTATTAATTTGATATTACAGCATTACTCAAAACAGACTGGAGGTTAAAAAAAAGACCAAAAATAAATGGAAAAAGCTGGTCTAGACTGCACTCTATGTGAAGATGGGATAAGAATGAGCGCCAGACTCACTCTCATCACACCTTCAAACCCTTTACAGCATTTAACAAGTTACAGTGGAGAGGAAGAAACTATTTTAACAGGTAGAAACCTTGAGCAGAACCAGACTGATGTTAAAAGGTCATCTGCTGAGACTGAACTGGTTTAGAGATGAGAGAGAGAGATATCATACAACCAAAGAGAGAAAGAAACAACTTCAAAACTCGATAAAATACACTTAAACACACTTTGATATATGATGTATGTCTGGTCTTGGCAAATGTCCACATTTATAGTTTACCCATGATGCATAGCTCCAGTTAAGAACATTACTCTGAGAGATATATGCTGCAGAAGCGGAATTTAAGAATATTGTGCTTGTGGCTAATTTCACCATCACACCCTCATCGCCTGGTTACCTGAGTGACCAGTGAAGAAAATCTGAACATTTAAAACGTCACATTTGATTTAAAACATTGCTGTTTGTGGTTTCTGGGGTTTTCTCAGAGTGAATCAGATAAAAACAAAAAAAACGATCTCCTCAGGTCCTCATGAGTTTTCTTCTCTTCCACCTTGTCCCACTGGCTCAATATCTGCAAAGTCCACCCGCTCATGTTCACAATGGTACTCCACTGCAGCAGTCTCTGAAACAGAAACATTGGAACAACATGGAAGTACTCAAAAGAGATTCTGAGATAGTGTGTATCCAAAACAGTGAAACTGTGTATCATGGTGAGCACAGTGAGTTTGTACCAGACTGCTTCGCCTGTTGTCTTTGTTTGCAGACCACAAAGAACACCACCAGCGTCAATGTTAGCAAGAGCACGATCCGAACTACAGCAGACACTGGAAGATACTGAGAAGCTATAGAGGGGGAAGAAAAGTATATGTAACAATTAAAACATCTTAATTTAACTCTTGTTTAATGTTCTACTGAAAGGTGGAGATGCGCCTGAAATTGTTTGGATTTTGTTTTTCTCGTACTCCTTTAATCGTTTCTCATTTCAGTCAGAGACCGAACAGGTGGTTAGACAGCAAGCAGAAGTGGCGGGTTAAAATTTTCAGAGTAAAAGTAAATCGTGAAATTCCTCCGGCAGAAAGAGTAGCAAGTCTTGGTCACAGAATCTTTAAATCAGAGTAAGATATGATGAAAACAAGGGCCTAAAGGACTAAAACTAAAACGACAGTTATTCGGTTTCCAGATCACAAATAAAAAACAAAATATCCAACGATTACAACATTCAGAGACCATGGACCATTAACAGTCTACTTACATTTAATCACGACCCTGAGTGGTGCTGTCTCAATAGATTTGAACCTTCGTGTATGCAGTTTATCCTCAAACACACAGCTGTAGTTGCCTTGGTCTTCATACTCAGCCACAGGGAAGTCAAAGGACACTGAGTGATTGACAGCTTTTGTGAAAAACCAACCGATGTTGGAGCTGGACGAGAGGAGAGAAAACTGGCCATCAAAATACCGGCCGTTAGTGGAGCAGGTGACAACAAAACTGTAACCCCTGGTGACCTCTGCACCTTCAGGAGTCCAGACCAGCCCTTCGTTAGGGGACGTCAGGGAGATACTCAGCTGCAGTGCATCTGGATTCAAAAGGGAAAAGATTAAGAAATACCAGACCCATGAAAAAAGTTACCAAGACTCACCTGTCCCTACATAATATTGACTTGACTTTGACTTTTCCTACCTGAACAGATCACAGCAGCGTCCTCTTTGTGTCCACAGTTGTGTTTTCCAAATCCATTATGTTGGCACTCAGATAAAGACCTCTCATCTCCCAAACAGGAAACATCATCCAGCCAGATTGGGCCTGATCCTTTACCAAACAAGGATCCTCCAGGAATATTAAATGCTTTGCCACAATTCAGCTGCCTGCACACCACATTAGCATCCTGAAAGTCCCATCCGTCATCACAGACTGTTCCCCAGGTACCATTAGGCATGACTTCAACCCGTCCAGAGCAGGAAGACTCAGACCCACTCAGCCTGATCTGCAAACCTGGACACAGAGCACAGAAACATGACTGTAGATTGATGGAACATATTTTGTGCATATTTACGAAGACCAACACCTCAAGGTTGTCCTGTGCAAAAGTGGTGTAGATTTGTTCAATGCTCATCAAACTTAAGGTCAGAGAGCTAATCACAACTCCTGCTGCCACTAGAGGGCAGTATGACTGGGATGAACTATTGGCATATGAATGATCGAGCTTGGACCCTCATTAGATGTGGAACACTTTGGTCAGGTTGGATCATGTATTGCCGATATTCAAACTACTTCCTGTTTCATCACTGAAAGCCTGTCTCTTGAAGCTCACCTCAGCCTCGCTCACTGACAAGGACAAAATACAAAAGTTAAGATAAACTAAAAGGAAAAACCCATACATGTTATTGACACATTTACAGTCACAGTCCAATCTGAATGTAAAACTTTTCCTACCTGAACAGATCACAGCAGCTTCTTCACCGTGTCCACAATCATGTCTTCCAAATCCGTTAAATTGGCACTTGGATAAAGAGCTTTCATTTCCTGAGCATGAAACTCCATCAAACCAGACTGGGCCTGATCCATTACCAAAGAAGGATCCTCCTTGAGCACCAAGTGCTTTCCCACAGTTCAGCTGTCTGCACACCACCTCAGCTTCCTGCAGGTCCCATCCGTCATCACAGACTGTCACCCAGGAATCATTTGTGAAAACTTCAACCCTTCCAGAACAGGAAGACTCAGACTCATTTAGCCTGACCAGCAAACCTGGACAGAGAGCACAGAAACATGACTGTAACTAGATGGGACATATTTTGTGCATATTTAAATTCATTCCTCTTAAAGGAATCATGTCTCTTCTAATGAACATGGTGACTTGTACAAAAAAAGAATTAAAGTTATGAGAGGGTTATTATTGATTTTTTATTAAAAGGCGGGTCCTCTGCAAGTCCTCAGAGACAGGTGTCTCCCCATGGAAGTCTTAGAGCCACTGCCACCAAACTGCTAACAGTGGGCCAGTGGGCAATTGAAGACCACATTTGGTGACTCTATTGGTAATTTAGCGCCTTTAAAAAATTTGGAGCACTTTGCTGACCATGATCTGTGGTGAAAATTCACAGTTTTTGATACATACGTAGGAAGACCAACACCTCAGGGTTATCCAGTGCAAAAGTGATGTAGATATGGTCAATGGTAGCCTGGCTGAGCCATCCAGTTGTGTGAATCCCTTACTGTTCCTTCGCACAACAGTCTGGACTTCGGCCAATTGGGAGCCCTAAAAGTGGCTGGGAGTACTTTCCTTGATAGACAGACTACTGTAACCAATCACCGTAACCAAGCATCAGACGTCATCACAGTGCGCAACTGTGTTCCCTGCTGGGCTCTCAAGCATCAAGTAAAGGTTTGGTAATATTTCAATGTGTGCAAGAGAACAATGTCTTTTACGTCTTCTTCTGCGGATATAAAGGATTTCTGCCGACTTCGCAAAGTCAACTGCAGAATTAACGGCGTTCTGAATGAACAGCGCTTTGAAAGGTCCCGCAGCATGTGTGAGACGTCACCATCTACACATGGACCAATCAGGGGCTGCCTTTCCCTGTTGTCCCGGGAACAATGGAAACACAGTCACTGATTGGCCCGCTTATTTTCTGATTTCTAATACACGCTCCCAATTGGCCGAAGTCCAGACTGTTGTGGGAAGGAACGGCAAGTGATTCACGCAACTGGATGGCCCAGCCAGGCTAGGTCAGTGGTCTCAAAGCTTCTGGTAAGAGAGCTAAGCATGATATTTCCTGCTGCCACTAGGGGGCAATATGACAGGGATGAACTATCGGCATATGAACAGTTGAGCTTAGACTTTCTGTTGATGTGGAACATGTTGGTCAGATCAGAGTATATATAGCTCATGGACTGTATAGGCCAAGGACAACTTGACCACACCCCGTCATTTTGCCAATTTGAAGCCTAAATGCTTCCTGTATTTCCGGGAACTTTCTCTATTTCCTGAAACTGGCATTTGCGCAGTAGTGTTCAGCAGGAGAACATCGCAATGAAGCTCTGCCAAACAGCGCATACCCTGGATGTTCAACACAATCTCCATACGCCCATTGACTGTATCATGTGTCAATCATAGGAAATATAATGTTTTTATAGCCCTTAATATCTTTAAAAAATGAAACTGCAGAGAAAAAAGTCTCAGGAAAAATTGCTCAAAGACCCAGCGAAAACACAGATGACGTCAATTCAATATAAAGTCTGTGGTATGGCCGAGATTAATACTACTTCCTGTTTCATGACAAAACGCCTATCTCTTAAAGCTCACCACAACCTCACTCACTGACGAGGGTTTCAGCTAACATACCTTTTCATAAAAACAAAAGTCAGGATAAACTCAAAACTTTTGGAGGGTATGAAGAAATTTGCATTCACACGTTATTGACAGATTTATATAGACAGTCCAATTTGAATATAAAAATGTTCCTACCTGAACAGATCACAGAAGCGTCCTCACTGTGTCCACAGTTATGAATACCAAATCCATTATGTTGGCACTCAGATAAAGACCTCTCATCTCCCGAACAGGAAACATCATCCATCCAGATTGGGCCTGATCCATTACCAAAGATAGATCCTCTAGGAATATTAAGTGCTTTGCCACAATTCAGCTGCCTGCACACCACATTAGCATCCCGAAAGTCCCATCCGTCATCACAGACTGTTCCCCAGGTACCATTAGGCATGACTTCAACCCGTCCAGAGCAGGAAGACTCAGACCCACTAAGCCTGACCTGAAAACCTGGACACAGAGCACAGAAACATGACTGTGCAGCAGTAACTTCCTGTTGCCAGTAGGCAGTACTTTACTGGTTTTCAAACATGGATGTGTTCAGGCTGGGACTTGGTATTAACACAGGAAACGTTTTACAGATATGTTTATGTGGGATTGAACAGTTTGAAGTATTGTGGCAAGAATTCAGTCAAAATCAAAACTTGGGGCATTTTGCTGACCTTTAAATCCCTCAGCCGTCTTGGTCCGTCCTATTTATCTGATTTGCTTTTGAATATGAGCCCCGTAGAGCCCTCAGGTTTTCAGATAGTGGTCTTTTAATTTCTTCAGTAAATCACTGTTTCAATATTATGGCCCTGATCTGTGGAACAGTCTACCTGCAGACCTGAGAGCGACACCTGCTGTTCATATTTGGAAAGGAGGGTTAGGGACCTACCTTTTAGTCTGGCTTTTAGCTGATTTTTGTTTTAATCTCTTAATCTGCGTCATGTGTTTATACTTTATTTTAGATTTAGAGTTAGTATTTTGTGTTTAATTACTTACTTATTTACTTTTACTGTTCGGTTTTAAGACTGTTTTATTTTAATCAACTCTAAACGTTTTAATACCTTTGTTATATCTAATCACACTTTTATCAGTTAGTCTTAGGTCCTGTGTTTCCTTCTTTTTTACTTCAAGTTAGCACTTCCTTAGTCTTCTGTGGCAGTTTAAACAGTCCTCACTTGGTGTCCGTGTGTGTGTGTGTGTGTGTGTGTGTGTGTGTGTGTGTGTGTGTGTGTGTGTGTGTGTGTGTGTGTGCGTGTGTGAGTATGTTTCTCTGTGTGTTTGTGTGCACATGTGAGTGTTGTGTGTGAGTTGAATGTGTGTAGGAAGGATGGGTGGGGTTTTTTATTTCTAATTTTGTATCCCCTGACATTTATCTGCTTGTGTCCTTAAATGGACAGCACTTAGTGCTACTTTTATCGTATGAAAAGTGCTTTATAAATAAAGTTTGTATGCTTGCTTGATTGATTGATTGATGATTGACACATTTTTATTGACAGCCCTATTTTAATATAAACTCTTCCTACCTGAACAGATTACAGCAGCATCTTCTCCATGTCCACAGTTACGTTTTCCAAATCCATTACGTCGGCACTGAGATAAAGACCTTTCACCTCCTGAACAGGAAACTCCATTCAGCCAGATTGGGCCCGATCCATCACCAAAGACAGGTCCTTTAGGAGTGTCCACTGCTTTCCCACAATTCAACTCTCTGCACACCACCTCAGCTTCCTGCAAGTCCCATCCGTCATTACAGACTGTTCCCTTGATACCATTTATGAAGACTTCAACCCTTCCAGAGCAGGAAGACTCAGACCCACTCAGCCTGACCTGAAAATCTGGACACAGAGCACAGAAACATGACTGTAAGAAGATAGAACATACTTGATCTTTATCATGTGATTTTTGGAGCCCAAGCACCAAATAGTAAGAGCAGGATTGAAAACCTTTGTATCTTTAACTCCAAACACAAAGTGTGCGACTCGAGGACTCTATTCTATCTGATATTTTCTTTTCTCTCTCTCTCTCTCCCAAGTTCTGGGCCTTGGACATTCCCAAAAACTCGTGAAATTTTGATATTTTTGGCGATTTTTGTTTTAAATTGCAAAACTTAGCTTGATACCCTCCCCTCCTCAAACAGCCCTCCTAACAGAGATTATTTTAAGCTTCAATCATGGGTCTTGCTTCACAAATTTGTCACATCAAAATCTACAAAAAATCTGCTCGAACCAATGCCTTTAACCCAACAGGGAGTTGGCAATAGTTGGCTGTAGGTCAGTACTGGTCCACATTTATGCCATTTCCAGAAAAAGCACATTTAAATTCACTCCTCTGAAAGAATTCAGTCCTCCTCAAATGAACATGGTGAGTTATACAAAAGTAGATTTAAAAGTTATTAGAATAATTGAGTTTTCATAAAATGGTGGGTCCTTGGCAAGCCCTCACAGACGGAGCTAAGCTTGACATTTCCTGGTGTCATTAGGGGGCAATATGACTGGGGTGAACTATTGGCAAATGAATGATCAATCTTGGACCCTCCTTTGATGTGGAACACTTTGGTCAGGTTGGATCATGGACTGCCGATATTGATACTACTTCCATTTATATCGACAGTCCTATCTTAATATAATTTTTTCCTACCTGAACAGGTCACAGCAGCGTCCTCACTGTGTCCACAGTTATGATTTCCAAATTCATTATGTCGACACTCAGATAAAGACCTTTCATTTCCTGAACAGGAAATATCATCCAACCAGATTGGGCCTGATCCATAACCAAAGGCAGATCTTCTGGGATCATCAAGTACTTTCCCACAATTTAGCTGTCTGCACACCACCTCAGCTTCCCGTGAGTCCCATCCGTCATCACAGACTGTTCCCCAGGTATCATTTATGAAGACCTCAACCCTTCCAGAGCAGGAAGATTTAGACCCACTCAGCCTGACCTGAAAACCTGGACACAGAGCACAGAAACATGACTGTAGATTGATGGAACAACAAGAGATGTAAAGAATTGGCAGAACAATATAAAACAGTATCATCTGCATAAAGATGAATATTACAGTCAAAATAAGATGGGTCCTAAAACTGATCCTTGTGGAACACCTTTTGTTACTGTTATAAACTCAGACTGAGTATTTCCAGCTTTTACACATTGGAGAGGTAACTCTGGAACCACAAAAAGGAACGTTACATGTTACAGCACTGTTGGTCATGAGGGATTTCAAATATAAGGAATCTCGGTGTTACAAGAGCCCATGGACTGACCTGCAGCAGGTGAAGAAAAGGCCAGGAGCAGACAGGCTGGAACACAGAGGAAAAATATGTCTCTCATTACATTACAGGACTCTGAAAAGAGAATGAATCTTATTTTCACAAACTCTTTTTTTGTTTTTCTGAATAAACTTTCTCAATAAAACAGCTATACTACTTTGTAAAGCTGCATTTAAAATATCACATTTTGAAAAATCGCTCTTACCCCGGTACATCAGTACACGGTTCCTCTGTTTCACACTCTTCATGGCTGACCTGTGTGCATATGCCACGGTCTCTCAGCTGACAACACTAACTCAAGAGCTCAAATACCTTCTCTGAAATACTTCCTCTTAACACCTTTTTTTCACTGAAAGTCCACAGAAGAAGAACTGAGCCGCTAAAAAAAATTATGGTTATTGTTAAATATCTTCAAACTTTGTCACCATATTCTCACTCAAGTGTTTCTACACTTAACCCTGTCAATTATATCAAAATGGTATAAGTGAAGCTTGCAAATCAATCCCGTGTTCTATTTTAATTTTAATTCACATTAAAAACTCTGATCTTTATGAGCCAAATGAACCATTTGTCACACAGGACCCCTCTTTTTTGTGTGATGTGTTTCATTCCTATTTTTCTCATTTATCCCATTTATTATGTTATTTCAGGTCTTTGCAACAGAAAGTATGTTAACAGCCTGAGTTACTGAATCTCACGGTGGCTGTCTCAGTAAGTGTGGGCCTATAACAGGAAAAAGGGCAAAGTCAGGTGTGGCCTCAACTAACACATGAGGTATGAGAAGAATAGGGTGCCGCTGAATCTGCACAGAAATAGATTTCAGGTAACATTACGTAAGACAATCTAGCAGTTGGTCATACAATAGAAAGATACATGTGATAATGTGTTTGTTTGTTGGTAAGTGGGGTTTTTTATACACACACTGTGACCGTAGCTTCCTCTCAGCTGGAGTGGAGAGAGAGCAGAGATCAGTCAGTGAGGCAGGGTGAGAAGTAAGAGCAGGTGAGAGTGCCGACGTAGACAGAACACAGGAAGGGAGAGGTTTCTAAGCGGCTGACTTAGCGGCTGCAGCACTGCTCGCATCTGCCCAAAGAAATAGGGTCTTGAGAAGAAGTGTGAGCAGCACACTTATATGTGATGGCAGTAATATAGCCTCTAACAAAGCTGCAACTTCAGCATGATGTAGAATAGGCTTGCCATCAGTTTTGAGAAACTTTCTGTGTTTCCGAAGAGCAGCAAAATCATGCACAACACAGAGGGCAAGAGTCTGTGTAAATGGTCACTGTTTGACCTTCTGCCAATTTGCAGGCTTTAGTCGAGGCCACCAACTCTAGTACTTTGTACTTTGTTGAGATATGATTACTGTTTGTTTACCTTTATTTAAGAGTCACTTTTTGGTTTATTGCAACTGTATTACGTTTGATTTCGCTGTCTAATTTATTTATGTAAGAAATTACAGAGAAACACACGATGGCATGTGGTTTCATTAAATGGACACTTGGTGGCAGCACCGACCACTAGCGTCACTGTGACTTTAAGGTACGACGGGAGCTGAGCTCATTATCCGGATGAATTGAGAATGAAGAACAGCTGTACAGTTTTCTTGATTCCTGTGAAATATTTCTAATATTTCCAGGTCAGTTATTTGTCTTTTATGTGACCACAGATGATTATAAGCTAAAACGAATCCCCGGTGATGTGTTAAAGGTGAGCTAAAAGTGTGTTAAGAGTGTAAACTTCGAAGTTTGACGGTACGTGCGTATTGTAGCAGAGAAAATGGCGCCGACGCCGCAGCTCGTTGATTCCTTTTTCTTATGAGTCTTTCGGCTCCCGAGCATTTGTGAGTAATTTCTGAGTGTGTTAAAAGCGGGTGTGTGTATGAGCACTGTTTAAAACAGAGTAAGATAATGTAAATATGTAGTTAGAGATCAGCCACGGCTGCAGTCCTGTTGAAGTGGCGCGCACGTTAACAGGAGACAATGACACGGTTCTAGTTTAGCGGTTATTGCAGCAAGCGACGAGGTAGCCATGTTTAACAATTCAGTCTGTGTTTATAAAAAGTGTAAAGACGATACTGTTTAACTGCGACAGGGATTTATTCTGTTATTGATAGTGAACACTTATAAAATAAACAGCTTTTACAAAAATACACTTTTAACGAGAGAAAGATGAGGCGTGTGTGTAAAGGAAGAGCGCACACATGGGTAAAGACAGACAGAACAGGTGCCGTGAAGTTAAAGTGTTCATTTGATGTTAGATGGGTGTTATATATACACTGAGGACAGCTGTAGATCTTCTTCTCATCCTCTTTATTCCAGTAGGTTTGAATACAGCTCATGCAGAAGCTGTGTCCACAGGAAACAGTCACCGGATCCTTCAGCAGATCCAAACAGATGGAACAAGAGAAAGACTCACGGTCCAGATGAACTCCTCTCTGTGCCATTTCAACACTTGCTGTTGATGACTGACTGACTGACTGAGTTTAATTTCTTGAGAAGTGAAACTAGTCTGAGCTCTGATCTCAACAACATGTGTGAGTCAGCAGGTTCAGCTCAGCACATGAAGGTTACACCCAACCTCAACTGTAGATCTGAAGGGGAGGGAACAAGTAAGTGAGTGAGCAGAGTGAAGTGTGCTGTGTCAGAGGAGAGGGAGGGGAAATCCAATTCATCTACAATTCAGGAAGAGGAGCGGTGATGTGAAATTTAGACTTTGAGCTCAGACAAGCAGAGGTTATTAAAGCTGCAGCGGTCCTGAAGATCAACCACACCAACATTTATTCCCCTCATATAAACATCATCGATCACAGAAACACTTTTACTGTTTTATCCTTATATAAAATCCTTTATCCTTATCCTTATTTTATCCCTCTGGTTATTCATTTTCTATCTTTAGAGCAGGTTTACAACTCAAATAGAAACTGGGTGAGAGCCAGAGTGCAGGTGGACTTGAGCTTCTCCAAGGCTGTGTCTGATGTGGTTTTTCAGAGACATCATCTGCTCTGTACAGGAGGAGAAACTGGTTTTCAGTCTTTGTTTCAATATGTAAAAAAGTTAAACTGATACTCAGTGTTCATTATTTTTTTCCTCTTTCCTCTGTAAATATTTATAACTAACTGTAAATTAAGTTTGTCTTTAAAATCAAAATTTCTCTCTCTGTATTTCTAAGTTTGGTCTGACAGAAATGAGAGAAAGAGACACAACCTGCAGCCGGTCTTTTACCTCTCATTTAAAGAAAACCTGATCCAGCTGCAGGACTCACATCTGGGACCTGGAACACCTGTGAGTGAACACATGATGGAAATCCTGCAGACCACATGAATCCATGACCCTGACGGACCGGTAACATGACATCCAACAGAAACAGACCAAATAAAGAAAAACAGACGAGGTGATTTCAGTGACTCAGTTTGATGATTTTTATTTTATTTTTATTTTAATAAATGTGATTATTATTATTAGAGTGATTGAAAAGCTCATAACAACATGTAGATCTGTCCAAAGTCTGATTCTAGATGTCTTTACAAACACACTGATCCAACAGAAGCAGACAGAAATATCCATCGATGACATGAAAACAAATATTCAGCAAACAGAGAAAGAAACAGATCATCTGAAGAGTTTTTGGGGACGACTGGAAAGACTTTAGACGCTTGGATTTGGGACAGGAAATAAGGTCGTCCTTTTTCTGTGATTTTGACCTCACTTTTTTCTTAAGTCTCAGACCTTCAACATCTGCACCAACTGAAGGTGATTTGAACAAACGATCATCTTGATGTTTTCGTTATCAAACTTTAGTGAAGATTTTTCAAAATGAGAAATACAAACAATCAAAGTTCTCCACAATCACTGTCCTTAAAGCTGCGACCAAATCAGCATCTTTAGAAAAGAATCAAAAAGCTGAAATGAAGAACTGAACCCAGAGTTTTTGGTGAGACTGATCCACAAACATTTACAAATCAGAACATTTCAAGAGTTCAATGATCTCATTACATGTTTTAAGTCTGATTGACTCAAAATTCTATTTCAGTTCAATAAAATCAGCAGAGGCTTCGTGATACAAAAGACCCAGTCCAGCATGTAGTGGCTGAGTGAATGTGGTCTGGACTCTGTGGAGGAGAGTCATGGTTTCAGAGACGCTGTAGAAGGACAGAATACCTGCTCTGTGATCCAGGTACACTCCTACTCTGGAGGACAGAGGACCTGAGATAAAAATGCGGACTTTGTTGTGAATAAATTCATATCTGTCTTTATAACAGTCTAACCTCCAAGATTTGTCATAATATCCAAATACACAATCCTCTGAGTCCCCTGCTCTCCTGATAGTCTTATATGCCACTGCTACATCAACTCCGTTCCCTCTCCAGTCCACCTCCCAGTAACAACATCCAGTACGACTCTCTCTACTCAGGACCTGACGATACCCAGTGAATCTGTCTGGATGATCAGGATAAGACTGTTGTTGTTGTGTCGATGTTGCTCTTCTGTTTCCATCAGATAATAGCAGTTGTCTGTGTGCTGTGTTTGAATCCAGTGTGATTCTTCGTGAATATCTTAAGAAACCAGCTCTGGTCTTGGGCTCTGGTTCTGGCTCTGGTTCTGGCAGTAAAACATCCACTCCAGTCACTGCCTGTGAGACGTTTGTCCACGTCTCTGTCAGAAGATCCTGGAGTTTATCTCTGACCTCTGACACAGCTGCTGTCACCTCCTCAAAGTATCTCAGAGGACGGATGTTGATTCTGGATGAGTCTGCAGGTTGACCCGGTCCTGACAGTGAGGGGTAGCTGTGCAGAAACTGGTTGTGGTCCTCTGTGAGTGAGAGCTTCTGCAGATCAGCGTCTTTCCTCTTCAGCTCAGTGATCTCCTGCTCCAGCTTCTCCTGAAGTTCTCTGACCAGACTTGCTTCACGTTCCTGCTGGGATCTGACCTGCTGCTCCACGTCAAAGTGACTTTTCTTCATGAGACGGATCAGCTGGCTGAAGATCTCCTGGCTGTGCTCCACAGCTTTATCAGCAGAGCCGTTGATAGCCTCTACCTCCTGTTGGAGCAGCTTCACATCTTCCTCTCTGTCCTGGATTCTCTGCTGGATGTTTTCTCGACTCTCCTCCAGATCTTTCTGCCTCTCAGTCCTTTCTGCTGCAGCTGAGACTGTGTCGTGGCCTTTGTGTTGGTCCAAACAGCAGAGAGAACAGATAGACTGTCGATCAGTGCGGCAGAAGATCTTCATCACCTCATCATGACGAGAGCAGATGTTCTCCTGGAGGTTCTTGGAGGGCTCCACCAGCTTGTGTTTAGCATAGGCAGTAGATTCATAATGAGGCTGGAGGTGTTTTTTGCAAAATGAGATGAAACAGAACAAACAGGATTTGACAGCTTTCAGTTTTCTCCCACTGCAGACGTCACAGGCCACATCTTCAGGTCCAGCATCAGAGGTATCATCAGGAGCAGCTTGGAATCCGCTCTTCTTCAGTTCCTCCACTAAACCTGCTAACATGGTGTTTTTCATCAGGACAGGCCTCGGTGTGAAGGTCTGTCTGCACTCAGGACAGCTGTAGATCTTCTTCTCATCCTCTTTATCCCAGTAGGTTTGAATACAGCTCATGCAGAAGCTGTGTCCACAGTTAACAGTCACCGGATCCTTCAGTAGATCCAAACAGATGGAACAAGAGAAAGACTCACGGTCCAGATGAACTCCTTTCTGCGCCATTTCAACACTCACTGTCGACGACTGACTGAGTTTAATTTCTTGAGAAGTACAACTAGTCTGAGCTCTGATCTCAACAACATGTGTGAGTCAGCAGGATCAGCTCAGCACATGAAGGTTGTAGATTTGAAGGGAAGGGAACAAGGAAGTGAGTGAGCAGAGTGGAGTGAGCTGTGAGAGAGGAGGGAGGGGAAATCCAATTTATCTACAATTCAGAAAGAGGAGTGGCGATGTGAACTTTAGACTTTGAGCTCTGACACGCAGAGGTTATTAAAGCTGCAGCCATCCAGAAGATCAACTGCACCAACATTTATTCCCCTCATATAAACATCATGAATCACAGAAACACTTCCACTGTTTTATCCTTATATCCACACATACTTAAACATACATCACATTTAACAAACTCTCTCTTTCTCTCTGGCTTGTTGACCTCTGAGGGAGCATTAATCTTCTAACTTGTTTTCTTTCTTTATGTGTTGTTTGCTTTTGTTTATTCTCTATTTACTCTTCTCATAATACTTTCTCTAATCTGTGTCTCCTCTTTCTCTGCCATCCAGAAAGGTGATCTTCTCCAGTGTACCCAGCTGAGCCATGTGGTCTCTCACAGATATCAGGTCTAGATGATCCTAAACAAGAAGAGGAATGAGGAGCTCAATCTGGTGTAATCTGAGGGGTGACGACTTTTCACCTGGTTTTGTTATTTGAGTGCATTTTGTGTATTTTCTCTATAGTTCCTGTGATCCAGTCTTGTGAGTTTTCAGTTTTTCTTTGACCCTGTTCCCTCCTGTTCTCTGTGTTTTATTCTTTAGATCAGTTTTCAGTGTTTATTTCCTGTTTTATTTTGTAGTTGTTGATTCCTTGTGTGCGTGTGTGTATAATATAATAATCTCTCTCTCTCTCTCTCTCTCTCTCTCTCTCTCTCTCTCTGGTTATTCATTTTCTATCTTTAGAGCAGGTTTACAACTCAAATAGAAACTGGGTGAGAGCCAGAGTGCAGGTGGACTTGAGCTTCTCCAAGGCTGTGTCTGATGTGGTTTTTCAGAGACATCATCTGCTCTGTACAGGAGGAGAAACTGGTTTTCAGTCTTTGTTTCAATATGTAAAAAAGTTAAACTGATACTCAGTGTTCATTATTTTTTTCTCTTTCCTCTGTAAATATTTATAACTAACTGTAAATTAAGTTTGTCTTTAAAATCAAAATTTCTCTCTCTGTATTTCTAAGTTTGGTCTGACAGAAATGAGAGAAAGAGACGCACAACCTGCAGCCGGTCTTTTACCTCTCATTTAAAAAAAACCTGATCCATCTGCAGGACTCACATCTGGGACCTGGAACACCTGTGAGTGAATACATGATGGAAGTCCTGCAGACCACATGAATCCATGACCCTGACGGACCGGTAACATGACATCCAGCAGAAACAGACCAAATAAAGAAAAACAGACGAGGTGATTTCAGTGACTCAGTTTGATGATTTTTATTTTTTTCTCCCACAATCAGAGACTTGACCACAATCTGAGCTGAGGCAGAAACATAAAAACAGTCGGACTAATGAATGTGATTATTATTAGAGTGATTGAAAAGCTCATAACAACATGTTGATCTGACAAAAGTCTGATTCTAGATGCCTTTACAAACACACTGATCCAACAGAAGCAGACAGAAATATCCATCGATGACATGAACACAAATATTCAGCAAACAGAGAAAGAAACAGATCATCTGAAGAGTTTTTGGGGACGACTGGAAAGACTTTAGACGCTTGGATTTGGAAATAAGGTCGTCCTTTTTCATCTTTCTGTTATTTTGACGTCACTTTTTTCTAAAGTCTCAGACTTAAAAATCTGCACCAACTGAAGGTGATTTGAACATATGATCATCTTGATGTTGTTGCTAATCAAACTCTATGAGGATTTTTCAAAATAAGATATGTAAACAATCAAAGTTCTCCACAATCACTGTCCTTAAAGCTGCGACCAAATCAGCATCTTTAGAAAAGAATCAAAAAGCTGAAAGACTGGGACTTGAGGAGACTTCTGGTCCATGTCTTTGGTTTACTGCTGTTGGGGTGATACAGCAATTGTGCTCCTCTTACTGTACAACCAGTGTCCTTGTTGTTGGGTGGTGGATTCACTGGATTCGGTAGAGCGGTAGGATAACACCTCTTTGCCATGGACCCTAGACACAGAGGGAGAGAGACAAGAGACAAGTGGTGTGGGTTTATCAGTTTCTTTCCCCTCATCATTTTCTTTTCATTATGATCTTTCTTTGACATTTGTTTTATCATTTGTTTTCTTTCTCGACTTTCTGCTTCAATCGTCCATGTCCTCAAACATTAGAAATTCTCTTCTCTTTTCTCTAGATCTTTCTTTCCTTTGACCTAACTTCCTTTTCCTTCTGTCTCAGATAAACTCTGAGCTTTGTCGGCTGGTTCACACTCAAACTTCCTTGCTCAGGAAAACCATATACTTTCACCCAAAACTCTACACAAGACAAACATTTATCCCCCAATCAGTGTCATGGTTTCCTGGGTTCTTCTCCCTCCCACTTGACCCCATTTTTCTTTTACCATCTGGGCCTCTTAACTCTTAAGATATCTCCAGCACAGGTGTGTCATTTCAACCTAAAGGTCCTTACACACCGGCGAATTTGCGGTGCGAAGCGAAAAAGCAAGACGAAAATTGCGAATATTCGCTGGTCCGAAAAATCGCTTTCGCCTATACACACCGGCCGCAAAGCGAATATGCGTATATTTTTTGCAAAGTGAATTAATAAAGTCGCTTTGCGGCACGGAGGAGAGGAGATGCGGGGTGGTCCTGTACCGCAATTACCAGCCTCTCTCCCATCGTTGCTCTTGGTGCCAGTGGTGGTGCGTGTCGTGTGAATGGCTGCTGATTGACATGTCCAGCATTATGAGCGAGGGAGAAAGAGGAGGAAAAGCTGTGAGTGACGCCGCAGCAGCCAGGAGAGGCGAGTGCTGAACAGTGATCCTTCAAGTTGTCTGGTCATTCTGTTGGCCCTGTAGCTGCAGATCATCGGTATGTCAAACAGCTAAGAGGGAGAATCAGGCATGATGAGGCGGTCACCCTGTGAAGTGTGCATGACATCTGTCTCCTAAGGAAGACAAGAGTGTCATCTTGTGAGGAAACTACTTCAATAGTAATTAGAAAGAGTTTTGGATGCACCTCAGCTGTCTTTCTCTGCGTTTTCATAATCTCAAACTTCTCCCTCTCCTCCAGCCATATGGGTCTGTGACGTCATCAACAACATGATTTTTGATTGGCCAGAGGTCTAGCAGGTCCAGATATTCGCCTGCGAATATCCGAAAAATTCGACACAAGAGCAAAAAAATAAAAGCGGCTTTTCGCCCCGCGGAAAAATCGCCGCCGGTGTGGAAGCTTGCATTGACTTTAAGCTGTTTTAAAAAAAGGCGAATCATTTGCCTGGCGAATTCGCGCTTGGTGTGTAAGGACCTTAACACTGGTACCCTGTGAGACTCTAACCCACTGTCTGGGACTCTAACCCCTTATTTTTCTGTGTGGGCAACAATAGTGACCAGGATTTACCAATCATATCCTTTTACACAAAGTTAATTGACTTGTGAAATCTTCAGATCCAAATGAGTTAAATTTTTGTCTTTTGGATACATTTACCTTTTGATTTGGAGGATTAGAGATTGTTAGATTCCGGGATGAGGGTCTCATTCCACTTGCAGTCAGTCCTCCAGTCCTTAACTGTAGGGGAACAGGCAGAATGTTTGATGGTGTCCTGGACGATCACTCCCCGTCTGCAGGAAATCTGTCTTCTGACTCCAAGTTTGTTTCTGAAATATTTGTACATTTTATTTCAGGTCTTTGCAAAGAGAGGAGAAACTGCAACAGAGAGTGTGTTAACAGTCAGAGTTACTGAATCTCACTGAGTCAGTCTCAGTGAGTGTGGGCTGATAACAGAAAAAGGGGCAAAGTCACACATGAGGTGTAAGAAGAATAAGCTCTTGAATCGGCACAGCAACAGATTTCAGACAACACCACGCAAAGACATTCTAGTGGTTGGTCATACAACTTAAAAACAGGAAGATACATGTGGTAAAAAAAAACGAAGAATCTGTTGAGTGTGTGGTTAGTAATTCTTTGTCAAAGTGGATGTCAGGGCTGCAGTTTAATTCCTCGATGGAAATGTGGTAAACAGAAAATTAATTTTTGTCTAACCTTAACTTTCTAACTGAAAATACAGAGTGGAGACCGGGGAGCAGAGCTGCAGTCCTACATGCTCCTCTGTGCTTCATTTAGTGCAGCTTTCCAGCCACTCCCACTTATTATAGAGAGTGTTTCTGCCCCCCGTCTTCGACCCTTATTTTAACTGGCTGAATATTGAAGGATTACACAACAATAGGATTAGGATTATGCAATCAATCTGGCACATGGTAAACACTTAGAGTATGAACAAAGTATTATTACTAGGGATGCACTAAAATGAAAATTTAAAACTGAAAACCAAAGTGTGGAAACCATTGCTGAAAACTGAAACACCAAAAAGGAATTATTATGTTTATTATTAGTAGGCTACCATTGCATTAATGATACTCGCAAAATAAGTACTTAGTTGAGATATGATTACTGTTTGTTTACCTTTCTTTAAGAGTCACTTTTTGGTTTATTGCAACTGTATTACGCTTGATTTTGCTGTCTAATTTATTTATGTAAGAAATTACAGAGAAACACACGATGGCGTGTAGTTTCATTAAATGGACACTTGGTGGCAGCACCGACCACTAGCGTCACTGTGACTTTAATGTACGACGGGAGCTGTGAGAGTGCCGACGTAGACAGAACACAGGAAGGGAGAGGTTTGTAAGCGGCTGACTTAGCGGCTGCAGCACCGCTCGCATCTGCCCAAAGAAATAGGGTCTTGAGAAGAAGTGTGAGCAGCACACTTATATGTGATGGCAGTAATATAGCCTCTGACAAAGCTGCAACTTCAGCATGATGTAGAATAGAGTTACCATCAGTTTTGAGAAACTTTCTGCGTTTCCAAAGAACTGCAAAATCATGCACAACACAGAGGGCAAGAGTCTGTGTAAATGGTCACTGTTTAACCTTCTGCCAATTTGCAGGCTTTAGTCGAGGCCACCAATTCTAGTACTTTGTACTTTGTTGAGATATGATTACTGTTTGTTTACCTTTATTTAAGAGTCACTTTTTGGTTTATTGCAACTGTATTACGTTTGATTTTGCTGTCTAATTTATTTATGTAAGAAATTACAGAGAAACACACGATGGCATATGGTTTCATTAAATGGACACTTGGGGGCAGCACCGACCACTAGCGTCACTGTGACTTTAAGGTACGACGGGAGCTGAGCTCATTATCCGGTTGAATGGAGAATGAAGAACAGCTGTACAGTTTTCTTGATTCCTGTGAAATATTTCTAATATTTCCAGGTCAGTTATTTGTCTTTTATGTGACCACAGATGATTATAAGCTAAAATGAATCCCCGGTGATGTGTTAAAGGTGAGCTAAAAGTGTGTTAAGAGTGTAAACTTCGAAGTTTGACGGTACGTGCGTATTGTAGGAGAGAAAATGGCGCCGACGCCGCAGCTCGTTGATTCCTTTTTCTTATGATTCTTTCGGCTCCCGAGCATTTGTGAGTAATTTCTGTGTGTGTTAAAAGTAGTTGTGTGTATGAGCACTGTTTAAAACAGGGCAGGATAATGTAAATATGTAGTTAGAGATCAGCTACGGCTGCAGTCCTGTTGAAGTGGCGCGCACGTTAACAGGAGACAATGACACGGTTCTAGTTCAGCGGTTATTGCAGCAAGCGACGAGGTAGCCATGTTCAACAATTCAGTCTGTGTTTATAAAAAGTGTAAAGACGATACTGTTTAACTGTGACAGGGATTTATTCTGTTATTGATAGTGAACACGTATGAAATAAACAGCTATTACAAAAATACACTTTTAATGAGAGAAAAGATGAGGTGTGTGTGTAATGGACGAGTGCACACATGGGTAAAGACAGACAGAACAGGTGAAGTGAAGTTAAAGTGTTCATTTGAAGTTAAATGGGAATGTTGAATTGTTTATTTTTGGACAACATGTAAAGACAAAAAAGATACTAATGTGAAAACAGACTTTTGAATTTATCCAGATGTGGATATAACCTGTGCTTTAATTTAAAGCAGACAAAAGTGTCAGAGAATAAGTCATGTTTGCAGTTTAGTTGTTAGGATGTGGATGTAAATAATTAATTATCCTGTTGAATGTCCTGTTTTCTTGATTCCTGTGCAATATTTTTAATATTTCCAGGGTACTCCAACCATTGGATGAGCGATATATCTGTCAGTGGGGACCTAGCTGGGATCTGCTACACATTAATGGCTATGACTGTGTACTAACCTCTAAAATCAAGGCATTGCAATGTATAAATCAATGTTTTTTAATATTAAATGTAAAATTAATATTAATTTATGCAATTGCACTAGGCGTTTTGAGTTTTTGAGTCAGTGTGTTGCTGCTGTATGTTCTTTATGGGTAACACTTTTAGATGGTGCCCACAAGTCAGGGGCAAAAACAGTTTTAAGAGAAGAAGTTCAGTGAGCGGTAGAGACGCAGCTAGATGAAGAAGTGTTCGTGTTTTTGTTTGTTTTTTCTGTTTAAGCAGCCGAGAGCGGGTGCTGAGCACGAGTTTGATTTCTGTTAAAGTGAGAAGAAGTTAAACTTCCTCCAGCATCTGCTTGTGTATTCGGCTACAACATTCTCGGGGGGATTCTCCTGCTCTGTGTTGGTGTCGTGTTCTTCTCATATTCAAAATGGCGATCGGGATGTTTGGATTTCAGGTGATAAATTAAACCCAGCATTAATAAACTCTTTGCAGATGCACCCCATTGAGATTTTAGCATTACACACTATGCTAATCACTATCCTTGGTTCTCAGATATACTGAAATACATCCACATGACAGACATGTAGCTCCCTTATCCAGACTAGTGCGTGTTGGTCGCGGTTTTTGCTTGCGTCATTTCAACATCTGTTTCAGCCGTGTTGTTTCGGTAAGAAAAGGGTTTCGGCCAACAACCGAAAATGCACTTTTGGGCAGTTTTCGGCCAAGAATTTTCGGTGCATCCTGAGTTATTACTGCCCATCAATGTGGATCAGCTAACCTGAAGGCCTGAGGATGGCACAGAGTCTCCATTTTTAAAAATAAATAAATAAAGACTCACATTTTTAGTCTGGCTTTGAACTGAATTTGATTTATTTTACAGACCAAATAATACTCGTCCTCTGATTTTATTTATTTAATTTTTTAATTTATTTTTCACCATATCACATATATTCTGATATTTATTTGTTCTGTAATTATAAACAGTTTTAATGTTCTTCTCTTTTTACTCTCCTAACATTTTATTATACCTCCAGTTTTAACTCAGTTTGTTCAGTTTTTATGTATTTTTATGTTGAATTTATTATTCCTTTACTTTTTATGTACAGCACTTTGTTTCATGATCACACCCTCTCTCTCTCTCTCTCTCTCTCTCTCTCTCTCTCTCTCTCTCTCTCTTGCTCTGCAGGACTCACATCTGGGACCTGTAACACCTGTGACTGAACACATCATGGAAGTCCTGCAGACCACGTGAATCTGTGACCCAGACACACCGGTAACATGACATCCAGCAAAAACAGACCGAATAAAGAAAAACAGGCGAGGTCTTTTCAGTGACTCAGTTTGATGATTTTTTTATTTTTCCACCACAATCAGAGACTTGACCACAATCTGGGCTGAGTCAGAAACGTAAAAACAGTCGGACTAATAAATGTGATTATTATAAGAGTGTTTGAAAAGCTCATAACAACATGTTGATCTGACAAAAGTCTGATTCTAGATGTCTTTACAAACACTCTGATCCAACAGAAGCAGACAGAAATATCCATCGATGACATGAAAACAAATATTCAGCAAACAGAGAAAGAAACAGATCATCTGAAGAGTTTTGGGGGGAGACTGGAAAGACTTTAGACGCTTGGATTTGGGACAGAAAAATAAGGTTGTCCTTTTTTTTTTAATAATAATAATAATAATAATAATAATTTTATTTATATAGCACCTTTAAAAACAGAAGTTTACAAAGTGCTTAGACAACAGTTGTAAGCACAGAGCGTCAGCACATTGAAAATAAAAACACATAAAAACAAAAGCTCAGTTAAAAACAGGCCTCTGAATTGTAGGCCTGTTTCACTTTTCGTAAGAAACCCAGGCAATACAAGAACCCTACAAAATAAATGGGACTATGAGGACCAAAATAAAAGCAAAAAAAAGAAATAGAAAAGGAGGGAAGAAAACAGGCTAGTAAGTATGAAAGAGGATATTAATAATAATAATAAAATCATAATAAAATAAAATGATGGTAATATAAATGATAAAGTGGAATTAAATATATATATATATATAATAAAGGAAAATGAAAACATTAAAATCAATAAAAAGATTATAAGTAAAACAAAGGCTAAAAAGGCAGTAAGTCTAAATAAGAAAGAGGTGAAAGAGGTAAAAGAAAAAGGAGAAAAATAAAAACGGTAAAAGGCAATAAAAGATGAAAGATGGCATCACATAAAGGCAAGTCTGTAAAAGTGAGTTTTTAAAATTGACTTAAAAGAAGCGACTGTCTCTGCACGCCTTATCTCCTCTGGCAGGTCGTTCCAAAGTCGAGGAGCTCTGATGGAGAAAGCTCTATCACCTTTAGTCTTGAGCCTCGACTTTGGAACGACCAGGAGGCCTTCGCCAGAGGATCTGAGGCTGCGAGTTGGCTCATAAGATATTAAAAGCTCTGAAATGTAGCTCGGAGTAAGTCCTTTGAGCGCTTTAAAAGTAATCAATAAAATCTTAAAATCAATTCTAAAGCTGACAGGGAGCCAGTGAAGGGAGGCTAAAATTGGGGTGATGTGATGCCGTCGACTAAAACCAGTTAAAAGTCTAGCTGCTGCATTCTGAACTAGTTGGAGGCGAGAGAGTGATTTCTTGTTTAAACCAAACACCTTGTTTAATCTTTCTGTTATTTTGACGTCACTTTTTTCTAAAGTCTCAGACCTTCAAAATCTGCACCAATTGAAGGTGATTTGAACAAATGATCATCTTGATGTTTTTGTTATCAAACTTTAGTGAAGATTTAAAAAATGAGAAATGCAAACGATGAAGAACAATCACTGTCCTTAAAGCTGCAACCAAATCAGCGTCTTTAGAAAATAATGAAAAAGCTGAAATGAAGAACTGAACCAAGAGTTTTTGGTGAGACTGATCCACAAACATTTACAAACCAGAACATTTCAAGAGTTCAAGGATTTCAGTCCATGTTTTTGTTCTGATTGACTCAAAATTCTGTTTATTTCAGTTCAATAAACTCAGCAGAGTCTCCATTAGACCAGGGTAACCACAGTCCAGCATGAAGCGGCTGAGTGAATGTGGTCTGGACTTTGTGGAGGAGAGTCATGGTTTCAGAGACGCTGCAGAAGGACAGAATACCTGCTCTGTGATCCAGGTACACTCCTACTCTGAAAGACTGAGGACCTGAGATAGAAGTGTCGACTTTGTTGTGCTTAAATTTATAACCGTTTGTAAAACAGTCTAACCTCCAAGATTTGTCATTGTATCCAAATCTACAATCCTCTGAGTTCCCTGCTCTGCTGATAGTCTTGTATGTGACGGCTACTAAAACCCCGCCCCCTCTCCAGTCCACCTCCCAGTAACAACGTCCAGTCAGACTCTCTCTACTCAGGACCTGAGGATAATAACAAGTGAATCTGTCTGGATGATCAGGATAAGACTGTTGTTGTGTCAATGTTGCTCTTCTGTTTCCATCAGATAATAACAGTCGTCTGTGTGCTGTGTTTGGATCCAGTGTGATTCTTTGTGAATATCTTAAGAAATCAGCTCTGGTCTTGGGTTCTGGTTCTGGTGGTCCTGACAGTAAAACGTCCACTTCAGTCACTGCCTGTGAGACGTTTGTCCACGTCTCTGTCAGAAGATCCTGGAGTTTCTCTCTGACCTCTGACACAGCTGCTGTCACCTCCTCAAAGTATCTCTGAGGACGGATGTTGATTCTGGATGAATCTGCAGGTTGACCCGGTCCTGACAGTGAGGGGTAGCTGTGCAGAAACTGGTTGTGGTCCTCTGTGAGTGAGAGCTTCTGCAAATCAGCGTCTTTCCTCTTCAGCTCAGTGATCTCCTGCTCCAGCTTCTCCTGAAGCTCTTTGACTCGACTCACTTCACGTCCCTGCTGGGATCTGACCTGCTGCTCCATGTCAGAGTGACGTTTCTCCATGAGATGGATCAGCTGGCTGAAGATCTCCTGGCTGTGTTCCACTGCTTTGTCAGCAGAGCCGTTGATAGCCTCCACCTCCTGTTGGAGCAGCTTCACATCTTCTTCTCTGTCCTGGATTCTCTGCTGGATGTTTTCTCGACTCTCCTCCAGATCTTTCTGCCTCTCAGTCCTTTCTGCTGCGGCTGAGACTGTGTCGTGGCCTTTGTGTTGGTCCAAAGAGCAGAGATAACAGATAGACTGTTGATCAGTGCGGCAGAAGATCTTCATCACCTCATTATGACGAGAGCAGATGTTCTCCTGGAGCTTCTTGGAGGGCTCCTCCAGCTTGTGTTTCTTAAATGTAGGAGATTCAAAATGAGGCTGGAGGTGAATCTGGCAGTAAGAAGCCAGACATTGCAGACAGGACTTGAGAGCTTTCCGTTTTCTCCCACTGCAGATGTCACAGGCCACATCTTCAGGTCCAGCGTCAGAGGGATCATCAGGAGCAGCTTGGAGTCCACTCTTCTTCAGTTCCTCCACTAAACCTGCTAACATGGTGTTTTTCTTCAGGACAGGCCTTGGTGTGAAAGTCTGTCTGCACTGAGGACAGCTGTAGATCATCTTCGCTTCCTCAGTATCCCAGTGGGTTTGAATACAGCTCATGCAGAAGCTGTGTCCACAGGTAACAGTCACTGGATCCTTCAGTAGATCCAAACAGATGGAACAAGAGAAAGATTCATGGTCCAGCTGAACTCTTTTCTGCGCCATTTCAACACTCGCTATTGACGACTGATCACAACAACATGTGTGAGTCAACAGGATCAGCTCAGCACACTGGGGTTACACCCAACCTTAAACTGTAGATCTGAAGGGGAGAGAACAAGGAAGCGATTGTGCAGAGTGGACAGTGCTGTGTGAGAGAGGAGGGAGGGGAATTCTAGCTCTTGTATAACCTAGTTAGAGGAGCGGCGATGTGAATTTTGGGCCCAAAACCCAAACTGCACCCTACACACTCCCCCTCCCCCGTTTGTGCGTCCCCACAGAGGCTCCGCCATATTTAAGGCCGTCCCAAACCACAGAGTGAGGAGGGCGAGTGGACTGTTCACCCCTCAAATAGCGATGCACATTTACGGCGGAATATGCATGTAGTGCACCGGCATAGTTGCATAATTATTTACTCACTCATTCAACCACCAGGAGGTGCTGTGGCATTAAGTAGTTTAAAAATCTGCTCCTTCATTCGATACAAGTAAGTTTGTCCTGAAGAACTAAAAAAGCAGACACTGAGTCGAAAATAAGAATTGTTCAACATCATAGATATAGATATGTAGAATATGTGGATATGTAGAGTTAAACTTTGGATACAGAGGAGGTTGAGACACCAGAGGTATCTTCAAACTTTGTCACCATGTTCTCATTCAAGTATCTCTACACTTAACCCTGTCAATTATATCAAAATGCTTTAAGTGAAGCTTGCAAAACAACCATATGTTCTATCTTCATTTTAATTCACATTAAAAACTATTATCTTTATTAGCCAAATGAACCATTTGTCACGCAGGATCCCTCCTCTTTTTGTGATGTATTTTATTTATATTGTTCTCATTTGGTTCCTCATGTGTAGCTTCCTTTGTTTGTTGTTTTGCCCCTGTATTAATTTGTCCTAGACCCTTTCTGTCTAGGACAAATTACCCTACCCTCACCTGTATCTGATAGTCCCACCTGTCCTTTTTTACCTCAGGGGCCATGCAGACCTGCTGAGTGCAATTATCACAGCTAACTGTAGCACAAATATTCACCAGAAAACAGGGAATTATGTGTCAAATGTCTGCATGAAAATCAAGTTGTAATGTCATATTGTAGTAATATGACAATAATATGAATAATAAATGGTGATAAAGTTGTTATTAAGGAGTGTTTTGAGAATAAAGTTGTCAGTGTTGTTAGTGTGTCTGCTGCTCATGAAAGGAAATCATGCCCCTCATTTTGAGTATCCAATGAGACTCAGAGATGACATCATTGTGAATGTGGTCACTGATCCGCCCCTGCTGGCCTCCTCAGTCTCAGAAAGGCGTGAAAGCAAACAGAGACTCATTGTGTGCGGCTCATACTGCAGGGTTGTCGGCACAGTCACCTCATTCCTCATAATATCCTCCCGCACATGCATGTATGCAACCCCTCAGTTCTTCTTCTATTTCACTTATCTGGTATTCTTCTTGTCCCTAACTGACAGAAGTTATAGCTGTGTAAAGACAGAAAAGTGAGCACATGAGTCCACCCTCTTTCCCAACCTGTTACACTTTTCTCAGGCAGTCATGTTTCCTGATGCAAAACATTCAGCTGGGATTTATTTCCGCACAGACAATATTTAGTCTGACAAATACTGATAAATATTTACTCAGAAATCACAATTGGCTGCTGGAGAGAACTGTCCAATCAAAATTGAACCTTCTTCTTCGTGATCAATTTTTCAGGGTTCTCCCACAAACAAACGGCTGCTGGAGGAGAGTGGGTGAGTTGTGTTTGGTATCTTTGCTAAAGAAACCAGGCAAAGCTAAAAATATGTTCTGTGGCTAGTACTATGGCTGGGACCCTGTATGTACTGTTGATGAAGTTAGTTGCTGTTCTGAGCATTGTGGATAGAATGGCTCTCTGGTTGAGGTGTGCACGTGGCGACGCAGTCGTTGCTAAAGTTGGTATAACTAAATAAGCGAGCAGTTTGCAACATTCATCTCTCGAGGGGGTGTCTAACTCTGTGTTTTGGTGTGTTTGACCCTAACTTAAAATTACGTCTCCTCAGATCCCAACCATTTAGAGGGTTGCTGTAGGACGAGATGATGTGAAACACAACTTTTTTGCAGTTGGGTTTCATTCAACATCTTATCAAAAGTCTTAAAGCTGCAAGCAATCTTTATCACTAGTGTCATCTTTGGGTGTACTCCATATTTGACCAGTTAAGAGAATCATTACTGGTCGCAGCCATTGTAACATACCTTAGACTAATGGGGCGCTCACACCAAGCGCAAGTATAATCCTCTACTCGCTTAATTTGCGCAAATCTAGACGCTTGAATGAATAATAGTTACTCGCTTCATTGGCACGTCAGTGGTAATTTCATCGGTAATCCCTGCCAATTCAATCAGATGGATCAAGTGATAGACAAAGCTTTTTTACAATTTACCAGGTAATCTGACCTCCTCACTCACTTGCCTCCAGACAAGCTCCTTTTTATTCCGGTTTAGGTCATTGAAATAAAAGTTATCATATAATCTGGGGTGTCCACACACCAACTCAATCAGTTTGTCCTCCATTTTAGATACTAGTGAACAACAGTCCATTTTCATGTGTCACCCGGCAATCTTCATGCTGATTAGTTATCGCGATGCTCCAGTTGAGACTCGCCCGATTTGCGTCTTTCACGCCGCCATAGTCGTAGGAATGTCTAATCACGTCTTTGCATTGACTTAACATGTAATTCATTTGCATGAATGATTTTACTCATGCTTGGTGTATGGAGGAGGAAGCCTTTTGAGACTTTTATGGTTGGCTTTGCTTCTGTTGGCACATTAATATATTAGCATACATTAAAAACTCACCCACTCACACACATTCTCACAGCCTGTCCTTAGCTGACCAGTAATAAGTAATGACTGTGTGTATATGTGTGTGTCCCACGGGCAGCGGAGGAGGTTGGGATGGGGGTTCAGTTAAGGTTGTTAGATCCTGTCCACTGTGCCAAAATAAACACACCCATCACCAGGAGGTTAGCAGTCAGAAAGAAGGGTAGTTTGACCGACAAGAGCAAACAGCCTCACGCCTCCCCGAGGGTCTGTGCCGTATATTTCCTCTGTTTGGTGAAACTTTATCATCCGGTCTTAGATGGAAATCTCTGCAAATGTTCACCTATGATTGAAATAAAGGGGAATATGTCACGATGATGACTAGTGTTACATGAAATACACCCACCTGTGTTTTTACCTTTGTCAAAGTAGATGACTGTTTAGACTGGTTAACCTCTACAGGTCATTAGGAGGCATTGAAATGAGTATTAAGTCTGTTGCATAGCCAGAAATTTCATCAGGGTGTTTATTTTGTTGATTTTGAGTATTTACCATCATACTAAATACATTTAAGACTTTCCGTGTCACAAGATCTTGCAGTTACCACCCTGACCTCCATACCACAAGAAAGCCCCTCTAGGGTCAGAGGTGAGTTCATTAAACTCCACGACCCGATGCATACGATAAGTGCAAAAACTAACAAACATGCAGAGATGTGAATCAAAAACAGGCTCACACAAGCTCTGCTGAAACAAAGCGTGCTAAACTTCACCTGAATGCTTGCACCATGGTTGTGCCGGGACTGGGGGGCGCTGCTTCTTTTGCCTGTAACGCTGCAGCAGAAGCTGGTGTGGACAGTGCTGGGACATGTTCAAGAAAAACAACAACACAAAGACGTGGAATTTGTTGCTCCCACATCCAGCTGCAGTAGACGATTCCAGTTTTGATTTGTGTTTCAAGATTGAAAGAGTGCCTGGATCTGGATCAGATAGTACAGACAGAATGGAGAACACAGATAAAGCTGGAATGTGATATGGATTATTTACAATTTCTTCATGATGTTGTCTTTATCTGACAAGCACCTGCAGAGGGATGCATGCAACATACACAAATGTTAACGCAGCAGAAGAAGAAGCCGGAAAAATGAATGTAAAAGAGACGATAACAGACGTAAACAAACCCTGTGCACGTCCATGCATGACCTGGACATGAACGGGCATTTCATGAGGGTTGAGAATGGATGTTTAGTTGGTAGACTGCGCTGCATCAACCAAGAGGACACTGAAATGAACTTGTAATAGCTGGAGATCTAATACTGGTAAAAAGTAGACCCTGCAGGTTTGACTTAGGGCTGATTTTGCAGCGCCATGGTGGATGGACACTTTTTACGCTTAATGGCGTGAAGGTGATTCCTCTTTCCTGAAGGTTCAGCTGATGTGCTGAAATAAGAGGACGTTTCTCATCTTTTGTGTGAGTCTCAGCAGAAACACACCTTAAGGTGGGGTAGGTAGGAGTCCATTATAGAAGCATCTTTTTTTGTGTATATAGAAAAAAAGCTTTTAATATCAGTCACTAGCCATTACTTATGGATGACATTTGGAAATATCACAATATCGCTGTGTTCTCTTATGTCTGTGTAGTCAACATTTTAACATTTTGAGTGGCCCGCTCATTCTGACTGTAAACTAAGTCGTTCTCCACCTCCCCCAACCTGACTGGTTGTGAGGCAGACACTGCTCCCTCGTGTTGTGATGCATACTCCATGTCATCAAATAATGTTCATGAGCCCAAACAAATTTAGTGCGCTACAATATTGGACAGTAGAAACCAACCAGAAAGTTCGGAAAATTGTCTGAATCCTCCTTTGGCCACGACTGCCGACACAAGCAATAATATGAAGTAAATACTGGAGAATCTGGCAGAATAATGGGCGCTTCAAAAGGAGGTAGACCGGACAAGAGCTTAAAAGCCAGGTCAATATAAAACAATGGGGCATGCTTCGGGATCTTACGAACCCTGTAACCTTTCTGCTGGACAGGTAAACCGCTTTAACAAAGTAAGACAAGTGTCTGTAACAGAAGTGTTTCTTGTCAAACGGACCTGCTGTAGCATGTTGTAGCGCCATCACTAAACTGTCCTCCCTCGGGTCCTGGACTATGTCACTTTATCCTAGTTGTAGAAGTCCTGCAAACATTGTGTTTGCTGGTAGTCTGTTGGCATCTACAGTAGCACCAATGCTTTTGACTTTCACCTTGACTGGGCCCCATTATCTGAAGTATTTATCTGCATTATATCTGAATTTAATTGGAACGATACGAGCGAGCAGGAGTGTCTGTTTGTGGGCGGGGCTTGTTGGAGCAGAGAGGGAGGGGAGAGGAGGAGCTGAGGGGAAAACTGGTTGGGAGGGGTAGAGTTTACGTTCAAGATTTCTCCTAAAAACTGGCACCTCCTCAGATCCTGACTACACTACCTTGAAAGAAAAGAGAAGGCTATAAAAACAGACTTTTTTTTACCTGCTGGGATCTTGTATGAGATTTAAAAACACAAGATTTGAAGAAAAGTCAAAAATGAATGAAGATAAATTCCTCAGGAATGCTAATGGAGACCAAGGGCTCATGGACCTTCTCTCATTATAAAAACCTTTAAAAGATTGTTTTAAAATCAGAGATTCAAGATATATTTATGGAAACACTTAACCTTTTTGGACTTGTAAGGCTGGTACAGGTGTCACGGATGCTGTGGACACCCTGCTTCATATAGTCGTGAGCCAAAGTGTAGGATGAACAGTATTTCACTTCCCAATGTTTGCGACTTGAGAGGAAGAGATTTGCATTTGACTGTGAATTAAGCTTTCTGCTGCACAGAGCTGTGATGTGCACTCTCATCCTGACAGCACTAACTTAAATCTACAACAAGCTAAACGGAATGGGTCAGAGTCAGCTCATGACAGATGTGACTGCCACCTTACTTCCTTCAAGTGTTGAGTTAAAAAAGCCCCACACTGATTTAACTCTTGATTTGTCTTAAATATCGTCATATGAAAGTAATATTGTGAGTTTTTTTGTGTTGATAGATGATTTAAGGTCATCCAAAGTCATGCAGAGTTTCAGCGTGCTGTGTCAAGTCTTAGCAACACTCCAGTGCTCAGTGGGTGGTAATAATCTACTCTGTATGCATCTGCTAGTGTTGGCTGTTTTTTTGTTCTTTTTGCAATGAAGCTCAACCGCACAGAAGGGGCACACCTTGCTCATTATGCTCAAACGCATAATGGCTCACTTCAAACAACGGCAAACAGAAACACTATTTGCTTGGCAATGTTGTTTCATCTTTTGCACATGTCACCTGATTGAGAGGATTCCTTTCTGGCTCATTTGCACAAGTGTTGCAGTTGAAAAAAGCTGTGAAACTCTTATATTCTTCTGTGTTTTTCTCTCTCTGATACATTGCTAAAGATATTCAGCGTAAGGTAGTCTCAATCAGTTTCTTTGGTAGTCTAACACACCCTGTGAAAGGCAAGTTTTTAGATAGTAATGCAAAGCAAATTAAATATTTTCATTTTTTAATTTCCAGCAAAAGTGTTTTTTTTAAGCAGTGAGTATGCTCTGAGGTTATGAAGATAAAGCAGAAATAACTATCTGCTCTCCATCCATCCACACATCCGCTTAAAATACACGTTTTTATGTGCTGAGAGCTGAAAGAGCTGAAACTTTTACTACATAGGCTTCAGCCACAGCTTCCAAAACCTGTGTGTGTGTGTGTGTGTGTGTGTGTGTGTGTGTGTGTGTGTGTGTGTGTGTGTGTGTGTGTGTGTGTGTGTGAGAGATGAAGGTACACTGTGTCCAAACTGAACTGCAGTGCAGCTCCTTGGTTTACACGTCACCAAACTGTGTGCAGCTGCTGAAGTCTGCTGCTTTGCCTCAGAGCAGTTTTATCCTGTTTTAACCCAAGAGAGGATTTTTTTACTCCACTCTTACTGACACAAGATTATGTCATGTTGATCAGACTGTTATGGAAGAGGATTAGGGCAACTGGAAGAAAAAAATAAAAGGCCTAATATATATTTTTTTAAATTATTGTTCCAAGTCAGAATAATAATAAAAAGGTAAGAATTCTAAGTTTAAATTCATTCAAACATTGACTTTCGGTGAGAGAACAAAAAGTTCAAGGAGTTTGTTTCTGACTTTGATATCTGAATTCTGACTTTAAAGGCATGGTTGTTGATTGAAGAGATTTGTAATTATTGTGAACCTCATTTCTATGGCGATCGTGGTCCTATAGTGCGATCTCCACAAAGTGAAGAGAAAAAAGAATGGAAAAAATCTGTTCACCTTAACAGGTTCAGGGCTGCAAAAACATTGACCAATGGGAGCCATCCATCCTGGACAGCTCCTATTGGTCAATCTCCTGCTCCGCCTCTCCATCCTCGTTGTATTCCACACACCCCTCTCCCGTAGTTCCAACTCGTCCCCTCCCACTCTCCCAGCCCCCCTTGGAGCTCTGAGCGGCTAAAAGTAGCGTAGCAGCTTAGCTACAGGAGCTGTGATGGAGAAGGACGCAAAAAAAAAAAAAAGATTTTGTCTTCATTTAAATATATCTGGGTGATACAATCAATATAAACTGCAGCAATAACACATTATCATCACCTGTACAAATTCTGAATAACCATTTGTGAACTCACCCTGCCTGATTTTAGACACTGAAAGCTTTCAACAGATCCCTTTAAACCTTTGACTTGACTCGCTGTGGTCCGTCTCTGAGCTCATCCCCTGTGACGGTGTAATTACAGCCTGTAACCCTCCATCAGGGTTTGTCTGTGTGCAGAGGATCGGCCAGACTGTTTTCAGGAAATCATAGACTTCCCTCGAACACACAAACACCTCGCTCTGTCGCATTTGAGGCTTTCAGAGAGAGAACAAAAAGTTCCAGGAGCTTGTTTTCATGTAAGCTGCACCATCTTATACTTTAAAATCAACGCTGCTCTTTAGTCATGTTTAGTAAAAAAACTTCATAAAATCTTAATCTTAGCAAATATTTCTGTCTCATTTGGCTTATTTTAGCCAAATTTACCCAAAAAAGTAAAGAAAATGTCATATTTTAGGTTATCATACACCAAAAAGTTCTTAATTCAAGAATTAATTTCCTTGGAATACAAGTTTTCATTCCAGAAACTTGAAAAGCAAACTTTCTTTTAGCGTTTAATATCTTGAATTATGACATTTTCTGAACTTATCTGGTGAATTTGGCCTAATAAGGTCAAGATTTACATATTTGCGCTGCGATTTTCATGTATTTACAGAAAAATAGGACCCAAAATGTCATCAGCCGGGACAGATATCAGACAGAACAACAAGAGTCCAGACGTGAGTAAATCAGACAGCTGTTACTCATCAGCAAAAATGCGAACCATCACATGCAAACTGCAGCGGGGCCAAAGTGCAATAATAAAGATCTAACTTTGTTTCGCTCTCTCTCTTTACTCTTTCTTTAGTTTCCCTCTTTAGGACGTTGTGAAGTTTTATTTCCCGTCAGACTGGTCGTCCAATTAGAGGAGCTGCAGGAGGAACGTATCATTTACACCATGAAGTATGTTCATATAAGCCTCTTAAAATGGCTTATTTCTGCGTGTGTTTGTGCTCCTGCTGTTTTGTACTGAGCTACAGGAGGAGGAGGAGGAGGCCTGGTGTGACCGAAGGCAAAACATCTATCAGAGTGAAAAGGCCTGCTGTGCCTCAGCATACAGTAGTAATCATTTTGTGAGCCGCTGTGACTTTATAGAGGAAATAGTGGTTAAAAAAAATCAGCTTTGATGTTTGTTATTGGGCTGAAAAATTCAGAGTCGTCTGCCACCTTCATGTACAGCCTCCTCCTACCTGCACACCTCCTTCAGACTGAGACTCACACTGTGAGAGCTTACAGCAGTTTGTTGAGTCTGGAGAAAAACATCTTCAGGATTCGACACTGAACAACAACACTTGTCACTAGACTCAAAAATGAGAGTTGCATACAGTAAAAAAAAAGATCTAGTTTTTGCAGCGAATGATCCAGCTGTGATCATACACTTTAAAACTGATGTTCAAGGTTTTGATTGTGACTCAAAAACTGAGGTTAGAGCGTGTGCCTCTTTTGGTTACTAACCAGGTGAACATTCATACTTTCTGATTGTTCTTTTAAGTGTTTTTTTTTCCCAGTTTATAAATTCTGATCTATCAGGAAAAAAGAGTCAAAACTGTTGCTTGTTTTTTTTTCTGATTGTGAAGTGAAGTGTGCCTGGAGGAATATTAACCACAACTAAAAGTGGAGAAATCAGCTCAGCATCATTTTGATATGCTGCAAACATAGAGGTGTTCCTCCACAGGTGTGTCTTATTCTGAAATATCAGTATATTTGCACCTTATTAAATTGCAACGCCTTTATAACCTGAGCAATCGTTCACCAGCTGAAGCACGGACTCCCGAGAAAATAGACTCAGTGCATATCTTTTGAAGAGCTGCGCTCGACACGCTTCTGAGACAGAGCTGCGACACGTCCTGTGAGCGATTCTGATTGATTAGAATGGGAACCTGTTTGCTGTGTGATACGCTGACGGAACGCGCTCAACATGGATCCTCTATGTTTTAGGCTTGGCTTGTAGCCTTGCTGTAACAAAAGCAGATGGAGTGTAAAAAATCAACTTTTCCTTTACATGTTAGAAGAAATGAAATGAGTTGTAGAGACCGAAAGACTTCAGTGTGCCTGTCTGCAAACATGTTTGAATCTGTTGTTAAAGTGAGCACATTAGTAAAGGCTCTAATGAAGCTTATTCGACTTCTGCACTCAGTCTCAAGTGGACACTTGAGGTACTGCAGCTTTTTTCACATTTTGCATTGGCTTCATTGTTCAAAACTGGAGGTTAAAGTTCAAAACAGCACGCTGCTTGGTCAGAAGTGTATGTGAACATCAATAGTTGCATCAATAATCAATAAGCTGGAGTTTCTTTCAGAGCTCTTAGACGGTACCAAAGAGCCTCTGAGGTCTTTCTGATCTCGACGTGGTTAAATCTGCAGATGGACAACTAAGCAGATAATTGCAGCTCCTCACTTCATCATCTCCATCAGGCATGTTCACTCAAATACAGAGAGACATCTGCCACGTATACGGGGAGAGAAGGGTGAGTCACAAAGGAGGGGGAGAGTGGGTGAGGGAAAAAGAACAGAGTGTGAGAAGAGGGGGGATGAAAGACAAGAAAGGAGACAAACTGAGTAAGGGTGAGAGAGGAGAAGTACTGTGGGAGGAGGCGGAAAGGGAGAGTCTCACTGTTTAATGACACCACCTCCCCCTCCTCCTCCCCCTCTCTCCCCCCCATAGCATCAGCTAGACTCTGGCTTCCAGGCAGAATGGAAAATGCCACGTTGCATCGCAGACTTTTCCTCCCTCCCTTCCAGCTGTTCTTCACATCAGCTCTGTGGGAACAGACAGAAGTAATCAACCAGAGCGAAGAAGGGAAAAAACAGTAGAACAAACCCAGAGTGAGCGTTAACTTCAGGAACGGATCTAGAGTGAGGGTTCGACTACTTTTGTCTGCCAGTGGTCGGCAGGTGTTTGCAAAGTGAATCATGAATCCTGGCTGGGATGAGGAAAATGTTCCACCGGCTCAGAGTTTGCAGAGAAATCTCCAGAGGGTGACATGTTTTCACTGAGTTCCAGCCTCACAGGAGGCTTTAGAGATTCAACACGGTACTGAGCAAGATGATAAAAATGCAAGAGGCCGTTCATCATGAATGTGGGAATATACAGTCCACGTCTGTGCTCATTTAAAACATCCAGACAGCTTAACAGGCCCTAAAGCTGTTGTCATAAAAACAAACACGAAGACGCGCTCAGATTGACCAGTTTATACCTGAGACCTCCTCCTTCATAACAAATGTATGACCTTTCCTCTAACCACATTAAATTGGCTCATAATCTGGGCATCAGTGAGGCACAGGGTGCAAAGAGGTTGGATTAGCTTCCTCGGACATTCAGGTGTGTTTTTGGGCACACCACGACTCATGGAGGAGGATCAAAGGAAGACAGGACATAAATCTGATTTCCGTGCTGGATCTCATGTGCTTAAAATCACTGAACACATCACTAAAGAAGAAGAAGAAACCATTTATGATCACGATCCTTGAGCCTGAGCATATCGGTATCAACATGGAAATCGTGGATGGCATACGCTTTCAGTAATGCTGAGTAATGTAAACAGATTTTGGAGCAACACATGCTGCCCTTATATCTCAGCAAGACAACGCAAAACCACATTTTGCAGGGATTACATTAGCATGGCTCTGTAGTCGAAGAGTCCTGCTGATAGACCAGCCAGCTTGCAGTCCTGAGAACATGTATGACATGACACCAAAAATAGGATGAGTTGGAGCTGCAAAGGTTTTGACACTGGACACGGACGTTCAACTACTCTTCAAACACCATGCATCTTCCTACCAGCTGTCTTGTATCTGAGCCCGACCTTTGACCTCCAAACTCTCTGAGAAAGGCAAAGTGAAAAAAATAGAAGAGTAAGAGAGGGGGTGTCTTTGGGTCAAAAGTGAAGAAGTCTAACCCCAAATTTCCAACACTGCGGAACAGCGGAAATAATCGCCGTCCGCCAATTCCTACTGGATGTGAGGTGAGCTTCATGGTGAATTTCGGACAGTGCGAACCGCAAGGACTCCAAAGAACCCGCAAATTCACATGCAACCACATGATAGAGTTGTCTCTATAAAGACAGCCACATAACCACATAAGCAGTAGATCGTGTCCTTCCAGCGGAGGAAATTCACTCTGTACAGACCAGTAGATCAGACACTTCAGTGGAGGTTGGGATTTAACCATGGGTAAGTGTAATTCTATCTTTACCTACGAAACAAACCAACAAGCCTGGTATGAAATACAATCCGCCTAACCCCCAATTTCCACCTCATTTGGAACAGCGGCAAAAGGCCATCAGCGCCGTTTGCCCCTGATCATTTCAATTCAAGTTAATGTGTCAAATTCTCTTCCATATTTTGTGGATGCCGTAGCATGCCGCAATTCAGCACAGATTAGTCTGTGCTGAAAAGGAAGTCAGGCACAGACGCAAAATACAACATGACTTTTTTTCAAAATAAAACACTCTGTGTTTCAAGCAGATTATATTTCACACCATGCAAACAGGCGGGGAGGAACAAGTGAAAAGTTTTTAGACGTCATTTCACCCCGATGACACCATGGATGAGGAGATGTTGATTCTAGAAGTCTAGAAGTAGATTTCCTCCTTTGGAAGGACACAATCTACTGCTTATATGTCTATGTGGCTATCTCTGTAGAGACAACTCGTTATTGCGCGATTGCATGTGATACATGTTGTGTTTCGTTTTAACTTGAATAGAAATGAATGGCGGCGGAACGACGCCGACGACCTTATCGCTGCTTTTCCGCATGTGGTGGAAATTTGAGGTCAGTCCTGAATCAGACTCTAGCTGTCCTCTCTTCAGCAAACCGTCTGTATATCCTTTTAATTTACAGCCAGTTACTCTAGCAGTAAATGTCAGTTACAGTTAAGTGAACGTCAGTGAACCCTCAAGGCTGACTGTGTTTTCTGGAGCTCTACTGTGTCATTTTGAGCCTGATGTTCCTCTGCAGAGCCAACATCTGTTTCCTCAGTCCCAAAGTGACACTCTGCTCTTTAATGTTGGAATGAAACTCAGTACACCATGATCATTACCATCCAGAGTCATTATTTTCTACAAATTTGTCTGATTTGACTGTTTTATTTCTTACAGTTACTGTATATAAACACTGGAGTAAATCAGTCATGGTTCCTGCTACCTTAATGCCTTCAGTCTGTGAGCAGTTTCAACTAGAATTTATGGATGCAGTAACAAACTGTGTTCACAGACAGTGGTTGTTGGGAGAGATTTCAAACCCATGTGGTGATTTCCACCACAGAGTCGTGCACTGTAGATGACGAAATTTAAAGGAACCTAATGCAAGGACCGCCTGTCCAAAGACGCGATAAGACGCTCCTACTACTCTGTCGGCGCGAATGATGTGAATTGGGCAGGAGCTGAATATGTCTCAACTTGAGCGGATATTTGCGTCACGATAACTAATCAGCATGAATGTTGCCGGGTGACGTATGAAAACGGACGGTTGTTCACTGGTATATAAAGTCGGTGTGTGGACGCCCCGAATTATATGATTACTCTTCTTTGAATTACCAAACCAGAATAAAACGGAGCTCGCCTGGAGTCAAGTGAGTGAGGAGGTCGGATTACCTGGTAAATTGTAAAAAACATTTGTCTATCACTTGATCCAGCCAGTTAAATTGGCAGGGATGACTGTTAACATTACCATTGACGCGTGAATAAGGGGATTAAATACTATTCATTCACATGTCTAGATTAGTGAGCGCCCAAAGAGAGTTTTAGCCTCTCTGGGTTTCCTTCTATACTGAATTATGCTGTAGATTAATCTCATTATTTAGAACTGCATCTTTTTTAGTGTTACATAACTTTTTTATGTTTTGTTTCTCCATCCTTACCTTTTTTTTAAATGTGTTGCTGACTTCATATTTAAAACTTCAGTTTCAGTATTTAAAAGTTTCAATTTCAAGGTTAGATTTGTTTTCTCTGCTCTATTTCTTTTAAGGAAACACAAAGTTTGAATTATTTTGCGAACATTTTATTTTTTTTACATTTTGTACAACTTCCCAACATTCTTTGGGAAAATTTCTTACTCCTTTACTTTTTAATGATTTTGCTTCTTTTTAAATAACTACTTTGTCTCAGTGGTCAACTCAGAGATAACGCTTTTGTTGTTGTTGTTTACACTGGTGATGAGAAAAAAAGTGGTTTTATTTAGAAAAGATGACTGTGATATTGATCTTTAAGATTGATTATGTCAAAAGGTCGACTGAATACACTTTTTCTACCACTAAATGTTGAAAAATAAACTTTAAATGTCATTCCTGACAAAGTCTGAACCTTCAAACACCTGTTAGTTACTAAATTATGTTCTTACTGAATTAAGCCCTTGTGTGTTTTCCTTTGTTACTTGAAATCATCTTATAATAAATCACGCTGAAGACGTGCTCCTGTGTCCTGTGATGGATGTCTCTGGTTATTCTTTGAGTCTGGAGCTGTTTTGCAGAGTTAGTGTTAAGAGGCTCCACCTACCAGAGCAGAAAGAGGGAGGAGGGGAGGTTTGGGTGAGGGTGGGTGGGGGCTGCTCTGCTCTGTGTTCCAAACTGGGACGTCCCACTGGAAATGTCTTCTGTGTGAACTGGTGAGGCTGTCAGATCGTCCCGGCCCCGCACTCTGCTGACTTCTCCTCTGGTCCCTGCTCTGCAAAGCTGAAGGTAAGAGCGCTCACTCTGCACCAAAATCTACAGTCTCAGTCCATCATCGAGTCGGTGAAAGTCCTTCAGGTTACGCTTTAGAAAAACTGCAAAAGTTAATGGTTTACTTTTTAACTCTGCAAGACAAAGAGGGAGAGAGGAATCAAAGTTTAGAGGAGCTTTCAGTAAGTTTGGTGCATATTCCTCTAATCTGAAACAAATCCACATCAGTTTTAATCAATCAATCCAAACTGAAACAAACAGAATAACCTTCTATCTTGATTTTTGTTGCATTAACTTCAGCTGCTTCAATCATTGAATTCACTCCAGTTTTAAAACTTCTTGCTCGATTACCTGCATCAGACTCTCCAGTAATGGCTCACATTGTTTTGGAGTCTGTTTCTCAGTTTTCCCTTTACTTTTCTAACAATTGAGACTCACTGAAACCTGCTTTACAATGACCACCATCTGCTTTTAAAGGCCTCAAATCTCTGTGAACAATCTCCTCTGTTATTACGACTCAAACAGCTGCGAGGAAAATCACTCCCTGCAGGTAAACAGGCTGTGATTATGAGGATTCATTCTCTGAGGGGGTATTGTGTGCCACATCGGCAACAGGAGGGAAAGAGGGGGAGGAGGGGGCTTTGTGGGTAAAAGAAAAGGGGGAGGAAGGAGATGCAAACTCAGGCTGAAAGTTTTGTATTTCTTCATGACCTAAAGGTTTGTTTTCCACCGTCAAACATCGAGGAAATCTGCAGCAAGATTTGAACTCGCATGCTGTCTGTGTGTCTTTGGATACTCCCAGCTTTGCAAACAGACCTCTGCATGGTTTGTCAGCAAAGTTGTGAAAATAAACACTGAAAGAAAAATCAGCAGGAGGGAAAGAAAGGAGGGAAGAGGAGGATAAACGTGGGTGGAGGGGACTCCAGCACAGCCTGATAGAAAAATGGGAGCATTTCTCTCACAAATATCTCTCCCTCCCTTCATCCCCTCTCTGATTACTGCATGTAGAGGAATGCAGGTTGCCATGGTGATCGATCACCAGCTGTTTGAAATGCTCTGTTCGTTAGTTCAGACGCCTTCAAGTGTCAAGACGTCACAGATTAGCAGAAAGAGGCAGAAATTCCTGTGCGCTCTCGGTCATTGTTGGTCCGCAGCTGTTCTTCATGTTCTCAAAGAGGAGAAATCTGAACAGAGTGTCAGCGCAAGAGTGGGATCGCCCTGCTGTTTCAACATGACAATCCCACTCTGCACAAAGACAGCAACATGTAAAAATAGTTTCCTGAGTTTGTTTTAGGAAAACATGACAAGTCTGCACCCATGAGATCAAACAGGCAAGAAACCAAGAGCACAGTTGAAGAGCTGCAGATAAATAGAAGAAACTCATGTATGGTGGCCCTGAAGGTTCGCTGCACATGAAGTGAAAAACAGTCCATCAAATGCCAGTCATTTTAGTAAATGCAAAATTGTTTTCTGACACAGTAGAATGTCTAGAAATCGTGCAAAATAATCTCAGATTTCACAATAATTTGGACATTCCCAAAGTGTTAAGTGAACGAAAATCCTTCACAAAATAAATAAATAATTACTAAATGATACATGATGTCTCTTTTTTTGAGTGGTAACAACATGTTTGACCTTCAGGGCCACCGTAGTCATGACTTGTCTGCAGTTAGTCTCAAAGCCCATAGAAAGAACGTTGGTGGGATCTGTTTATTTTTCATCCACGTCTCTATCTGAGCTTCACTGTGCAACCGTGCACATGCAGTTTCCTTTTTTACGTATGTCTAAAACCAAAAAAAGTCTTTGATGAACATGTATGTGGAAAAATCATCTGTACAGTTTAAACACACTCTTTTACATCCTCATGCTGTTTCTTCATCTCTCTGCTGAAGGAGGAAGGCTTTAGAACAAAGTAAAGATACTTAAAGCTCCTGTGAGGAACTTTAGCTTCATGGCAGATTTGGCACCCCCTGTGGACAAAGCAATCTTTGCTGATCTGGCATCCTCTACATCCTTTGGTTGTGCATTCCCTTTATTAATTGTTGGTATTTGAATACAGGACAGTTTCTGAGCTGCTTGGTCGACACCTAAAAACCCCTATAGGAGCTTTAATATTCGGGTGGATTGAAATTCGACATCAGACTCAGTGTCTGTTCTATACTGGTTCTTGACTGGAAGACTCAAACCCTCCTATATGCATACGTGTGAACCTCAGATTCATGGTGGACGTTGATTCAGGGTTAATGTTGCTCAGTTTTAATAAAGTCGAGGCTCTTTGGGTCTTTTAGCAAATCCTCCTCCATTCTTAGACTGAATTACTTGTTACAGGAGAGAAATAGATGCCATCCACATGGTGTTTTTGTTTTCTGTGTTGGTCACACCTGTCGAGGGTTTCCCCGTCTTTCTTTAGGAGGACTGAAGGACAATTATTCTGCATTAGTATGAGACCGAGCTCTCCTGGCTGCTTAATTGTTGAGGTGGCAGGTTTGGACCGAGATGGGAGGAGGAAGAAGAAGGAGGAGGAGGAAGAGTAGAGGGGTGTTGGCATTTAAGCTGTGGATACTGGGAAATACCGGGCCAGCTTGGCACCCTGTAGAAAAAAGTCTAATCCCCAGACAGGAAGGAAGGATTGTGCAGCTGTCTGGACTCGACGTGGAGGAGAAAGAGCTGGAGTTTAGTGTCAGCAAAGAAAGACAAAGAGAGCGAAGGAGGGAGACGAGAAGAAAAGGGGGAAGAAACAGCAAGACAAAGAGGTGATGGGTAGACTGATGACTAAGCAAAACAGAGTAAGAAAAGGATTAGAGTCAAGACCAATTAGAGTGTAAAGGAAAAAAGGATGAAGAAAGAACCATAAATCTACTTCTCTTGTTTATTCAGCTACGACAGCGATGACTAACGCCACATTTGTTTGTTGAATTTGATGCAGAAGCTGTAAAACACATCCCTGCCTTTATGTCACTAAATACCACCTCAAAATTTATACTTTAGCCGCTCCAATCCCTGTAATTACTGACGCAGAGAGAGCTAAAGCTGTATTTATGTCACAGTGATGTGTTTTATTATTGCTTTTTTATCTTAACCTTCAATTTTTGTCACTAGAAAAGCTTCAGTGGTGATGAAAATATTGAAAATCGTAATGAGGGGTGGTTTTTACTCTTTTATAGCTGGCTGGCTGCCATATTAACTGCAGCGTTGATGCAATAAAAAGAGAGAAACAGATTACTGGAGATGACTAGAGTAGTTTGCAAAGAGATTTGTGCAGAGATGGGTTTAACAGATGAAGATGAAGATTTGGGTTTCCATCTGAGGCATTAAAGGACCTCGATGACAGCAGTATGTGCACAATAGTCGTAATAATTATGTAAAAATGGGATAAAGAAAGAGAAAGAAAAGTGCAATCAGAGCATGGCAGTAAAATAGCTTTGTGCAAGATGTATGTGGGCTTTTATGTGCAGAGAAAAACTGATGGCATAAAGAAAGAGTATGCAGAAAAGGGGGGAGGGGTAATCAGTCAAAAAGGACAAAAACTCAGGTTACATATGCCCCAACTTCTCCTCTTCCTCTTTCCCCATGAGTGATCCTCCACTCCACCGCTCCTGTTCGTGCTCTTTGTGTGCGGACGCTGATTGAAATGACTCTGAAGCTGCTCTTTGTCTTGGCAGCTCGTATGGATTCCCCCCTCCAGTGCCCTCTGAGACAAACTGGATGTGTCAGGTGTCATATTACTAGTGGAGGAAGGAGTTCGGATTGAAAGAGTGAGATATCTGATGTCAAAGCGAATCCGCAGCTCGCTAGAAGCAACCCTCTCTTTGACAAAGCTCGTAGTAAGAGCAAAAGACGGTTCTTATCATATCTCAAAATAAATAACACACATTTTAGGTTTATTTCGATTCAAGGTACCCTAAAGCTGAAATCACAGGGCTTAAGTTAGTCTTTAATGTATTTCCACACATACTTAAAGTGCCTTTCTCTAAAACACTTAAGTGTGTTTCTAGGAACCTTTGTATGTTTTAGGCTATTTTTGAGTATCTGCCTCTAATAGACCACGATGTGTGTTTTAAGGTACCCTGTTTTAGGCTATGTTTAAGCATCTGTCTCTAAAGCACCACGGTGTTCGTTTCGAGGTACCCTTTAACGTATGTTTGAGGCGATCTTAGAGTATCTGCACTAATACACTTAAGTGTGTGTTTGGTTTCCATCCAATCCAATCCAGGTTTATTTATGAAGCACATTTACAAACAACAAAACAGTAAAAATTTAAAAAACAATAAAAAACAGACAATTAACACGAACAATAAAACAAAGACTCAGGAACACATTAAAAAAAGGGGGACGTAGATGGTTCAGTAAAAACATGATTAAAAGGCCAAAAACCAAGGAGTAAAAGTGGGTTTTCAATTTTTATTTAAAAACAGGCGGTGAGGAGGCCAGTTGGACATGAAGAGGAAGAGCATTCAGAGCTTAGGCGCAGCAATGGAAAAAGCTGAACTCTAATCTTGACCACGGGACAGTCAGAAGGTCAGAGGATCTGAGAATCCGAGATGAAATATGAGGTTTTAAAAGGTCAGAGATATAAAAAGGAGCGAGTCTGTTTAAAGATTTATAAGTTAATAACAAAACTGGTTTGGTGAATGTTTGAGATTATCTGTTTCTTTCTCTGTTACATCAAGGTTTGTGTTTTGAGGTACCCTTTAACACCTGTTTGAGGCTATCTTAGAGTATCTGCACTTAAGTGTGTGTTTTGGTGTTCCCTTCGGTGAATGTTTGAGGCTGTGTCGAAGTTTCTTTTTCCGTTACATCATGGTCTGTGTTTCGAGGTACCCATCAGTCTATTTTTTAAGTTCCTCATGTTTGTTTCCAGGTACTTCTTATCAGTTCAGGTTCCCTTGATTCTGTTTTAAGTACCCTTGACACCTTTTGAGTCTGTTATGCAGCAAACCTTGATGGTCTGATTCATGGTATCCTATAGATGCTGCTTTTGTAGAATCCTTTATTTTTTTTTCATTAACTGCATACCTTTGGAGTCATGGTGCCATTCTGCGTCTGAAAACATTTCATCTTCTTGGATTTTTCCACATCAAAATAGTCCAGTGTCTGCAGAGCTCAACAGAGACAGAGGAAATCACTGTCTCGGAGCCCGGGCTGAATATTTGCTTCTTCACAGTCCTTTGCACGCCAGGGTTGTTTGTCTGAAGTGTTTGCTGGCAGGCAGACTGTTACAGGTTGTTTTTCAAGGCCTACAAACCTATCTGTTGTATCACCGGGGAGAAGAGGAAAGAATTCCCCTAAATCTGCTTCCTTTAGTGAGCATCCAGCGAAGAAGAAGAAGAAGAAGAAACGCCAAAAAAAAAAAGGACCTGAAAAAGAAAGATATAGGAGAGAAAAAGAGGAAGCTGTCTGTATTAGGTGCAGCTTCAGCGCAGGTTGTTTTCCTCCATAGTGAGTTTACAGATGCTTACCTAACTAACCTCCCAAATTAAATACATTTGAGGAGAAAAAGGGCCTCTTTATGAGCCTGAAGTTTCCCTTTTAGCCTTGGCCATGTTTGATTATGAGAGCAGCTTTCCAAATAAAATAATTTGTTTAGCTGTTACGTCAGTCTGTCCGGCCTCCTCCTCTTTCCTGCAGAGCTGAACGAAGGGCTCCCTGACTAAACAGGAATATTTTAAAGAGGACATACACCGGGAACATCACGTCCCTCCAAATCAAATACTTACCCCACATGTTTTGGAGATGAGGCAGGTTTTTATTTCCCCTCTTTGCTCCAACATTTAGCTCTCACGCCCTGTCAGACACGCCACTTATGAGCGTGTGTCATTACGAAATTTCCCGTAAGCAGAGCACCTCGGCTTTTTTTTTTTTAGCTCAGCTTTTGAGAAGTGTCCTTGTGTGCAGGTTATTTGGAGACGTCACCGTCTGCATCCTCCGCCAGGGTTGCTGTATTTTTCCACGTCCAACCTGCTCAAGACTTCTGATCTCTGGACCTTCAGAAACACTGGTGACCATTGTGAAAAGGGTGGCCTCGGTTTTTGCTTTTAAGGACCAACAATGCGACACTATTCATGTCGTATACGGGTTAGGACTGTTCCCATCGATATATTTGTCAGTCACAATCAGTCAAGTTATATCATGGAGAAAACTGAGATGATAGACCTCCAATGGCAGACGTAGATGGATGGTAATGGCTGAAAGGTTTTCCACAGTCTTGCTGAACAACAATGTTAACTTCCCTTTTGATTTACAGTTTCCTCTTAATCCAAAATTTTTCTCTTTCAGATCAAATCTGTTCAACCAAAAAGTCTCAAACATGGAGCACTGAAGTCAAAAATATACAATTTAGAAAATAAAGTCTAGGATTTAAGAAAAAGTTGAATACTTTAATATTACGGCGGCTACTTTCTGTTGTAAAGATAAGTATGTAATTTGATGTAAACATAACAAATTACTCAAAATAAGATATTCAGAAAGTAAGATTTGAGGTATTGTGATTCTAAATTTGTCCAAGAATGAAAGACGAATCGAACGGTAGTTTATCGGAAACAGCAGTCGCCTTTAAAGAAACTTGATTTTGGTATCGTATCGTATCAGAAACAGTGGTGACGATTGACAAAACACAGTCCTGACTTTATTCGTATCAAATCTTATCATTTTGAATCATGTCTTATCATATCGTGTCGTATAAGAAACAGCGGTTTTGCATTAATCGTAGTGTATAATAGTCGGATTGTCTCTCAAATCTCGCAAAACTCGACGCTAATAAAAGTATTTCTGCTGTAGTTGATATTGTAGTCGGAGGATTTGCGCCCAGTCACGTTCTCATTGTTGTATCTGATGGTGAAACTTGTAAAAACTTGCGCTTAAGAAAGAATGCAAAATCTTAAACCGGAGATCTTGAAAAAACTGCCCACGCCTTTATCACATCACAAATAGATTACTGTAACTTCTCGTACGCAGGCTTGGGCAAGTCATCGATCAACCGCCTTCAGCTCATCCAAAACGCCGCTGCTCGACTCCTCTCTGGCAAGAAGAGAAGAGCGACCACATAACCCCCAATTTTAGTGACCCTTCACTGGCTCCCAGTCTTGAGGTGACCCCCAGACTCCGGAACAGTTTGTCTGGCCATGTTAGAACCTCACAGACCCTAGAGACTTTAAAATCGCCCTTAAAGACCCACCTTTACTTCCTTTTGTTACACGAATCATAGGCACTGTAGTTTTATTCTTTTACTGACTGTATTTTATTCCATTGTTTTTAATTTTATTGTTTTATTGTAATCTTCTTTTATTTATCCTTCACTGTAAAGCACTTTGACTGACTGCTGCCTTCTTAAAAGTGCTCTATAAATAAACTTGACTTGACTTGACTTGAGATCAGATCGCATTTCAAACACGTCAGCCATGTCTGAAAGTGCATTTTGACTATTTGCGGGGGGAAAAAAGTGCCGACATGCGAACCATCAATTTTACGCTATTGTCTAAATGTCAGATCTGTTGTGCAGCCCGAGGGTTCATCCGACAACACACATCAACACCCCCAATCTGTGTTTGAGAGAAAGCAAACATCCACACCTCTGTCCGAACATGTCGCTCTATTCAGACGCTGCATGCCGAGACGTCTTTTTGAGTTTTTGGGAATCCTAGAAACCTCAAATCCCCCTAAAATGTCAAGTTCATTTTCCCTCAAGGGGACGTGTTAAAGAGCTGTGGCATTTAACTCCAATTACGCCATTTCTAAGACAATAATTCCTGCACATGCTTGAGGGAAAAATGCCTGTAAAATTACAGCTTTAAGAGGAGATTGTAAAGTTTAGATTCGGTTATTTATTGTTGGTTGAAGCCTCATACCAATGCAGGAATTCCATCTATTCAGAGCCCTGTTTGGTAAATCTTATTATCCCCCGCTGATCTCCTGAAGTATTCGGTTTATTGTGCAAACTGTGTCACTCCAGACTTAAGAAACGCCTCTGAAAGCAGAAGAAATCTCAACAGAAACCAAAGATACAATCTGACGTCTGCTCCTTTTGGATATTAAGCCAAAAAATAGGGAAAAAAAACACGTAAAGGAAACAGGGTTGATCTGTAAAGACACTTGCCCTCATGTGTTGTGCACGCTTTTATGTGAGGAAGATAAGATCGTGTCTGGGGGTCTGGGTGAAACAGCTGATTTCATGGAGGTGAAGAGGGAGATAACTAATGGAGGAAGATGGAGGAAGACGAAGCGACGTCATGCTCCATTACCCGACAAAGACGCCCTTATTCAGCTCTTCAGATGAGACACGATGAAAGAAGAGGCAGTAATGGAGAGAGGGGTCCTAGTCCGACAATGGGAGCTCAGATCAGATGGTGAAGAGAGGACCAAGACTGTGCAGACACATGGCAGACTATGCAGATTTCTATCATTGCAGCAGACACATATTGAGGAAAATATTACACACTTTTTACTGAGTCCATATGATTGTAAATTAATCTTTAGTATTTGTTTTTTTTACTATTCTGCATGCCAACATAGTACAACCAACAAACAACAAAGTACAACCAAAGTTTGTGAAAATTTCACAGGTATTTGGAAATGATATAAAACAACAAAACAAAAATAAATCTGCACCAATGTTCGTTCCATTTCATCCTGAAGTTGTTGAGATATTTCAGCTTCAAATTCCTGGAAAAAAAACCCCACTTTTTCCTACTTTGGTTGCATTTATTCAAACCCAACTTTTAGTCCTTTTTTCTAGCTTTGTAAGACTATTTTATTTAATGGTCTTGCATTTATAAATACAGTAATATGTATCCATTGGTGGCTTTTACCAAATCACCTCATATAACTTCAGGTATAACCCTGCATTTTGCAAATTCAACTCTCTAAAATCACACATCAGGGACTTACATAATCCACCAAGGGGGTGCAAATGTAAATATGTGTTCAGAGGTGCCGTCGGAAGAGTAATTTTTCCAAACAGAGGCCCGTGGAAACACGAGGAGTTAAAATATGCTGCCTCAGGTCGTGGAAAAACGCCGCTGTGAGAGTGTACATAAGACAGGAGCTGTTTGCTCGGCTGCTTTCATCCAAATGTCAGAATGATAAGTCGACTCAGACTGTTCCAGACGTGTTCCCAAAGCCTAATTTAGTGTTATCACCATCTGTGATAGCTTTGATTTATGATCGAGAATGAGAGAGAGAGAGAGAGTCCTTTTCAGTGGTTAAAATTATGTTCAGAGAGAGTCTGCTTAACAAAACCACAAACAGCCACCGACAATTTCAGCTGGAGCTGCCAGTAAACACAGCAGACACTGAGCGTTTTGTTTGGGAAACTGGAGAGCTTCCATTAGTCTGCAGAGAGAGAGTGTGTTACATGTTGTGTTCAGATGCTTTTGTTGTCTTCAGAGGGTTTGCAGAGTTCATGAGAGACAGGTTGATTATTGCTCCCACTAAAAAACAAAAAACAAGTTCCTTTTCTTGATATATTTGTGAAATAATAAGTGGACAGACCAATAATTTCTGTTTTGAGTGAGGGGCAGGTAAATAAGCTTTGTCTTCTACCTGCTCCCTCACGGTCATGTGCTGTGCTACATTTGTTAAATGCCTTTTTGTATGTATGGTAATGCTTAAAAATGGCCATGAGTGGAACAAATAAAAAATGAACAAAAGGAACGATTGAAATCAATGGGATAAAACTATTAAAAAAGTCATTGACATCAATGAGAGCGAGGTTTTAACCATAGACTGTATACACTATGGACAACTTGGCTTTACCGTCCATCATTATACGAATTTGAAGCTGAATTTCCAGGATTTTCTTCACTTACGCAGTAGCGTTGTACGCTTTCAGCAGGAGAGTCGCTGTGATGACGCTCGGCTCAAACAGCGTATCCCCTGGGTGAGCTACGCAATCTTCCTACGCCCATAGGTTGTATCAGGTGTCAATCATAGAAAACATGAACCCCCTAATAACTTTTAAAAACGGAGCTGTACAGAAAAAAGAGGACTTGAGCACAAACCAGTCTGACAGTAACTACATGTCAACATCACAACCAGGGGGGAGAAACATTTATATTCTGTGTAATAAATTTCTAAAGTTTGTCCACAGCTCCATAGGGATTGCTGGAGGAAGCGGGATTAATGAGCTATACTGCAAACCGTCACCAGAGGGTGCTGTTCTTGCGGTGGAGGCCGACGGCGTTCATTCTATATACAGTCTATGGTTTTAACACTCAAACTCGACACCACCCCTCCAAAAAAGAAAAAAAGCTTCAAGCTGGAGTTCCTCAGGGAGCGTTTTTGGGTCCTCACTAAATTTGAATTTCATTTCAATTTTGAATTTTCAGGGACAATAATGCAGCTTGTTTAGATTTTAATTGGTATTTTATTTAGGGTACTCTCTAGCATCTGTCACGCAGCTTACCTTATATGTACCGTGGTTGTTTTTTGCGTTCAGGACGAAGACGATAGAGCGAGTGTAACCAGATGAGGAGTTCGACACGCTAACCGTTTGAGTTCATGTGAGTCTGCAGCAAACTCCACTCACCTGTTGTTCTCTTTGTCTCCACAGACTTTGAAGATGAGGGTGTGGATTGTCTTCATCCTGTGCCTGGCTGGCCATGCCATGGCTGCCCCTGTAAGTGATACTGCATGTGTGTGTGTGTGTGTGTGTGTGTGTGTGTGTGTGTGTGTGTGTGTGTGTGTGTGTGTGTGTGTGTGTGGTCTGCCTTTGTCTTTATGAGCATGTTCCTCTCTTTGTGTGTTTTCCTGAGTGTGTGTGCGTCTCCTCCTTTCTCTCTTCCTGTGTGATATTCGATTCACGTGTACGAGTGGAAGTGTGAGTTTCCCTGTTTGCCCTTGGGTGTGTGTGTATATGTGTGTGTGTTTGTGTGTGTGTTTCATTTATTGTGTTTTCCTATCAAAGTGAAGTTCCTGTGTGTACCTCCTCCAGGGAGTGTGTTTTTATCACTCTCGTGCGCTGAAAGATTTCTTTTCCGACTCTCAGTCCTTCCCCTGAGTTTGTGCTGTGGCTGCGTGTGCGTGATGATCTGAAGTGTGTGGGTTGTTTTGTGTGTGTTTTTGAGAGCGTATGAGCATGAGCGTCTCCAGTGCACTATTGTGTGACTGCACGTGTGAGTGAGATCATTGTCTGCTTCTGACCTCCTTTACTCAAGTGATTTCTTTCTCTGAGCACAATGTGGGCATTTGTTGACGTGCAGATTTGAACTGTTTCGTGTGTGTGTGTGTGTGTGTGTGTGTGTGTGTGTGTGTGTGTGTTTGCCCAGACCGAGGAGGAGCCAATGGACGAAGCTCTGGTGGCCGAGGAGCCAGAAGCCGAGGAGCCAGTAGCTGAGGTCAGTATTTTAGAGAGATGTCCTCGGTCTCAAACAAACAAGAACACAAAACTTTCACGGTTCAAAATTCTCTATAAGATCTGTTTTGTGTGTAATTGGCGACCAAATCTGACCCGTTTAAGTAATCTGCTTTCACTGAATCTTCTTGTGCAACAAAGGATTATTATTCTCATTTCAGGCTCGCTCACCTTCAAGTTTACCCCTAATAAAGTAGATAATATGGATTAAGCGTTCCCTGCCCGTCTGTTTGTGTTTCTCACCCTTCTGTGTAACTTCACAAAGTTTCTCAGAAGAAGATAAAACTTCAGGTCAGATGAAAAAGTCTTTTTGTTGTTATTCTGAAAAGTGTCAGGCTTATTTCTTTGACCCAGATAGTTATTGCTCTCATGTGAGTTCGATTTGGCGTCTGAGATTTTTCCTGTGCCTCACAGCTGCTCATGGAGATGATCTGATCTGTGATGGAGCCTTTGGATTTCCACTCTTCTGCCAGTGGAATTTCTCAGTGTCTCACTCTCACAGCTGTATGACTCCTTAAACTGGAGTGTGGACAAATCAGTCCATCCAGAAATAATATCAACCTCAGTGCAAGTGCAGGAAATGTGCCTGAATGATTCCACCTGACAGATAAAATTCCAAATCTGCTCACTGAGGCATCTAAAGATCATCCATTTCTTCTCCATAAGGAGCTTAAATAATGGCGGCAGCACAATAAGTAGTTAAACCAAGACTTTCCTCTCCCTGGTAACGATTTCCAGCCCCTCAGGAATTCAAACACATCCCCCAGGCTAGATTCAGGTCCACCCAGGGGTCTCCTCAAATTGGGTATTCCCAAAAAACTCCCAAAAGGAGACATCGAGGGGGCACAACCCTGCATGCTAACCCTGAACCACCTCAGCTGGATCCTGTAGATACAAAAGGGTAGCAGCTCTTTTCAGTCTCAAGATCATTAATCCGTTGTTTTGGAGAGTCAGAGCAGATGTTTGGTCAGGAGAGCTTGACTGAGCGCTGCTTATTTTCATTTTTAGACCCTCAAACAACTTGTCTTCATTGTTGGGTCTTTAGTTTTCTTGTGACGCCTCTTAGGACTGAATCTCATTGTCTTGAGTTCAAGATTGAAAAACCTGAAGAGATCGAATGTTAAGTGAAACCATATCGGATGTTATTTGCTCCACATTTGGAAGTCACTGACGTCAGTCTGCTACGATTTACCTGAACTCTTAAGTGTGACTTAACTTGGCTCCCTCAGACTGTCCTTTTTGGTTTTCTCATTGGCAGAAGTTCAGGATGCCCAGTATTGAGAGGTTGCTTACAGTTGGGTAAAAACATTGCATTCATCACAAACTTCTGTCTTGGCATGCATACGCCAATGTTTCAATCATTTTCGTTGATGGTTTTCACAGTGATTGTTACATCCCGTCACAGTTTGAAACGTATTGAGCAAAACCACTCATAAAAAAAACATCAGCAATGTTTTCATGGTGCTAATTTAAGAGCTGCAGCTACAGAGGGAGAGTACCAGCTGTAGTGGAAGTAAAATGACAAGTATCAATTTCAGGAGGAGCGATGTCAAGCAGCATTTGTTCCACCACAACGTAATCAGTTAATGTAGAAATCCTGGATCTGGATAATCCCTGAAATCCCAACAATCTGGTCGTTGAGACACGGTCAAAAACACGATATCCTTCCAGCTCCCTCAAGAGTTTTACCTTAATAGGAGATACTTCACTGACTTTATTCTAACAGGAGCTGACGTTTACTTTTCTAACAGAGCACAATGTCCACGAAAACCCGACAGTAAACAGAACTAAAAGGCCTCTGTGTGAAAGCCTCGCTCTGAGACTTCATGTGAACGTTTTATCATTTCCTGCTCCAGAGGTCCAGCGGGACCAGAGATCCCACAGCTGTTAATTTTAGCCCGCCGATCAGCCCGCCAGCCGGTCAGGAAGCCATTACGTTTTTCATGGCTTCACCACATGTGGACGCAGCTGCTTGTTATTGTTGGATATTATGGTCTCTCTGCTCCCAGACTCTGTTTGGACTTTCGGGAGGAGCCTTCTTTGGTGGTGACGTTTAAACTTTCTTCAGGAAAACCAGGGATATTTAGGCGGTTTGGTTTAAGTGGACATCCTGCAGAAATAGACCCTGAAGACTGTAGTGAGGAAATCAAAGTGCGTGAAGAAAACTCTTACTTTTCCTCTTCTTTCTGGTCTCTTTGTACCTCCTAATGATACTAAATTCCTTTGCATGTGGGTCATTCAGCTTGAGCTGCTTACAGTCTGACCTTTGACCTCTCATGTTTTCCAGGAGCCTGAGGTTGGAGCCAACCCCGTGCAGATTGAGATTGGAGAGTTTGACGAGGCTATCGAGGTTGTGGAAGACGTTGTTGCTGAGAGTAAGTTCACAAAAACCCACAATTAAGTTTGTTTCAGTGGGTTTGGGGTTGAAGGTCACAAACATGTGAGGAAATAAACATGTTTATATTAACTGATTAAAAAAATAGGCTGTAAAGTTACCGAGCGACTATAAACAACAACTAACAAAATTACCACATCTACGAGAAAAATTCCAATAAAACTCCTCTCTGCTGCCCCCAAGTGGCCCAAAAAAACAATGTCATTACAGCTTTTAATTACGATAATGTTCTAAAAGACTGTCGGCTAAATCCCACAAGATTCGGAATGGCTGCGCTTCGATCCAGAACGGCAGGCGGATCAAATATGCAAGCATTATTATCAATGTGCGGGATTCCACACAATCCGTCCGCCATCCGGCTCCGCTGCAGATCGGCTCCGGCAGTCGGATCAGATACGCAAGGTTTCTATTTTTGCCGGACGCAGCAGCACGGCGCATCAATTCAGTTCAGCAGAAGTTGTATGTGGCTACACAGTTGAATATCTGGTTAATTTTCAAAATAAAATAAAATCAATATGTTCAACTGTTCTTCACTTGGTAATAGGAGAGGCCAGGGTTGTGGGATGTGGGTGTTTATATACACCGCCGATCTCATTAAATGTCTCCCAGGGAAACATGCAAGATCTCGTGAGATCTCATCCAGTCTTGCAAGAAATATCAGTAATATCGTGAGCGCTTCTTCTCCACTTGCTGCAGCAGATCGGCCCCGGTTGGTGCTGTACGCTTGCGTATTTGATTGGCCTGCCGGTACTGAGTGGAGTGGAGCCATTCCAGATCCTGTGGAATCTCCGGCTGTAAGGTCACCCATGACACCCAGAAATATGCAGATATCCAGTCTTTGAGACACATAAACATTCGTGAATTTGATGTGGGTCTGTCTGTACCTCGTGACTTTCAGGCTGAACGCGACCACTAGCGATAACAGATGGTAGAAGAGAGAGCTACACATCTGCATCAAGTCCTCTCATTGCTGAACACAATAGAAATTTTCACACAAGAAAATACATTCAAAATCTTTCGCCCTTCAAAAACTACTTTTTCTGATGCATCGACATTACCGATCATCCAGATTTTACGGTCAATAAAGACATTATCATTCAAGTTTTCTATTAAAATCTGTTTAAAATGTCAAAAGTTTTTCCTTTGTTTGTCTGACCTGTGAAAAAGTTTGAAGAAAACTTTCTTTATGACTTCTGATTGTACTTTTGAGATGTTTTAGTGTCCCCCACTATAAAACGTCTCCACCGTCTTCGACAACATCTGATTTAACGGCGTCTCGCCCCTCTGCCTCCCAGCTACAGTATAGGAGTTTGGAGGGTTCAGTGAATCCTCAGACTGGCAAATGAAACAGCCATAATAACAGACCGCCTCATGCTGTGAGGAGACGGCTGTAATTACGTGTTCCACCCAGATTGAAGCAGCAGTGACTGAACCGCGGGCAACACCAGGAGCAGGAAAACAGCCCGACTGTACAAACTGTTCTGGACCAGAAAATACCACAATGGAAAACCACTTTGGCGCTCCTCCATCCTCGTATTTTACCGATATCATACAAAGTTTTGACAGATTTAGTGAACCTACCGAAGAAAGAAATGACAATCTGACATCGAATGGCGTCTTTTAAAGAGGAATAACTGATAAGTTTGAGGTCCAAACTACATCTGGTTGATAAGCAAAAGTAGGGAGTCAAAAATCTGATGACACCCGTCTGGACGTTTCAGGGCGCGTTTCCACAGAACCAAAAAAAGCGAGTGTTTCAGCTCTTTCCATGACTTATTTGGTATTTTCTAAACTGATGTTTTCTCTTCTTGGACGAGCAGCAGCTTGAGTCCAACAGTTTCCTTATTCATGAAGCCATTTTGCTTGTTAATGCTTTTCATCCACATTCTGGGTTTTCTTTTGGCAAAAACAGCACCAGAGTCCTGGAAAGTGTTCATGTCTGGATTCAGTCACGCTGTCTGTTTAGCGTCTGTTAAATCTGTGTCTCACTTTGGAGCCGTTTCCCGAAGAACAGACTCTGACTCTGCTCTAATGTCTGATGTTGTTGTTTTTTTTCCTGTCCCAACAGATCCCTGCCTGAACCACCACTGCAAGAAGGGCAAAGTGTGCGAGGTCGACGAGAGCAACACCCCCATGTGTGTGTGCCAGGACCCCTCCACCTGCCCCGCTGCTGAGGGAGAGTTCGAGCATGTGAGTCCGACCAAAGACAGTCAGTCTGTATCTAATCTTGTGCCGCCTCGTCTGTCTGTCAGTTAAGACTGGATCTCCAAAACCACGGAGCAGATTTGTAAAAACCTTTCCCAAAGACCGAGGACAAAATCAAGTATTATAAATAAATATCGAGAAGACTGAAGCTGTGGGATCTCACTGTCCACGTTGTCTCCCTCAGGTTTGCGGTACTGACAACAAGACCTACGACACCTCTTGCCACTTCTTTGCCACCAAGTGCACCCTGGAGGGAACCAAGAAGGGCCACAAGCTGCACCTGGACTACATCGGACCCTGCAAATGTGAGCTCCAAAACTCTGTTTTCATGAGTTTGCGAAGAAACCCCGAGCCCTCGTTTTCTTTCTTTCATTTTTCAAACACCTCAAACAAATGTTGAGCTATACATGCGAACTGAGCTCTTTAAAACCTTACCTGATGGTTAACCTGGAGGTTTCTAGTCTGTGAGGCAAAACACCAAGTTCTCCTGTTCTTTGGAGCTATTTTTAGTTTTCCTCTGCAGTTAAAAACTCGAATTATTAAGGAGTGAAAGTAAATAATTGTATCAGAACCACCGCCATAACGATGACCTCTAACACGTGATTGGATTAGACTCAATAAACAGCTCAGGGAAGATTAAACTTTACTTTAGGGATCATTTAAACAGTTCTGAGTCATTTCTTCATGAGCTCTGTGGAGAGAAAGCCGACTCCACCCTGGATACTCCCGTCTAAAAGGGACCAGATGTTCAAGTCGGCCAAGGAGGCAGGAGGAATATGCTTCTAGATGACTTGTGAGTCAAATGTATAAGCAGTTTTGTCCTGGTGTAGACGCTAGTTTGATTTGATTTGGGCGATTTGGTTTACAACAGAAGATAAAACACATAATTCTCACATCACAGGAAGAAAGCATACAGCAGGAATGATATAAATAAGTACATGTGAATACATAGAGTCCGCACAGTTTCATGGAGGCATTGTTCCCATCAATCTCTATTCAACAAACCAATGTCTGTTGGGATGAATAATCTGAGATGCCTGTTTGATTTGGCTTCGCAAGTAAAAGTGAACCTCCTCTAGTTTTAGGAGATTGTGACTCCACAGATTTTTTCAGTGAGGGGAAACTGAATCATCAATGAGCAAGAACAGAAAAGTTAAAAAGGCAGATTGCAAACAAATGACTGAACAAACTCGACCTCTGTTAGATATCCAAAGAACAAATCATGATTCACCAACGTGGAAATAAACCCCAATTTCAGTGACTTTATGACTCAGTTCAGTTAAAATTTCTGCTCAGGGCAACAGATCAGTCGTCTGTTACATGCTAATTTATGACTGCAGCCGTTATAAGCTGATCATTTTTAATTAACATCCCTTTAAAAAGTCAGTTTCATGGAGCTAATAATGTTTTTTAGAGGCAGGTTGAGTGACTGAATGCTTCCTCATCACTCTCCAATAACATCCATGACTGCATTAAAGGTACAATGGGTGACATTTAGCAGAACAGACTTGGTAGAAACAGAATGTGACACCTGAATACAAAATTAATTCCAAGTGCGTCTTTTCTATCCAGCAGGACACAATGAAAAAACTAGTGACACGTGTATCTTTGCATTCAGTGAGTGTGAGAAGAAGCAGGAGGTGTTTGTTGTGCCCAAAAGAAAAGAAAAGCAAAGGTAGAAATTTTAAAGGTAAAAACTTGACAGGTAGTGGATCTTACTTATCGTGTGTCACAGGAGCTCTAGCGTAACATGGCATACGTATTCCTGCACCTTTAAATCAGCTTGGTTAAAGAAGACGGTGGAGTAAACGGACGGTTACTGAGCAGATTTTAGTAAAAAGACACAAGATTGCATCTCCTTGTTTGTTTACAGACGTCACATTCAGCAGATTTGACAGCAGATATGATTGAAACATGAAAACTTATTGAATTGCTCCAAACATAACCGTGTTGTCTGAGATATCATCTGCAGTTGTGCCGTTTTGAGGTAATTCCCCTCCATGATTTGTTTTGACATCCTGCTGAATTCGGGTTTGTTTACGGTCGAAGGCTCGGCTGTATCTAAATTTCCAGATTATTTTCTGCCACTTCAGTTTTGATTCATCTGTGTGATAAACTCAGCAGCCGAAGCTTTTCTCTGAAGCGTTCATGTTCGTGTTCGACGTCTCCGACTCTCTGACTGATGGGCGGCTCGCAGAGTCGGGTCTGGCCTGCAGGCTGCAGCTCAGCAAAGAGAGGATCTGTCCAAACATGCAGACTGCATTTCTTCCACTGTTCAAACTTAAAAATGACTCACACACACAAAACACACACACATGCACACACAGTGAGAGATTAGCTGGGCTGAAAGGTGCAAATGGAGATCAAGGTGGCGTGATACAGACAGTTGCAGGCTGTGATTTTAGGATTTTTAAGGATTAAATTTGCAGTTTACACAAGATTAAAATCTGCAGGTTTTTTCAGTGGTGTTTTTAAACTCCTTTAGACTGTGCTCTCTGCCGTGCATGCTAAAAAAGAATCAATTCAAAACTTCAATTTTCAAGTCTTTTTTTTAACCTTTTTTTTCAAGATTAAGTGACATTTTACTTTCTGCAAAAAAAGAAGTGTTCAGATTCTGGTGAAACGTCAAATCAAGGCCTGAATGTTAAACGCATTACCTAACATCTCAACCTCATTGTTCTGCAGTCATCGAGCCCTGCATGGACACCGAGCTGAACGAGTTCCCCCTCCGTATGAGGGACTGGCTGAAGAACGTTCTGGTGACTCTGTACGAGCGCGACGAGGACAACAACCTGCTGACCGAGAAGCAGAAGCTCAGGGTGAGGAGCTGATTGGATAAAGACTCATTTCTAAAGCCCGTGTTCTTCCATTCGAGAAGGTTAAGGTGTAAACTTTTCAGTGTAGGGTGTTTGGAGGGTACATTTACAGTCTTTAGTCAAGCTGAAGTAGTGAAGCCTCCAAGTTTATCTACATCATTTTTCTTCTTCAGAAACTGGTTCATTCCTGCATCTCTGGACTTTCTTTTATTGTATTTCCAGCACACAGTTTACAGCTATAGTCGGCTCATAAAGACCAAACTCTAATCCTTACAGTTTCAGAGCATTATTTTCAGAGGCTGAGGAAATGTTTATTGGAGTTTTGTATCCTCTGTTAAAGTTTTACACGTCACACTACTCTCTGTACATTAAAGACTGGATTCTCCGAGATCATTCAGAGTCGTTGCGAAAAGGAAAACAAGCTTTATGGCGAGTTAAACTGAGTCTACTTTAAATATGCGAACCATGGTGGTCTGTGCTGCAGAATTAACTGAGTGTTTATATCGACCGTAAAAGAGGAGTGTTAATGAGAATGATTATTCACCATTGCACAAACATGTCAGACCACATTTTGTGAGTTGGTGCATGTTCCTGAGTGGTTTTCTGTCCCTGCAGCTCCCCGGCCCTCAACATTCAACCAACTAGCTCCAAAAATTCACAGATATAGGCAGTCTGCACATCAAAACAACCCGCATGAAGCTTCGTCCCATTGTTTATCATCATAATTGCCCCTGAAGGAGATTGCTTTGCACCAATAGCATGACACAACTTACTGAGTGATGTTTTTATTTCATCTTTCAGGTGAAGAAGATCTACGAGAACGAGAAGAGGCTGCAGGCCGGTGATCACTCTCTGGACCTTCTGGCTCACGACTTCGAGAAGAACTACAACATGTACATCTTCCCCGTCCACTGGCAGTTCGGCCAGCTGGACCAGCACCCCGTCGATGGGTACGTGACAGCGCACTCTCGTCGAACCTCTAATTACAGCGAGACGCACTGAGAGAAAAATGAGGTGCTGTTTTGGAAAAAGGAAACCTGGTTACATAACGACTCTGTGGAGTCAGCACATGTGAGAGCTTGTAAACCAAAATATCTGCTTTGGTCAAGCTTGTGGCGGACTGGGAGCTGATTGGTTTCCAGTGTGGGTGATGCAGCCTCTGATCTCACACCACAGACGGAGAGATTCAACAGAAGCAGCAGCTGGATTCTTTTCATGGCTGCTTATTAAAAAAAAGTGATGAAACGGCTCAGAAACCTTTAATGCAAAAGAAAAAAAAACTGATTCAGGATTTTCCATTTTCTCTTCATCGGTGTCTTCGTCAAGATGAAGCAGTAAGAGTTATAAAAGCGATGAAAACTTGTTGATCTAGGGCTACATCCACACGAGGGCTGTCAGGATGTCTGATTTAGTCATAAAACGTCTTCAAACTAAACCCTCATTATCAACCCGTGCGCTCACGCCTCTTTGCCCGTTCCTCCAGATACCTGACCCACACAGAGCTGTCCCCTCTGCGTGCCCCTCTCATTCCCATGGAGCATTGCACCACCCGCTTCTTCGAGCAGTGCGACGCTGACAGCGACAAATACATCGCCCTGGAGGAGTGGGCCGCCTGCTTCGGCATCAAGGACCGTGAGTATCAGACCAAAGTAGAATCGGAGATTGAGAGACGCCTGAAACTCGAGATTATTTCTGTGATTAAGTTTAAATATTGTTTCAGTGAAATTTTACATGAGCCAAAAACAAACTTTGAAAAGGTATAAACCAAGTTTTACATTCTGAACAGAAGAGACGAGCAAATCTTCAGGACTTTATTTTGTAGAAATCAATCTTTAAAATTTTGTGCATGTAAAAGACACTTCAAATATTATCGATTTATCATTTAATCCAACTGAAAAGTTTGATTTTAATGTTAAAGAATGGCAGAAACATACAATAAGATGATTTGTGTACAATAGAGATGCTTCCTTTTAGATTTTTACCAATATCCAATATTTTTAAACTCATTTTGACTGATGCTGCTATCAATTCAGATAAATATGCACCTTATTTTTAGTCTCTTCAGTAATATGATTGACCTGTTACTCTTCTTGTGGCCGTGTACTTTAAAAAAAAAAAAGAAACAGACATAAAAACAAGAGAAACAACATTTGATTTCTACTGTAAATTTATCATTTTCTCTTTATGACACTTAAAAATACTCCCATACGGTCATATTTTCTTGTTTCTGCTTATAATCATTTCAACACTCAGAATTGACCTTTTAAAGCTGCCTCAAAGACGCCCAGCTCTGCTCAGTTCCTGAAAGTCTTTTCTCATTTTAAAGCTCCTGTGAGGAACATTTAGGTTGTGCTGATTTTGGCGTCCCCTTGTGGACAGAGCAGGATGAGTCATCTCTGCCAGTTCTGCCTTTGCAAAATCATATCCAGAAAATCTATCCCGTCTCTGAGCTTCAGGCTGTTTGAGGGTTCGATAAAAACCCTGATAGGAGCTTTAATCCACTGACTGATAAACAGTGTAACCCACTTCTTCATTTTCCTGTTTTTGTTTTTTTGTCTGATATGAAAGCGAACTCTCACTGATGGATGTTTTCTCTCCGTGTTCACAGAGGACATCGACAAAGACCTCATCATCTAAGCTCCTCTGAGCAGCTGCAGCAGTTTGACAACTCCTAGTCGCTACTAACGGGACAAGGTGCTGATCCCTAAGTTAAAAATAAATCACAGTAACGGTGCTAATTGCAAATTGTTTTTGTTTTTTTTTATTTTTATTTTTAAACAATGACCTTTCCTACCTATACCACTAAAAAAGATTACAAAAGAGAGAAACGTGCACAGTCTGTACTAACCATCCTATTTTTTATAAATTCTCTTGTTTGTGGAACAAAAACACCCAGTAAAGAAAACTGAAGACCTCTGATGTAAATGTATGTTGTTGACATTATTATATATGATTTCATTTGTTCAGGGCTTTAATTGGAGATCCGTTTGAAATATTATCTCGAGGAGACAAAACTGTAAAGATGGAAATAAAGTTTCTAAATAAATGCTCCCTCTGCTTGCTTTCTACAAAAGAAATATTTAGTTTTTGCACTCTTTTGGTGGTGGGCTCTTTTATCATTGTGTGTATTTTGGTTTTTGACGACTGCTTTAAAAGCTGTTTGATGTTATTTTTCCATTCAGACTCCGTGTCCAAGACGAGGACACACGTGCTGATATTTGAAACACTAAAGAGGATATATTGTCTGGACGTTTAATAAGGGGAAAATCTCGCAGGCTGAGAGTTTTTCTCATCAATAACATGTTTCTATACTGACACTGAGAGCACAAACACACTCTTCAATGAATAAAAGACTATGAAACGACCTGGAAATCTCTGCATGCGTTCATATCTGCGTGTCTTTCTCCTGTTGCTGAGGAATTTTATGTCGAGATGATCCGACAGGTTATCAGCGTCTGTTTACGAGGACGACTTCATGCTTTGAAAAAGATAGGAGCGGGACACCGAGATATGGGAAGTGTTTTTGGAAGAAGCGAGCCTCTCGTTTATCTCATGAAGTCACTGTTTGTGTCACATGTCCTGGTCTGCTGCCTTTGTGCAGCTGCAGCTGCTTCGCTGTTGAAAGGATCCCTCGTGAGTCCAGTTTGAAACCACAAAACAGACATTATACAAGCTGAAAAACAAGTCCATTCTGCTTTTCTCACGCAGGACATTTTTTACTTTCTGTGCTTCATTTTCAACCAGATGACAGTCACTAAGATTTTGTTTTTGCTCTCTAGATTCCTCAAGATTGCTCAAGGAAAAGGAGTCGGCAAAACTCCTAAATCGTAGATGTTGCAATGCTGTGGAATCTACAAGAGCTGCACAAACTATTTTATATAACTATATCTGAATCTAACCATCTGTCAAGTGTTAAATTAACGCTCATAAAAATAGATTTTGATGCTTTGCGAATCATCTAAACCCAATATTCAACTGGAAATATTGCAACATATACCTTTTAGACGTGCCATCCTACATGTTACAGGCAGTCGTGCATCTTTACACCACCCTGGATGTTGGCCTTTTAAGAGTACACTGAGTTTAGGACGCAGCATCCATGATTTCGATAAACAATGTCAGATTAGACAGGCTCAGGTCCAGAGAAGTCACCGTCAATTCTTGATCATGTCTATTTTTCTCGTCGCATGGTGCAGTTTCAACCTACGTGTGTCGATGCAGAAACAAACCGTGTTTCTGAAGAGCCCATGTAGCTTCCCTCTTTGCAAAATCTGCATTCACTGCATGCCGACAGTGTAATTCTGCAGTTGCTTTTGAGCATTTTAAAAAGTGAACTCTAAATCTAGAGCACTAAACAGCTTTTTTTTTTTTGCAGTAAAGACAGACATACAAATTTAACATGTAATTTTCTGATCTAAACAAAACATGAGACATACATTTAAAACGTATATAGGGTCCATAAAACAAGCCATCCCAAACCAGAGGAACAGTCTGTATCAACAAAGCATAAAATCTATCTTGAGGATTAACATTACTACCCTATATGGTTTTGTGTTCAGTCCCTTTGCTGCTAAAAGTCCTATATAAAGTCCCCTGTCTGTGGGTTTGAGTTACAGTATCTGACTGATTTAAAGCTCTGGCTGCACACAGAGCCGCTCACGGTCCCCTGGGAGACAACAGAGGGAGAGATGGAGCCCCCTGTTACCATCCCTGCCTGTTCATCCAGACTCCAGAGTCAAGAATGTGAAACAACAGCCGGGTCTTGTCCACAAAAAAAGCCCTCCTCCCTCCTCCCAGCCGCAGCAGGAAAAAACCTCTTTCAGCTTCACTTCTCTCTTGGTGCCTTCAGGGGCACTGAGGGAAGAAAAAAGAGGGTGTGGTATTCTAATACATTTTTTTTTTCAACACAAGTCTTTGCTTGTGGAGCTTTGAGTGGAATAGACTTTTGTGTCCTTTCAGCTGGTTGAGAAATTAATCTCAGTTTGACCCCGACACACAACAGAACCCTGACTGTACTCTGGTTGAAGCTTGATACACCTGTTCTGGATGATGTTGCAGACAACCTTCAATCATAAAGAAAAAACTGTGATTGAAAATTATTATTCCATTCACAGTTTGGATTCCCAGACAGGTATGTAAGTCTATCCCTGAGGGACCCTGACAGCCCCAGAATCACAGTAGAATTGACTTCTGAGTAAACTCTATGCATATGTTTGCAAGTTTACAAGTTTTTCAGCAGCTAGAATCAACAGGGCTCAGAGGGAGGTTCTGCGTTCCTTTTTAATGTTTGTGTTTAATTTTACTCGTGCGTATTGCAAAACATTTCTGGTCCTAATCCAGAACCACAAAAAGGGACATTCCGGCATAAAATCGAGTTAGAGTCAAACACACCGTAACACCAAGTTCCACAGACCTGACACTGTGTTTTGAAAAGTCTGGAGACTATTAAGGATAATCAAGGTTAAAGGGGTATTCCGGCGCAAAATCAAGTTAGGGTCAAACACACCTTAACACCGAGTTAGACACCCCCTCAAGAGATGAATGTTGTCGACCGCTTCCTTCTCTAGTTATACCAACTTTAGTAACCACCACAGGATAGTAATAGAGAGAGCCACGCTTAACCAAAACTCCACTCTATAGCCACAAATAATGCTCAGAAGAGCACCTAACTTCATCAACAGGACATATAGGGTCACAGCCATAGTACTAGCCACCAAACATCTTTTTAGCTTTGACTAATTTCTTTAGCAAAGAGACTAAACACAACTCACCTACTCTCTTCCAGCAGCCACTTGTTTGTAGCGAGACCTCAGGCCAGTCCATTACGGACTGCTACGGGGTTTCACAGCTCAAGGAAGAACATTTCTGATCATTTCTTTATCATTTCCTTTAAGTAATAATCATCATATTAATCATTTTGCACTGCAGACGCGGTAGTTCTTCTGCCTTAGCTTTGAGTAGAATTGAAACATTTTTACAAAGGCACTGTCACCTTCAGGAGAAGAAACACATTTTGGCCAAGGCTGCGCTGCTAAAGAAGTGCAGCTAAAATCGATGAGAAATCACAGCCAGTGCACAAACAGGAGGATGAAAAACTCCAGGAGACGGTTTCTACACCCAATTCAAACATGTCTGCCTTTTGATACGACAAACCTGCACGTCTAATGATGGCTGTGTGAGGGCATGATGGAAGAACATTTATGATTATTTCTTCATGGAAATACAATCAGACCGAGACGCTAAGGCAGAAGTTAAGAGTCCAACTGTGCAGTCACATCACTTTTTAAGGTTGAGTTAAAGGGATATTGCGGTGTAAAATTAATTTAGAGTCAAACACACCGTAACACTGAGTTTGACACTGCGTCTGCAGAGCAAAAGGATTAATATGGTGATTATAACTTCAAGGAAATGATAAAGAAATGATCATAAATGTTCTTCCTTGAGCTGCGTCACCCCGCTGTAGTCCCTAATGGACTGGCCTGAGGTCTCGCAACAAACAAGCAGCTGGAAGAGAGTAGGTGAGTTGTGTTTAGTCTCTTTGCTAAAGAAATTAGTCAAAGCTAAAAAGATGTTTGGTGTCTAGTACTATGGCTGGGACCCTATATGTCCTGTTGATGAAGTTAGGTGCTGTTCTGAACATTATTTGTGGCTATAGAGTGGCGTTTTGGTTGAGGTTTGTTTATGGCTCCTCAGACCGCTGTGTATTACTATCCTGCGGTCGTTACCAAAGTTGGTATAACTAGAGAAGCAAGTGGTCAACAACACTCATCTCTTGAGGGGGTGTCTAACTCGGGGTTACAGTGTGTTTGACCCTAAATAAAATTTACACCGGAATATTCCTTTAACCTAGATTATCCTAAATAGTCTCCAGACTCTTTAAAACACAGTATCAGGTTTGTGGAGCCTTTATTCCATCAGAATAAATGCAAAACAATCCGAGTTTACTGTTTTATTCATCGTTCTTACTCCAGAACTGCCACACTTAGACTCTGTGTGTTTATATGATGCACAAACTCAGTCAAACTAAATAAAAACATTGATAATTTGATGAGTCATCTGGTGTAAATAAAACCATTTTTAAGGTCAGATACAGCTTTGTCGCCCCCATGCGGTCACTCCACTCCAGTGCAGGCCTCGTCGGGGAAGCCGGTCAATGAAACCAACGCACCCGCTGAAGAAATTCAGGTACAGGCAGAACCCTCCGGGATTGGCTGAAATTTAAGGGGTAATGGAATACCGATAGACGATTGGTAGGTGAATCAGGAGGCTTGAATCTGATTGGCTGTCGTGTGGAAAAGGGCGGGATGTCATGTTGGGTTGCGCCGCTGAAACCGGTAAGCGAGCACTCCAGCACGTTGTGAAGCCGCTCTCGTTCGTGGCTGCTCGTGAGGTGATTCAGAGAAATCACTCGTTTCTAAATCTACATTTTTTGATAATTGACCCACTGGTAAGTCATTCCCCCCCTCTTTAATTGATTTTTTATGATTTCCTGTTAAATCGTCGTGTTTTCTGTTCTGTGTGTAGTAACAGAGTCGCTTTCAGGACTCCGTCTAAATCGTGGTGGGCGCTTCTTAGCTGTTAGCTACTTTTAGCCGTAGCCCGGTGGATTCGGTAACTTCTCTGAAATGAACAATGTATTTTTCGCTGAATCGTGTTATATTAACTGCATATGTTGTAATTGGCTTCATTTGGCTCCAATTTTGGAACATAACTTTCACTATTATTTTAAGTCATATTCAGTTTGGGTTTCCAGGAAATAGTCAGCACCGTCCATGTAGCTCACTGGTAGCTCTCATTCAGTCGTGACTCGTTTTCTGTAAACTGTTCCCTCCATTTTAATATTTTATATAACTTATACTTACATGGACGGACTGGGGGGGTACCCGTGGTCGGATGGGGTGACAGGTACGGCAGAGGACGGGGGGACCAGGGCACGTGTCGGGGTTGCTCCTAAACCCGAGCTCTCTGCCCTGGTTTGGGGGCCGTGTGCTCGACCAGCTGTCGTGGGTTCAGGGCCTGATAGAGAGCCATTTGAAACCCTGTCTTATATCTGGAAGTTGTCGGTGTACTGTCACAGACTCTCGCTGGCTGTTGGAGCCGCTGTACCGGTTGTTGGTGAGAGTAAAGGCCGGTTTTAGGCACCGACACTGCGGGCACGGCGTGGCCTTTGTCTGCGTGCCATGCTCCCACTCCTGGTCGTGGCTCCTGCTGCTGCTGCGTGTCTCAGACTGTTTTTCACGGGCTTAACATGTTAAATAAAAAGGATGAACGAATCTAAAACTGACCTCAAATGAGTCTGAAGTAGGTCTGGCAAAAAAAATGATCTCGATATATTTTGTCGTATCGTCCGATCTCGATTATTATCACGATTTTTTTTTACATTGTCAGTTTTAAATTATCTTTACGAAAAACTAAAGAAACTAGAGATCAGTTCAACATTTTATTAACATAGAAGTAAAAAACAAAGAATAAGATGCACAGAAAAATATAAAAACAATTTGAACTCAACAGAACAACAAATAAAGATAAATACTTGATAATACAGTGAACTAGTTTACAGTCCTGAGTGTTTTTGCAGGTACGCAAGACCCAAAATAAACAAATCACCTCCTCAGGGATAATAAAGACGTCTTAAACCGTAAACTTTGGTGATGGAAAGGTAGATAATACCACTGATTGATTGCTGCTTTGCTCTGGTGGCTGTACCGCTAGTTGTGGCTAAACTGCTAATGCTACTCGTACTGTCAGCAATAACAGGGCGTACAGACTCCGCTCGACAGGATCATCTTTTATTGAGCTATTTTGGTGGGGTTGGGTTGGGGTAGACTAGGGTTTTCTTCGTTTCTTTTTATTCCTCTGCAAGGTAAAGCACTTTGTACTACATCATTTTCGTATGAAAAGTGCTTTACAAATAAAGACTTGATATCAGCATCAGCCCTCGTAAGGCCCGGATCACCCACAGAGAAAAACCTATTTTTTTCTTTATCCAATCAAAGGATATCAAACCCAAAACAGCCTCTGACTAACTCAGTATTGATGTATAGATTAATTAAGTTTAATATCACTTCAGTTAAGCAAATTTGTTTCCCATTTCAGTGTTATCACATTGTTATATTTTGTCAAATGCAGTACAAAAAAACAATGAGATTGCAGCTTTAGATAATGGCTGTCCTACTTTCATAACCAGTTATCTGCCGGTATCGACCACAGAAATCCTTAAGTCGCTTGACTTCAAAACTTTGAATTAGATGCTAACTCTGGCATCATGTAAAATATCTCCTTCTCCCCCTTTTGAACATTTAGTCATTACTTTGTGATTCTGTCAAGTTTAAGTCCCTCTTGGTATGAGCTGGTGAAACCAGTTCTAGTGCACCCCAGGGTGTTGGGTCCCTCCACATTAGGCATTAGGTGTTTAAGCTCAGTGTGTGTATCAGTTAATGTTTGCCGGTTGAGTGTTGGTTGCTTCGTGTGTGCCGGAGCAACAGATGGCTCTGTTGCGTGGACAGGTGCTGCAGACAGTTCATTAAGGAAAGCACTTGTTCCCTCAGTTGCAGAGAGTTTGTGCATGTTCAAACTCGCCTTTCACTAATCACTTATTCAGCTGCTGCACTCAGTTCTTCCTTGTTCACGGTCTGGACACCAAGTTTAATTGCAGGGGTTGCAGGTTCAGTTTGTTAATTTTGGTTTGAACCCCAAAGAGTAAAAAGTAAACATATTTACTGATGATTGAGCAACATTGAAGCTGTTTTTGCCTTGGATTAAAGGGATATTCCGGCGCAAAATTAATTAAGGGTCAAACACACCGTAACACTGAGTTAGACACCCCCTCCAGAGATGAATGTTGTCAACTGTTTGCTTCTCTAGTTATACCAACTTTAGTAATGACCGCAAGATAGCAATACAGAGAGCCACGCCCTCAACCAAAACGCCACTCTTTAGCCACAAATAATGCTCAGAACAGCACCTAACTTCATCAACAGGACATATAGGATCACAGACATAGTACTAGACACCAAACATCTTTTAAACTTTGACTCATTTCTTTAGCAAAGAGACTAAACACAACTCACCTGCTCTCTTCCAGCAGCCGCTTGTTTGTAGCGAGACCTCAGGCCAGTCCATTACGGACTATGGCGGGGTGACGCAGCTCAAGGAAGAACATTTATGATCAATAATCATCATGTTAATCATTTTGTACTGCAGACGAGGTAGTTCTTCTGCCTTAACGTCTCGGTCTGATTGTACCTCCATGAAGAAATGATCATAAATGTTCTTCCATCATGCCCTCACACAGCCATCGTTAGAGGTGCAGGTTTGCCGTATCAAAAGGCAGACATGTTTGAATCGAGTGTAGAAACCTTCTCCTGGAGTTTTTCATCCTCCTGTTTGTCCACTGGCTGTGATTTCGCATCGACTTTAGCTGCACTTCTTGAGCAGCGCAGCCTTGGTGTTTCTTCTCCTGAAGGTGGCAGTGCTTTTGTAAAAGTATCTCAATTCTGCTCATATCAACTCCAGTCCATGCACATTAAACAGATGAGGATTTTTGCTGATAACATTGAATATTGATATCAGCTCTGTAATCATGATTCACCCGCTCTTAGATCGCATGTGGTCAAATTCGAGTCAGTGTCGTGTTGAGTTCAAAGAGCTGCTGCCTGCAACATGCTTCACCAGAGCAGTTCATCAAACCTGACAGGCATGCAGGCACCGTGTGTTCAAATATCGCTTACATGTAATGACAATAAGAGTCGTTTTCTCCGCGTCATACATGTAGACAGGAAGTGCAGAAGAATGTGGATCTGTTTAGGCACGCTTCAGCGTTTTTAAGTGTGGTTGCGTTTGACTCCACGGTTACACTTGAAAAATATTCACCTCAGGGGGAAATCAGTGAAGGAAGCAGCAGCAGCTGTTTGAAGCAGAAGACGCCAAAAATCTGTGTTCCTGTATTTTAGTACGTGTGGTGTGGTTTTTAAGTTTCAACACATTACACTTGATTCTGAAAACGACATGCCGCCTCTGTCTGAAACACAATGCTCGGTGGTCTATTCAGATTTCGTTCCTAAATAAAGATGTGGCTCAGGGGACATTCAGGTCTGGAAAGAGTCCAATTTCTGCCCCTTTCAGACGGTTTAATCCGTGGTATTAGCCTTAAAAGGGAATCCAGCGAAGTAGAGCCCCCTAAATAACTGCTAACCAGATAAAGAAGTTGGTAATTTAACAAATTTGTCACTTTATGCCTGTTTGTGTTTGTGGAGGCGCTTCAGTCTCAGTCAGTGACAATCAGAGTCGATGGAAAAACTAAACTAATGATGGTGTCTTTACTTTTTAGTCAATTTTTAATGGGCGAGTACTTCCAGACTGTAACATTAAGAGTCTGACCCGTATCTACACTCTCTAAATGTGCATTTTAGAGGGTGGGAAAAGGGCAGAGGAGGAATCAGTGCAGTCAAAATGGCATTCAGGTTCAGTGACGGTTCAGATTTAGATTTTATCCACTTGGTATGAAAACAAACAGCAAATGTCTGCGATGCTTTTCTATGCCCTAGTGGGCTGTTCTCATGTCGATGCACCCAGACGGGGCATTAAACACTCGTCAGTTATGTGGATATTTAACACACTTCTCAGGCTGCCGGCCTTCACACGGTGCGGGAAACTCGATCAAAAGGGCGCCTGTAACACTGTGAGGCGCATACTGATCTAAAAACAAAGGTTATGTCCACCTTTGATAGTTTGTCGGATTGGATCTGAGTGACATCCATGATGTAGTGATGAAGCGTGGTGAAAGGTCGTGATAATAACCGATCCAGGGCTTGACATTAACTTTTTTCACAAGGAGCACATGTGATCCTAAGTGGAGAAAGTAAGGAGCACAAGAAGAACTTTAGGGACACAAGAAAATTGATCAAATAATGTTTGTCTTATTGGTCGACTAAAGTGCTATTATTTTAAATCAATTTTAGGTCAGTTGGTCACATGACATGGAAGCGATCGAAAGAAAACAGCCTTTTTCTGAGAACATCAACTGGTAATTTATTGACGGTCCCTTATTCAACACCCGACCTTGACAGCGAGGGTGCTGAGTAGATTTAACCGCGCTGCTGTTGTTATTCCTGGTTATGAAGAGTTTTAGAAGATACCTCTGCAGTGAGCGTCCGTCGGATATCGAACCTAAAACTAACTTCACCGCCTTTTACATGAAAAAACACGTGTTGCCTCGGCTAATTTTTTTTATGTGCACATGTGCTCCTAAATACATTTTACAATTCTCACACATCTATTTTTAGTGGCAAATGCGAGTGAAACGGTCGAACTGTCGAGCCCTGCGGTCTAAAATCAGCGCTGAAAGCTTGCGTTTGGTCGGTCATATAAACCTTTGATTGAGCTGAATGGTGGTTGATTAGTAATGTCTGCTAAGAGGTCAGAAGTGCTTCTTCAGAGGCATCATTGTTCAACCAACAATCGCTGTATGATCCGTCTTTTTAAGGGAAGTGTGGCGGCCTCAGCGATGATTTGCTCTTGATTAAACTGAAGGATTGCACTGATTGAGCTTTTGTTCGGTCCTCATATCTAACCCTTCAGCGTCTCCTCCTTTTTTCTCTGCAGAGATTTCCAGTTGACCAAAGAAATGGTGATGGAGAAGCCAAGTGCCCAGCTGGTCGGGCGAGAGTTTGTCCGACAGTATTACACACTCCTGAACCAGGCCCCTGACTACCTGCACAGGTATCCCCTCTGTTCATTTCCACACACTCTGTTGTCTTCAGTGCAGCATCATCATCGTCAAATACATCTTATTTAACCTCTTTGTCTCTCCGCTCAGGTTTTATGGAAAGAACTCCTCCTACGTTCACGGCGGCCTGGACAACAACGGCAAACCGGTCGAGGCCGTGTACGGACAGTCTGTAAGTGGGCTCATCCAGCAGATAACAACTCTTCAAATTGTTTTTTCAATTTTCAACTCCCACACGCACTGACACAATGAGAGGGGGAAAAAACTGGAGAGCTGAAAGGAAAATAACTCTCCTGCAGTTGTTGAGTCCAAAAGGAGAGCAGAGAGAACACCGGGCTGACAGTCTTTCCCCGTAAAACCCGAGTTTATCTCATCAAACCTCTTGAATCAGAAATGCTGAGAATCACGACGCCTCCATCCTGACATTAATGCACATAAATTGAATGTGATAAGACTTCCATATATCTGCAGATGGTTCATCATTTCACTCTGAATTAATCAGTCAGTTCATCGCCGTTCCTTAAAGACCAGAGCAAGCTCTTTGAGTCCGATTCATGATCCAGAATCTACAAAAAGAGGTAAAGCTGATCCGGCGTACAGTAATCCTGCGAACCAGATTCCAGAGTGCTGAGTCAGCCTATTAGACTGGCGAGAGCACATTCCTCCTGGTTGACCTTGTAACTTGAACCCCTCACCTTAGTCAACCTCAGATTCCAGAGCATTAAAACTGTCCTGTAAAAATCCTCACACGGTCCAGAGCAGGTTTAGGAAAGGGAGCGACTTGGCGGTATGAGAGTTTTTCTGAGCGGTCTCACAGAGCGCAGAACGATCAGGACGAATGTTCACGACAGGAGAGCGAATCGAACGACTCGAAAACGGACAAAAGTCAAAGTTTTAATAAAGTTTTCATTTCCGCTCTTTTTGCAGGAGATCCATAAGAGGGTGATGGCTCTGAGTTTCCGCGATTGTCACACTAAGATCCGACACGTGGACGCTCACGCCACCCTGAACGAGGGCGTGGTGGTGCAGGTGATGGGCGAGCTGTCCAACAACATGCAGCCCATGAGGAAGTTCATGCAGACCTTTGTGCTGGCCCCTGAGGTGTGTTATAAAAACCAAGAATCCGTCTGATCTGGATCAAGATGTTTCTGTGTTTTAAAGTTTTTCTTTTCTTCTTTCAGGGAACCGTGGCAAATAAATTCTACGTCCACAACGACGTGTTTCGTTACCAAGACGAGGTGTTCGCTGACTCTGACTCTGAGCCCCCTGAAGGTGAGAAAAAACGTCCCTCTGTCTGCAAAACTGTGACATCTTAGTCTGGTTCATTGGACTTCTGTGCACATGCGAAACAAAGTGGATAAAGTTTCTGTTGGTCTTAAAATGACATGTCATGTAATTTTGAATAATCCTTTTTTTTGTGTTTTCAGAGTCTGAGGATGAGGTGGAGGAGATCGAGGAGAGGGTTCCCTCCCCTGACGTCGCTCCAGAGGAGTCCGCTCCTTTCTACGACCCAGCAGCCTGGTATGGATCACTGGATTCATGTTTGTTTGTTTTATTCTGTTTATAATAATACTTTTAAGGAAAGATACCGATAGATAATATAATTTACATCAAACCAGATTAATTGAATATGCTTTGCTGTGCTACTTGTTCTATGAGGACAATTTAGTGCCATTTGAGCCGCTTTGTTTTGTTTTATTTGTAGTTTGTGTAAATTACTTTGTGTTGTGTTTGACCAGACTACTGCACTTTATTCTAAGTGTGAAAGCACTTATGGGGGTCTTTAGGGTCTTGGTTTAGTATTCAGTGGAGATTTTTCTGAAATGTTCAGATTTTTCCAACTCTAAAGAGAAAACGTACGACTGAAACGGGGGTTATAATGTGCGAAGAGAGGACGTTTTAAAGACGTCTGAAACCTGCTTTAGCCGAGAGATTCCAGTTTTTTGGTCTGGTGCCGATCATATCCCAAATATCGACAGTCTGGACTCCAAAAAGCAACTACAACGGGGAATAGGGAGCGCAGCGGATTTCAAAGAAACCAATTTCTCTTAAAAGCCACCAAACTCATTTTTACAGAGACACAAACTCGACCTGCTGAGATTTTCTTTTGTTAAGTTTGTGATGACTACTTTTTCTCAGTGACCTTTTCTCCTGATGGGATCAAGATGATAACTAAAAACAAGACTGGGGACAATAAAACAAGAATGAAATCCTGAAGGTACAAAGACCGAAACCTTCAGCAGCAACAGAGTCCCGTCAGAACTGAAAGGACTCTTCGTCGACTAGAATCGACTGAAATGTTTCAAGTTTTCATGGACCCATGACAGCCAGAAAAACCGCTTTTTTCTCTTATATGAGGTCCATCTAAAACAAAGAGTACAGCCTGAGTTTGCTGCTCACATGTGTCTGCTCTAAAAGGAAACACTGAAGCCTGATTCTTATTATTCTGCTTGATTAAATGTTAAATTTGATCTTTGTTCATGCAGCTGCTCCTCAAAAGAAAATGTTAAATATTTCTTATTTCAATTGTCATCATAACTGAGCTGTGTTCTTGCTTTCTTGCAAAGCAGCAACAGATTTGCGTGTAACCTCGTCTCGCTTGTTCCCTTTTAGTCCAGAGCCAACAGTTCCTGGTGATGAAGAGGAGGCTGCAGCGGCGAGTCCAGAACCAGAGCCAGAGGTGGAGAAGGAAGCCGAGGCGGCAGTCGTGGAGCTGAAGCCGGAGTCGATGCTGGAGACGCAAACAGACACGCACACGCCCGAAGACCCCACAGAGAAAAGCCCCGCCGCCGCCCCGCCCACCGCAGAGCCCGCCGCTGCACCCGCCGAACCCGCCCCTGCTGCTCCAGAGGAAAACAGGGTGAGTCTGAACACGAGGGAGAACCACAAGAATGTGAGATATTGCTTCTTTAGGTTCGTGTAATCAAATCAGATATAAGGAGATTTAATAATTCAGAGACGGAGACAGGGGTGAAAATGGAAGTGTAGGTGTCGCAATTTCCCGTAAAAGCAGCAGCGAAGGGAGAAAACATGTAATATGTGCAGATAACATCTCGTTTTACTCATTTCTCTGATGCTTCAGATCAAAAATGTAGTTGTGGTGCATTATGGGAGGAGAAAACTCCTGAGAGGGTTTTTGTAGATGCTTTATGACCGAGACGTTCTTGAAATGAATCAGGATTCGTCCAGATTTGACTGATCTCAGTGTGAGGCGTAACTTCTCATCAGATATGTGTGTGTTGATGTACATGCTGAGTGTTTCCTGTCCTCCTTCGTCTCCTCCACAGCCTTTCTCCTGGGCGTCGGTCACCAGTAAGAACCTCCCTCCCAGCGGGGCTGTCCCAGTCTTAGGAATCTCCCCACACGTCGTCAAAGCCACTCCCACAGCAGCGGTAGGTTTGCCCGTGTATATTCCCCGATTCGATTTAGAGGTGCAGAACCTGACGACATGTTAGGAAGGTCATACGTCTGAAAACAGTCCAGAGGTAGAAAAACAAATCGAGTAGGAGATGTGAGAAGGTGGATTTGTGTGAAGTGCTGTGTGTGTTTTGTGGCAGCAGGTGTCACTGTTTTAAAACCATCGAGTTCCCAGCCTGGACTCTCCTCTGTTATGTAAAGACAGATGGATGTGCTGAGGATGAACTCGGAGAAAAGATTGTGGTTTTGGGCGCCTGATTGTTTCCTCTGAGGGCAGCAGGACTCAAACATTCCCCGCTCACTGTGGCTTTGTGCCGTGATATCAGAAAAACAAAAAACAGCTGACTCTGGACTTTTCTTCTTCTCAAACTTTGTGCTGTTGACTCTCGCAGCCCAGAGCAGAGGTGAAGCCAGAATCCCAAACAGCAACACAGAGACCACAGAGAGACCAGAGACCGAGGGAACAGAGGCCTGGAGGTCCTCCACCGGTACACAGAGGACCCAGACCAGGTACGCACGCTCGCATGCGGCACATAAACAGTATATACTGCGGTTTAATAGCCTCTGAACAGATTTAACAAGCAGCCGCTCTGACAGGCATGAGGCCGCGAGTATAAACCGAACATAATCAAATGTGAAGTGTGCTGTTGAACGCGGCACAAAAGCTCGAGTGTGATCTCTCTGTGGCTGCAGGTGTGTTCAGAGACTCCTCTCAAAACATGTCAGCTTTAAAACTTATTTTGTTTTTTATAAAAGTATTTTGCAAAATGGTTTATCCACACTAAACTGAATACACAGTTCACTCAGTCAGCTTATTGAACTTTCTGAAAAAGATCTTTTTTTTTTTTCAGTCCGGGAAGGTGAGCAGGGGGAGTCAGAGGGCCGCAGGGTGATCCGGTACCCCGACGCCCACCAGCTCTTCGTGGGGAACGTCCCTCATGACGTGGACAAGACCGAGCTGAAGGAGTTCTTTGAACGTGAGTCAGATTGAGTGATTCAGAGTCTAAATACCTGTATGGTTTCTTCTTTTTAGTGTTCATTTTTTAACACTTACCTGGTTTGTCCTGAAGCATCAATTTTAAAAACATGAAATGTCAAATTCAACACTTTTTCCTGCTTGTCTGAAGGATGAGCCTCAAACTCTTTTCAGACTAAGAAAGATACAAATTTCACAAGAACAGGATCCAGTTTTTGCTCAAACTTGACATCCTCATATTGACAGATTCTGATTTATACACGACTTTTCTTTTCAAGCATTGATCACTGAGTTTCTCCTGTACTAGAATGAACCTGAGTTTATATTCTGACCAGGTATTTGTCTTGAAAACATCACTAACAACATTTGACATTCAATATTATTTCTGCTGTTTTAATTTAAAGCCTAAAACAAACAGGATCCGTGTCGAGCGTGTTCTGTCAGCGTCGCAGCATCACATACAGGACGTGTCGCAGCTCTGTCTCAGAAGCGCGTCGAGTGCAGCTCTGCTAAAGATTCGCGCCGAGTCTATTTTCTCTACGCTTCCAACACGCGTCAGTCTACTCAGAGAAGATAGTTCTAGACAGGAAGTCAAGCACGAAAACTGTGAACGTCATCTGATTTTTCAAAGTAAAACACCGTAAGTGAACTCCTGACTGTGTATCAGTTGGTTCAGATGAAAAATACTTCCTGGTTCTGGATTTATCAGTAACACAGAACAATCCGATGGTCAATCCCTGATCCATGTGGACCCCAACAGAACTTTGACCTGCTAACTCTGTCTGAAGGTAACAGCATAAAGGAACAGAGTTTACTTTATTAAACACGAGTAAACCTGCAAAAACTGAAACTTTAAAATCACTTAAAGCTTTTTCACAGACAGTAGAGGCTCAACAGTCACTGAATTACATCCAAATTATCAGGAAATCGACCACAGAAAGAAAAAACAACCTGTTGTGAGCCTGTTGTTTCCTCTATACTGAGCCCAGCTGACCGGGGCTGAACTCCACCGCTCCAAATACGCTGATCCTGTGGGTGATAGACAGCGCTGCTCTAAGGAGCAGAGACGCGACGTTGACTGAACGCGCTCGACACGGATCCTGTTTGTTTTCGGCTCAACACTCCAGTAAGAAGAAGAAGTAAAAGTAGAAGCTGCTTGTGTGATAAATAAAAGGTCTCCCCCCGTTCACACAGAGTATGGTACAGTCCTGGAGCTGAGGATTAACAGCGGAGGGAAGCTTCCAAACTTCGGGTTCGTTGTGTTTGACGACTCTGAACCTGTACAGAAAATCCTCAGTAACAGGGTAAGGACACTGTTTCTGATTATCTCGACCTGAGTGAGAATCTGTCTTTCTTTTTAATTTGCTAAGATACCTGTTATTTCAGTTACTGTTATTTTCAGGGCTGTATTAGTTTGTATAGGGTTTTAATTTCAAACATTCAACATCCTCACCCGTTAATCCTCGACGTCTCTCCCAAACAGCCCATCAAGTTCAGAGGAGACGTCCGCCTGAATGTGGAGGAGAAGAAGACTCGGTCCGCCAGGGAGGGCGACAGGAGGGACGTGAGGCCTCGGGGTCCAGGAGGTCCCGGTGGACCCAGAGAGCGAATAGGAGGTGGCGGTGGACCTCGAGGCCCCCCGACTCGTGGAGGCATGGCACAGAAACCCAGCTTCGGCTCCGGACGGGGCGCCGGACCCAGTGATGGGCGCTACTCCGCCCAGCGCCAGTGAGGCACCTGGGCACCAAACCTGAGTGTGATTACTGTTCAGATCAAACTCACGTCTGAATCGATTGGAAAAGCTAAAATTGAACCCAAAGCCCTTCTCTTCATGTCACACAGGAGACAGAATAAGCAGGATGTCTTTATTTAAAGTCCGAATTCTGGTGTTTAAACACACAAACGCTGTTTTCCGACGTCTTTCCTCCTCATTCTGCCTCCTGAGTATTTCGAAGGGGTTTCTGTTTGTAATCGGCGCAGGTTTGGTCGAGAGCTTTCAACGTCAAGTCACGCCAGCTCCTGCTGAATTCAACAGCCAGTCTCGACTTCTGCCTCTCATGAAGACGGCTGCCTCCTCTTCCTCCCTGAGCTCCCTTCACCCACGCCTGATTCTTCTTCTTCTTCTTTCTCACCTGCTGCTTTTTGTTCCCTCTGAGGAATCCAGAATGTCACTCCTCCTCCTCCTCTTTTCTTTCCTCCTCTTTGTCACCTCCTCCTCCTCCTCCTCCACCAACACACGTATTATTACCTGGACTTTGTTTTGGTCATTTTTATTTTGTTTTTCATGCTGAACTTGAATTTATTAAGAAGCAAACCGTAACACACAAACACATGAGAAAAAGGGTAAATACTACTTGAATTGGGGATTAAAAAACCCAGAGGTTAGGTTTTTTTCGCGTTCTCTCTCCCTGTTTCTTAAAGGAACGTGTACTTTACTGCTTGGGCAATCCTGTGTATTGCTGCCACCGTTGTATCTAGCGATGGATCTGTCTTATCTTTTTATTCTATCAGGTCAAGAGCTGAACTGTAGTGGTTTTATTTGAGTAAAAATGTTGGCTTGTGAAATGTGGATTCACGGACGCGTCTGAATGGAGCATGTATCAAATCATGTATCAAATCCTGTTAAGGCTTCTACTACCGATGCACTTCATTTGTCATCATGTTTAAAACGAACTCACCTGCCGATGAGAGAACTAAATTAAAAGTGATTTACTGTTTTAAAACTTGGGCCTGTTTGATCTTGTTTGACTGCGCAGGATGGATCCACTTCACTTTTCCAGTGACTAAAACACTTTTATGACACGATTGTTTGTCATGCTTTTATTTTAATACTTTCTGTCATGTGTTTAGGTTGCTGTATAAGAAAGTTATACTTAAGTGATCCCGAGACAGAAAACTAGGATCACAATAAAAGTAGAAAAAAATGGAAACTACAAAATAAAAGAATATGGGAAGGAGTGATATGTGCAACTGTTATTGGTATTATGCAACTCTCACTGGTAAGGTGACAAATGCATTTAAGTATAATGTAAAAACTGTGATACATATTTAATAGGACTTAAAAGGATTGTTAAACTGCCCTTATTTTGAAAACCAACAGCTTACAAATATCGTGATTTTGCGATATTTATGGAAAACAAAAATCAATCAGTATGAGGTAGAGCTACCAGTTACCTCAAACTTGATAAATTGAAAAAGGTTGTTTTTCATGCTTTTAATTTGGCAGTTCATCTATCTGTTAAAGCCAATCATACTTTTATTTTGAAATGTGCTTATTCAATTAGCGAAGTAAATGAAAACTGTTACATGGTCACTAAGTTAGTATAAGTGTCCAATTTAAACTTACTAACGTTGTTTTTGGATTCACAGGAATGTGTGAGTGTCGGTTTTTAAAAGTGCTGAGTCACCACTCCGAGATGTCTGCTTAAGTTAGCTCGCTTGCTAACGCTACGTGATCATCGCTCTTTCGTTTGAGTGTATGTAGCAGCTTCGGTCACCTATTTTTAGCGTGATTTTCTTAGTGACGACGGTTACTGTTGTTACTGACCTGTGTGAACCCCCCACCTCACGCGAAATTTTGGGAAGATAGTCCGCTTCTGAGATTGACAGGCGGATCGGCGGCTGGGTGGCGTCATCACCGAAAATAAAAGTGTGTAATAACTTAAAAACCATAGCAGTACAAACGAAGCAGACTATTTTCCTGAAATTTTGCATAGGGTGGGGGGCCAGCTTCACGCAGGTTTAATACCGGTATGTTTTATCATCCCTTGTCTCAGAATAATTGAGTGTCATAAAAAAGGTTAATGCTTTTAAGATTCAGACAGCTTTATAAATGTAAGTGTGAGTTTGGATACGTCTGTACTCTTTAAGCGGCTATTTTGGAGAGGTTTGAGGCATCAAGTTTGCTTTGAGTAGCAAAGGTCTACATTTTTGGTTGTGAAAATAGTTCATATATGTATGACGCCCACATTGCTCTCAGATGGTGGATCATTCATATCCAGTAAAACTTGAAAACTTCTGTCTGTGAGCTGAATAATCATCCGAGCTCTGGTCTGTTGGTAAAGCAGTCACGTCTCAGCTCATGTAGGATCCACTAAAGTCCTGATTTCCCTGATTTAATAGCCCTGCAGGGTATGTTTAAAGTGGTTTTTCTGCATGACAGGGGAGCTGCATATCCAATAATCAGGACAGTCTCTGAATACACGATCAGCCTGTCCAAAGAGGAGTGTCTTACAGATATAATGTGGTGAGTTTGATCTGTTCTCCTGACATTTGACTGAACCTCTGCTGATTGCTGAATCGCTGGTTTTGAGTTGATCTGAATGACTTCAGCTGTTTAATGAAAGATTATACTTTTGTCTTTTTCACAGATGATCAAAAAATGACTCTCACCTCGAGGTAATTATCCACCAAAATCATTGTTCCTTCACTTGCAGGGCTTCCATTTCTCAGATGGAATAAAAATGAAATATCTAAGAAATATAGTGGCTGCAAAAACTTTATTTTTCGTCTGTTTCAAAGTCAAACAGGAGAGAAAACAAAACTCAGAAATTGATCTGCTCAGAGAATTTTTATTTCTCTCTTTCCTCTCAGGGTTGTTGAGCTGAGCCCACTTTATATCCCTGTTATATTTAACTTCTTGTTTGATTGTTGGGATATGAATTATTGACGACTAGAGCTTGGAGTTGCACATTTCATATCTCTTGTCACTAAACTCATTTAAAAGTTGTGCTTTGGAGTATTAGACTCGGTATGACTTTGACTCAGGTGTGTTTATGTGCAAACGACTGCCTACCCCACCTTTAATCTACTTTTTGATGATATTCCACATGAGCAGACTGTAACACCGGGTCTTTGTTTGGCTCAAGGACGTGTTCCCCATAATGGACTCATTAGTGCCGCAGGTTTTCAGCCTGTGACCTCAGAGTTAGGGTGCAGTCTGTGTGGACACATGGCTACCTTGTACACACACAGACACACACTACATCCTTGTGTGCGTATCGGTGTGTGTGCAGCTCCCCTGCTGCGTTCTGACACATCATTAGTAGTCCCGGACTAACATGGCTTCCAGCATGTTCTGGTCCAGCTGGCAGCAAGACCCCGAGCATGGAGTGTGTTAACCCACACGCACTCGGACATATTTGTCCTGTTTTTGTCTGCTGTTTCATTAAATGTCCCCGTCCTCAGTTGCAGACCTTTTCAAAACTCCATTATGCATAACTGACCTTATTAAAGCAGAGTCTGGACAAAATAGCCCTCCTCTTCAGATATACTCTGAGTCTACCCTCAAAGTCTCTGAGTGAAGCGACAAGTCCCTGTCAAGTCTCTGATAGTGTCAATAAATAAACAAAATACAAATCCAAGTGCAGTCGATTAAAGTGACTCAAAATCTGTGTTCAAGAAAAAGGAAATGTGACGCAGTGGGAAAATTAATAATAGTAATTATTACGAACCCGTTTCTATGGCGATCATGGTCCTATAGTGCGATCTCCACAAAGTGAAGAGAAAAAAGAACGGAAAAAACTGTTTACCCATCAGGTGCAGGGCTCCAAAAACATTGACCAATGGGAGCCATTCGTCCTGGACGCGAAATGTTGTTTTTTAGGATAGTGGGGTAAGGTCCCGCCCTCCTTCGCCTCTGATTGGCTAGAAGTGCTGGGCTCTAATTGGTTATTCCTAATGGCTGTGAAACATCATCTTTCCGGTTAGGATTAGAAAGAGGGTTAGGAGATTCAGAAGTGCCATAATGTTCTGATCGATGTAGAGCTGACAGCCCGAATTTGGCCTGTGATGACGTTTCCAGCTTTTTTAGCCAATCAGAGGCGAAGGAGGCTTTTATTGTGGCTCATGTTACATAAATCACTTTTATTAGTCTCTGACATGTCAACACGGTAGCTGTCCAGGCAGCTGCAGACGGCGCTCGCTAGCAGAGCTGGCGTTTTCTGCCGCTAGTCACTAACAATCCGACATGGTGAATCCTATTTGAAGCCAGTGTAGGATCTTCTGTCAGGCCGACTGCTTGCTCTGCCAGAGGGGGTGTGTCGTGGGGAGGGAGATACAGGTTCTCAGATCGTCAACCACGCCTTTAACATAGCAGATCATTTTAAGAAGATCAGAAGACCGGCTGTCCTAGGAACGTCAGACAATGAAAACACCCTACAGCGAGCGTTTATTTGCAATTTTTAATACTTTTTCTTCATTGATTACACAGATCCTTGAGTCGAGTAACAGAAAGCAGAAGATCCAACTCCAACAACCTTGACAATGTTCAAAAACAGGTAAAGAGATTTTTGTTCAGAAAACCTTTAATCGTTAATAGAATTAGTAGTATGACATATTTCAATAAATATTTAGATATATACAGATACAGCAGAAACGGTACATTCTTTTTTTCTCTTCAAATTGCTTCACATTTTTTTGTACAAGCCAAAATATCTGCCATTGTATTTATATTCATGCAAAATATTGTTTCTCAGATTAATGAAAAATAAAAAGGATTTGCTGAACTTTTCTTTTTTTCTTTTTCATCCTGCTTCGATGTGCACTCTCGGATTATAAGCGTCATAATGAGCATCGTAACCTTTGCAACTCAAACTCGGGTGCACTTTGTGCCAATACACAATAGAAGCAAGTAAAGCAAAATTAAGGCCATTCCAACTTGTGCAACAAAAGTAAACAAACAAATCAATATAATCATCAGAAATAGAACGTTTTCCTTAAGTTCACAGCAGTTTCAGGAGTCAATGTATTTTTCCTTTCTCCCTTTGGGGCGTCGGATTGTACAATACATACAATAAAATACAAGAGAATCGAACAAAACCCCCCAAAACAATAGAATCAGTAATCATCGACAAATCAAATCATGCTACTTTAAAATCCAGTTCAGAACTTAAGGATTTATAAACGTCCAAAAACACATCCTTCATTGTTCAGTCCGTATGCACTGTAATGCAATATAAACCCAGTATCTATCTCATGTTATGAACCCCTCCCTCCCCCAACCCTATACAGTATTACAATGATTAATACAATGAGGTGAGGCCTATGACGAAGCTCTAAAATGACTATGATACACACAACACCCACGCCTGAGGAAAGGGGAGGAGTCATGTAAAATGGTAGTTGAATGAATGCATGATATGCTTGTAGGTCCTCGCTTGTTCAGTTGCATATTCAACCCCCATATGGCACGAATAGATATGTATGTATGCTCGAGAAAAACATGGACGACTGCTGACGGACTGAAGTGTTTCTGACTTATTCCAGATGCAGTGTCTATGGCACGAAAGAGACTAAAGAGACCGAGATGTCCGACCTTTACAGGTTTAGGCCATGATCAGAGAAGAGGCTCGGCTCATGAGAGAGGGATCTTTACGAAAACTGCTTCAAATATCTGTATGTGCCCAACATGATCTGTCACTTAATTCAGAATAAAGTCAATAAGCTCAATAGAATGATCTCAAACGCTTTATGCTGGCTGAAGAACGTGAAGTTTAACCTTCGACAACCTGAGTACCTTTCCCGCTTACGATTACGTCTTTTTTCTTACATATGGAAGCGAAAACTAACAAGCTAATTCAAGCATTAAATCTGTCTGGGAATTTTCTGTAATCTTTCCTCAAACTGACTGAAGTCTCCTCATTTTTCCAGACTCAGTCCCTCGCCCACCTTCGCTGCCACTCTGTACTTTTTTCGGTGTTTGTTGGAAGCATCAAAAAACCTT